GACACTGGAACGCATTGAGCTGCCCCGGGTTTTAGATACATGATTGCCTTGCGCAAAACGCGGTAGGTTTTTGACGATTTCTCCAAGGCTGGATGAGTCAACTCCAGGTCTGGTTCAAAAAGGCCATCCCTCACATGTCGCGCCTCGCTTTACCAGATTCCATAACATGATCAACCCTTTGATGATCTCGTATCAGTAAACACACCGAGACTTTATTTGCCGTGACGTTCTACATTATTCCGAACCTTGTTCCAGAAACAACTCAAGGCAGACCGACAGGGCTGCCAACGCAGTCCCCTTTTAATAAGATGCTGCTGACAGGACCAAAAAAAATTATGCCCGAGAAAACTTGTTGGCAAAGCTACGCTCCACTGCCAATAGTAGGTATCTCCGGCAACAGCAAATTTTGCTGAGAGTGGCTCTTTCGTATCCTCTCTGCCTTAAGCCCATCCGCCCTCTCATCCGCTAATTTCACTTGAGCGAGGATGAGAATTGCATCTCCGCAAGTGAGAACCATCTACGATCTATGATTGAAATGAAACTTGATTGCAAGAGTTGTCCCGGCGGGCGCTTTGCTCCTCGTCTAGTAAATCCCTGACTCAGGGGGTAATTGTCTACAAGGTTGAACACCACTCGCTTTCTAGAAGCGAAAGCAAGTGATACTGATTCATGCCATCGACAATGAATGAAACTTACCTGCAGCAATAGACGACAGTCAATTACAGTTGAGCTCTCAATCGATAAAATTGTACACTGAGCTGAAGAAAAGTGTTTCAGTCCAAAAGTTGAGGTAGAAAAGCGGTGGACAAGTCAACGGCTACAAAGCCAAGTGCAGAAAAGCAATATGTAGCATATGGATGCCGATAATATCGATGTCTCAAGCTTGTAGTAATTTTTCATAGGGCTTGTAGCCTTTTAGACGCACTCAAAAGTAATTAGCTCAACACGTGGGTGCGTAATCCATTCCCTCAACTCCTAGCTGATCTTATCATGATGGTGGGCGCGAATACGCTCTCTCGGAACTCACTCGCTATTGGCAGAATATCCACTTTTCAATGTTTATCATGATGCAAATCTGCATTTCATTGAACAGGTCTGCCGCATATGTCGGCATTCTTCAGGGGAAAGAGATGGTCTTGTTCTGATGCATCACTTTTCTCAACTGTTGTGAATGGCCGCATCGTCGCTTGGTTCGGTAGTAGAGTGGTATTGGCGTTGCCGAATTCAACTAGAGTAATCTATCGATCTACACGGCCACTTGATTACTGTTTAGTGCCTGCTATCAAGATTGTTTGCCGGCTACTGAGCTGTGGCAAACGCTTAGATTGGGTATCTCAGCTGATGCTCAGACCTGCATGTAGGCGTTATTGGCCGATCAGTATATACGTGGATATATTGAATCCCTTGTAAATGCAACTGTCAGTTCTCCTAAATTATTCCGTCGGCTGGTTCTAGCAAAAAGTCCTTACTTGGCCCACGTAAGCCCTTTACAAGAGATTTATATCATATCTATCTCGTGCATGTCAGCCTTGCTATATGATGCCTACCTTGTCAAATCATATCTACAAGTAGGTATGTTATTTAATGCCAACAGCCCTCACCGCCATTTTCGTTTATGCATCCCTTGAAAGGATTAGTTTCAAACCTAGTATCTCAATATGATAGCTCGAAATGTTACGTAGCAATTGACTGACTGTTCAATCTTGTTCCAAAAGTTTCAGCGAAATGTCCAAGGGGTAGCTCGGCTGGGGCTGTTCAAGCATATATGGCGGACATGGCCGCCATATATTCGACATTTATCAAGCTCATATCGCACCTGTCTCGGATAATTGCCAAGAATAATGCGTCTTGGATTTGATACTTGTTTTTTCCTTGAAAAAATTACTAGGTGCATGCCACAATGGCTCCAGCGACATCTCCAGGTACCAAGTTGGTACATTAGCCATTAATTTATCATATGAAAGATACAATGCTCTCTTCGTTAACAATTTGGATAACTCTACCCTCTACTTCCTATCTTTTAGCCATCTCTAGCGTCCCAGCATCGGACAAGAATCCAAGTCCATCCCAACATACTTGTTTCATTGACGCTCCAAAAAAAGAACTCTTTGCTTATTTTACCTCTTCCCCAATGCCAAAGGCTCTTCTTTCTGCTTTTTTAGTAATCTGCGGTGGAGGATACCGTGGAAGCCTCGCCACAGCACCTTATTACATACTAACGTACCTGATGGCTTTGAAGATCACAACTCAACGACAGTATTGCTTGCAAATCATTCGTCGTTTGATGGGAAACCTACAACAGAGGCCAGAATTATTGAATAGATGCTTAAATTTAGAGATGTCTTATTGCAGTCATTTGGGTCAACTATCCAGGACCGGGCGCCTACCGCACGGCCAATGTTGTTCGGCTCAAGGGTGAATGGAGTAACTCTTGTAACGCTACATATAGTTGAGCTCTCACTCTAGCCGTAAGCGTGCAAGAGCTATACTTACGGGACCCAAATATCAAAGAGTATCGTGCCAAATGATGTATGTGACAACCAATAAGGTCTCGCGCAAGATGGTAATACCAGCTCTTAGGAATAAGGGAGAAAAAAAAAGATTATACGACATCTCTAAAACGCAACCTATCATATTCTGGAACCATTCCCGTTCCGAGGTGGTTTTCATGTCTGAACGACACCCCCCCACAGTCCATTACATTATTGAAGCTGAATCGCATAGGTAGGTATGTAAAGATCTGACACGGCCAACTACGTGACGCAAAGATACATGCCTAGTGAGAGCAGGACACGCTGCAACTTGACGATGAGTAACTATTACAAGTTTGAGTTGTTCAAGTATAGCCTAGAGGCTACTAGTGAATATCACACAACTTTTATGCCATAAGAGGGACATCTCTCTCGCTGTATATATTACATGTACATATACATAAAATATGTGTGCCGGACTCATCTCTTTCTCTGAAGATGGCAATTCTCTTACAATTAGTATAGAATGACAAGCAGATCTTCTCCGTAATCCGTCTGTTTTGTCCTTTCAGAATATAATATACGAGAACTTCAACAGCAGATAGGTAGCAAGTTATAAAATCACCAGACGCTACTAATTCCAGGGTAAAAACCTGCCCTTGTCTTGTGTTCAAAAGAAGTGATGAAAATAATTATTCGCTTATAGCTTGAGTGGCAGTTGGCCTACATATATAAACGTTTCAGTATAAAATAACCATTTCGAACAATCCTCTACACACATTACAATATTATGAAAACACATAAACATCGCGTGTGGTATTTCGATGCCATCATCTATGCAGATTCGATTACATCACCAAAACCCAAATATACTCTCATTAATATATTTCTAAATCCTTACCGTTGAAGCCTTCTCCATTATCCCATCCCCTCAAATCCTCCCGTGGTGCAAATGCTCGTCCTTCCACACTCTCGCCCAATCACCTCTTACAGCCCAACTCTCCAATCACAACCGCCAATCCCTACCCTGGAAAAAAAATTAACACAATTTCCTCAGTTCATTCCACTACTAGATATTACAATCCTCCTTACACGCAAGACTACGATCATATAATATGTGACATTGTGCCTACTAGCGCCTGACAGTTTTCAAAAATTGAAGCCTTCTCCATAGATGCGCTGGCTAGCTGGCTACGTGTTTTGATGATTCACTCCCATCACTTATGCGAAAAGAAGAAAATCGAAAGTGCGCTGTCAGGTCCCCAAATTCTGACCACCTTCAAGCGCTGGCTACATGATAACGTGGCGCATGTCAGCCAGCATATGTGCATGGGCTACTATCGTTTTTTATATTAATAAAATTATACCTAGTACCATGGTGATCGTGGAGATATTTTATAACTCTACCAACGCCAATTTTCTTTCTTTTTCCTCACGCTGATGAGCTTATTACATCATGAAGGCGGCAGCGCTTGTGAGAAGAATGGGCGCTGTTCCTTTCGCTACTGCTTACTCCGTATGGGGATATTTCTTTCCTTTGTGACATGTCTCAGTTTCATCCCCAAATGGCCCCATTGTGGCATTAATGTGACAGATCGCATCTCGGTTATGGAGCGTCGGATCTACCAAGGTACGTTTAATAAGCCACCTCTGTACGCCATGTGAACAAATGGTTGAGGGAATTGAGTCAACGCGGCATTTAATCAAACACACTTTGAGGAGTTGTATCGCTACGATGATGCTTGGCCTGGGTATATGACCCCGGGCAGATCTTTCCTTCCAGGGCCAGGGGTTGGATGAGATGGAAACGCATCCAGAGCTGAGCTTTTGCCTGCCGCGATATTTCTCCGTCGATCGTACAGTGCTTTGCATGCAAGCAGAGAGAAGCTGGGCCAGACCCCTCTCACGCTGCACAGAGTTTTGCCTGCCACTGTCAAAAGAGACATGTCCGCTAATTCTCTCGCTCGCAGCGTCATGTATGGCTCAAATGGCACCACGTAGGGTCGCAGCCGGCATCACATGCATTGTCGCTATGCGACTTGGAGAAACGAATGCAGGAGCCCTAACGCGATCGGAACGAATGGCGGCTCGCTCGTTAGCACCAGCAAGCCAGAGACCCGAACGTCTGCATATCCCGTGAATAAACGTGATGCGACCTTCCTCTGCGGCCACAGCTCATGTCTGATGCACGTAAAGCACCTTGTTGGCCTTGGGGTACCGGTACTTCCACCCGCCGACTCCACAGTCTCACCACGGTCCGGTTGGGTGGGGATGGAGGGCTCCATATTGCTGAGCAGGTTCGCGGGAGTTCCCTGTACGGAAAAGTCCACCAAGCTTGGTGAAGAGAAGACGCGGCCCCGATCGGTCGCCTGTTAAGACGATGAGAAAGATGGATAGGCTGGTATAGTATTGAAGAAGTATCCGGCTCTAATCATGAGAAAGCAAATGTTGCCGCCTACTGACCCTTGTTGCCTGAGCTAGGCTCTCTTGTAGAAAAAGAGAGGAAGGGAGTGAAAGGTCTCATATCAGATGGAGTAAAACAGAGTAGGAGAAAGGACAGAAAGCTTGCCATAAAAGCCTCGCGGCGGTATGCAAGAAAGGCATCTCTGAGCATCAAACAGTAATTCCACCCACAAGTACGCAATACAAGCACAAAAGCAACTGATCCAATAAAAGAAAAGAAAAGAAAAAAATAGAGAGAATAGAGGAAGGCGAGGAAGGCGAGTAAAGAGAGAGAAAAGAAAAGAAAAGAAAAAAGAAATGGAATATAGGGAAAAGATTAAACAAGGTAAAGGGAGAAGGGTATCGCTTTTTCTGCCTCCATCTAATGCTCAAGCTAAACGCGCCTGAGTGTCAAAAGGCCAACCCCGGGTACGTTTTCCATCTATCCAACCCAAAAGAAGTTGCTTCGCTATAGGTCTTAATATCATATCCAAACGCCAAGAAATCAGAAAGGCAATAAAACAATGGTTCCTCCGAGCCTATCTTGCAAATCAGCTTAACGGGCACAAACGTTTATAAGAGAAAACGCAAAACATAAGCAGCCTAAATAATCGAGAGACAAAGGGGAAATTGAATTGAAAGAAGAGAAAAAAGAGAGAGAAAAAAAAAAGTAATTGGTGGTAGAGACAGCATTCGACACCTTTAACCATGTTCTGTCATCGTGTCACTATTATCAATAGATGGGCGCCGTTGATATACATGTCTGGGAACGCCGTCAGATGCGGCTCGCGACAGCTGTGTTGTTCCCACGCGAGATGAATACTCCGAGTTGTCGCTCGTAATGGGCTTGAAGAAGCCATCTACTAATGACATGGTGCTATCGCGCCACCAGTAATGCATAACATCGCACTGCCAGCGCCACATATCCCGAATCTTCAAAGATCGGCTTGCTTGAAAGGTGGACCGTAACAGTACTGCATTGAGCGGGGATAGGCGCAGTTGGTGAAGGAGCCATCGATTCACGTAATCAGCCTTCTTCCCGCCATCACACTCTCGCATGAGGTTGTCAATTGCATACTCTTTCGACGCCAGTCTCTTCCTCACGCCCTTTTCTGGGTGGTGATTTGGAAGTCGAATGGCTGCTTTGAGAGCCCCTAATGGAGTGAGAGGCTCATCAGCCAAAACGTGGTCCGGCTGAGAAAGCAGCTCGTTGAATTCAGCGTGAGCTAGTGTTTTGCGGCGGCTCATAATCGTGTGCTCGTCATCTAGATCCAAATCCTCATACCTGATTTGCGGATCTAATGCATATTCCATCTTGATAGACATGTGCTTCTTCATGACTCCTCTGTCTTCGCATAGTTTTTTGAGACCATCTACTTTAGATTCTAGGCTGGTCATGACATCATTCATCCGCTCTTCTTCGGAAGGGAATTCGTCAAAGAATTCCTTCATCTCCTGCTCGTCCGAGGCTTTCTGCTTGGTAGTCTTTTTCAACTGCTGCTCCTCCTCGTATTGCTGTTTAGTGGAAAGGAGGTCTGCGTATTCGTCTCGAGCGTTGCCTAGGTATCCCACAGTCGAGGTCAAGTCCACATATAGAGGATGCGATTCCTCAACGGGACCATACGGGGAGATGCCCCTGAGTTCATATGGAATCTCCGTCTGGTCAATGCTGAAGTTGGCAGCGCCCGAGTCGCTGGAAATGTCCAACTGGCGTTCCTCTTTGGTTTGCCCAGCAGCCAAGATGCTGAAAAATCTAGTTTCGAGGATGCTCAGATCGCGTTCTTCCTCGTCCAACATTGCCTCGAGAGCTTCATAGCTGGATTCCAGAACTTGGTAGTCATCTCTTAGCTGCTGCATCTTCTCTAGCCGAGATTCAAACAGGCTGGCAGGGTAATCAGTTAGCTCTCGTAGGCTAACCAACACAGGTCGGACAACTCCCATGAATGCATTATCAGCGGCATCTTTCTCGCGCCTCTTTTCTCGCAACTCTTTTCTCCTTGATCGCATTTTTGCTCTCGTCCCACTCAACTTGGCTCTTTTTTCCTTCAACTGCTGCCACAGCATTTCTATTTCGCCATGTGATGAATCATTGGAGTGCACAGAGCCATCCAGGTGGGACTCGGTGTCGGTGGGGTGGAGAACAGCGGAAATATCGCCGAGTCTTGAACGAGACCTCGTTGGGCTCCTTGACTTTTCGTATTGTGATACCCATGCTGTGATTTGATTTGCTGCCGAAGATCTACTCCGCGGAGCAGACGGCCCATGCACTGGCCCAGCAGGTAACTGGGGAGGAAATTGCCTAGCATTTCGATAAGCGATTGGATCTTCATTAGACGATGAAGAGGAAGAACTCGAGGTCTCATCATATCCAGACCTAGCGGATGAGAAAGTCAGTGTTTCGTCTTCAAGCCCATCGCTTCGCCGGCGGAGCGATCGCCTTGAACTCCGTTTGCCCCTTGATGGTCTTGGCCGTGCGTGGCGGCTGTCTAGAAAGCCGAGCGCCGGCTGAGGCAAGAGTTGCATGCTGACTGGTGTTTGTGAAAATAGAGAAGATGGAAGTTCAGAGCTCTCGCCAGCCTGGCTAAAATCCGCGCCGCTTATTGTTGGAAGACGGGGGAAATAGGAGGGAGGAGGAGAACTGAGCAGAGGAGGAGGCGGCGGCGGCGGCGGGTGAGGGGGGACATGATGGCGTCGAGCTCCAGGACTGTCATCGGCCCTGTGCTGCCTGACTGGTGAGGGTAATGGCAGTGATGCTTGAGTAGAGCCAGTACGAAATCCCGGAGGTCGGAAAGGCCCATGCCGAGACTGGTCTGCTGGGCTCGGTGGATAGAGTTGGGCAGCTTCGTTGGGACTCCTCGGGATATGTCGACCTGTTGCCCTGCCTGCGCCACGTCCTCTCCCTCGACCCCGCTCCGACCTTCGCTGGAGAGCTTGTGGCAGCGCGGCAGGCAGAGGGAAAATAGAAGAGAAGTCATTGGAAGCTCTGCTAGGAAGAGGCGTTCGACTGCCAGCGGATGCAAAGGGCGTCAGTGGTGGGCTTGACACCACCGGGTCAGGAGTCGTGACCCTGCTGGATATCGTCGACGTATCGCTGTGTAGCTTCCAGCCATCGCCCTCTTTCAAGTCCTCGTCTTCGTGAGACGACGCAGCGGCAGCAAACGTGACAGACGAGCTGTCTGCCGAGTCGTCCATATTACCGGCGCGGAGGGAATTGTCCAGAGGCGCGAGGCCTGGGCTGGCCGGCTCCTGGCGTATGGCGGATTCCATGGAGGCCGCTCGAGTACGCTGGCAGTCGCTCGACGCTCAGCATTTCCCATCCATGGCCGTATCCCCGGCTCGATGACATCCAAAATCGCAGAGGCGTGACGGCCGGGAGAGGGGGAGAGCAAATGACGGCGCCCGAGGTGCCGGATCGAAGTCAGACGAGGCTCTGCTGTCCTGGGGATGACGGTGGGCGGCGGGAAGCGCACGGCTCATCTGTGGACATGAATATGCGTCTGCTCTGGGTCTTGGCTTGGGTTTTGCACCTACAGCGGCGAGACACAGGTCGCTCAACACGGCAGCCGGGACAGTCAGCCGGGACAGATGTTCGATTTGCGGCCACATATGAGTTGCGCAGGTGGTGAGTGCGTCTTGTCGCAGCCCGTCCGGACGGTCAACGGCGTGGCAGCTCTGGTGCGCAAGGCAGCTCATGGCCTGCCAGAGAATGGCCCAGCGTGCCATCGGTTGGCTGGAGCCCCTGTGGCCGCAGGTGCTAGCACTGGCCTCGGCGCCTCCCCCGGCACGCTAGGAGCGCTGAGCGCATCAGGAATCGCCCACAAGGTAGCACGAGCCCACTAGGCCGCTAGCCCTACAGAGCTTGGGCGAGCCGTGCGTCCACTAAAGGCGTCGCTAGCCCAGCACAAACGATCCACTAGCCACGGGTTGCTCCAGCTGGGCGCTGGGGTAGCATCATTCAACGCAAGAAAGCTCTCGGGCGGTGGGGCTACCCGTTCCGAGCGGCGCCTCTCAGCAGCCTAAGGCGCTGTGCCAGCCCAAACCGGGCATGTCACTCTACCTCGACATCATCCAACCACCAAGGCGACTTGTTCCGCGTCAACGGGCCTCCACTCGGCGCAAATGACTGCATAAAGCACGCCGTGCATTGCGAGGATACGAGCAGAGTGCCGCGAAACCACCTGGCCGTCGCTCAGCGCTGGGGCTCCTGCGGCCGTGCCACCTGACAGGGCCCTCGACCGAAAGAGCTGCAGGCCAAGATGCAGAGTGGAGATGGCACGACGACTCGGCGATCCCAACGGCTGCGCTTGGGAGGAGTTATCGATTTGCTGTAGCCTGTAGGGGACAGGTCGGGAATGGACAAGGCAGAGCCAAAGTGGTTTACCGCTGCTGGTGGTGAAATGTGCTGCAGCCCGTCACCAATCCCAGATTCTGCTCCGACTAATGACAGCCCAGTGGCCAAGATAGTAAGGTAGCTCCAGTCGCTGACACCAGGCGTTGGCTCTGGCTAGCAAGTGGACGCATTTCGGCATGGCAGGGGAGAGCTTGAGCTCACAGGCACGAGAAAAATTCAGAGGACAAACGAGGCAGCACACCACCCCCGAATCGGCATTTCGAGATCGTCCCATAGCGCAAGGCGACCGCTGGACAACAGGATGCGCACAAGGCGCCCGTTAGCCGGCTGCACCCATGTCTGCTGCTCTGCTCAATGGCATTGGCATTGCGTCTTGTACATAACGCTACGGCTGGGCCATTGACTTGATCGACCAGCTGCGGCAGCTCGACGTAGCTAAAAAAGCGGCGGCCAGCGATGCATGCCAGATGTCTCCATAATCCTATCCGCCAGCGCCGCCGCAGCTTGCCTTAGCAGCTCGCAGGTTAAATCCACTCAACCTTACGGCAGCCATCCATCCAATACCAAGATACCAGCAGGCCGGGGGAGCAGCACTCGGGCCAGGAAGTGGACGGACGACCCACGTCGAGGCTCGCGCCAATCTAGGCCTATAGAGACAGACCCAAATGTTCCCCCTCCCGCCCGCTGCTGTTTTATCATCTCGCGCTGCTGCTGGTGCTGCTGCTTCTGCTCCGTACGGGCATTCTTTAAAAGGCGTTGAAGCCCGCATTGCCTCCGTCCTGCAGAGCCTCCCCTTCCCTCAGCCTGCCACGCCAGAGGTGCTTTGCGCTTGTACCCCGATCGTCTGGGCTCTCCCGGTCCTTTGCGCCGTCCAGCACATCGCCGGATGATCCTGTAGGTTTCCCGCGCTGCTCTGGGCGCAAAATGCCACAATGTACCACGGATCCAGTTCAGAATCCCATCAATGGGGCAGCTGGTCGGCCTGGGTTTTCAACGAGCAGCAGAGCCGCTACTATCGCTTTCGCCAGGATTCCGAAGGTGCGAAGACCCTCCCCGCGCTTGACATTTCTCATCACCACCGCCAACACTTGCATGTGTACTTGCTAGGAAACTATGACTATGACTGGGACCAGCACGGCTCAGCCGCCGCCGCCCATGCGCAAACTCCGCGAGATGCAACGATTAGCGACATAACAGAGGGCCTGAGAGGTCTTACTACCGATTACAACAGCTCAAGTGCGTTTTATCCGTCGGCTCGTTCAGTCGCACCGGTTGCGCCAGAACGGAGCTTCTCTTGAGCATCTTCTGGCGACCATGTCTGGCTTGCGTATAATTGGCGACTAACATCAGAGACTTTCACAGTAACCGAAGACCATTCACCGAACTCAAGGCCCGGCCGGCACAGGAGCAGGCGCGAACATCGGACAGGCTCCCGCGACGAGGATTCGGCTCAAGATACCTACGGGGCCTTTGCAGCAGATTCTTTACATGCGTCCCAGGCGGGGCAGTACGACTACACGGCTGGCCAATGTGAGCTGCGCTGCCGTTGAAACCACTTCAAGTCACTGACGGCAATTCCATAATTAGATGTCCACGGATCGTCTGAAGCTCAATATTATCAGGCATCGGCATCAGGTATATATACCCCAATAGCCATGAATTGACCGCCGACCGGACGATCAACTGACAAGTTTTTGTTGGCGGGGTAGACTCACAGTCGGCAGCTGCATATGGCGGACGGCAAGAAGGCCGATCAGCTGAGAATCATGCAGTTGGTGAGTGCGCCCACCATTGCTCATATCCAAGTCCACCTTGCGCTTTTATTATTTTGTTCCCACGTCCCCCCTCTAAGCTGCCCATTACTTGTTCAATACTGAGACTTTCACACAGATCAACGAACCTATAGGTACCGCGACGAGGGGCATTACAGTCCTGACCAAGATCCCGAAGACGAAGAATTGGCAGACACTATCGCGGCAAGCCGACAGTACAACTCTGCCGAATATGCAAACGCGGGGGAATCATCGTCAACAGCTTATGGTCTGTCTCTCGCGCCTTCAGCCGCTTATAAATGCTAGACTAACACGGAGCGTAGCTCCATATGACGAAGAGGAAGAGGAAGGCCCTCCTACGCCAAGGGCACAGTCAAGCGCCGGCAGCTATCACATTGCCGCCACTGCTCTTGAAGAGCCACCAGAGGAATTAGATCCACGTAAGTATTGTAAACAACCTCGTAAGACCCACGTCAGTGAAGCTGATGCTCAAAAAACCAGGCTACCAAGTTGAGCCGTCCGTGAGGTTTCAACCAGGCGAGGTGCGTATATGCTTTACCCCATATTAGCTAGGATAAATTGAACGACGCTGACTTGAAAAAAAGATATTCAAAGTGCATTGGTCAGAACCCCAAGGCGCCAGTTCTGATGGAGCGCCGAGCGTTTCCGGCAAACACGAGATTCAGAACAGATTCGGCACAAAGTTTTTTGTCGGATTTCGACGCTTCATTGTGATAGCAAATGACCAGGGCCACTGTACCTGTGTGTATGTGCATAGTCTATTCTTCATTATTTCCAAGCCCTTTTGCTGACAGTCTACAGACCTATCCTCACATACGGGGGCAAAGGGTGTAAGAAGAAGGGCGTCAAGGCCGACAAACACGGCATTATTTATGAGCGCAACGGCAAAGCGCGCCTACTCGATAAGGAACCAAAGCTTGGGTTCCCACCTGTCAGGGTCGATATGAAGCAAGAGGGCGAGAAGCTCTCAAAAGAATCTCGCGTCAATTACTCTAAGCTGGTCACTGTGGAACACAATGTGAAGGTGTTTTTCATAGGATCAATCGTGTACAACGACTGGGAGCTCGTCAGCGATGCCGTCAACCACTGCTGGAACAAAAAGAACCATCAGAAGCAGAGGCATCGATAGAACCCAGAGAAACAACCGATGGCCAGCAGAGACACGTTTTTACCACCTCACACGCGGTTGCGCATTTAGCGCACCGCATTCGACACGATGGAGTTGCTTTGCAACAGCAGCGCATCCATCCACAAAAATACGTTCCTCGGAAAAGGGGCATCTTATGATGTCACAAGATCCTGTGAATCCTGTGCCGGGCGATCTTGGTATGAAAAAAGCAGCACGGGTAAGCCCTTCCGGCACCCGGATCTACCTTTTCAGCAGCGCACTGCAGCCATATCCCGGCACACACTTTTTTTTTGGCATCCCGTTGCTATGCAGTGTCTAATTAGTTTCTTTCAAGCTGTGAATGCTTGATTGGAAGCGTAAGATTTACGCCGTATTAATGGGGGCTTTTGCATTTGCGTGCACGAGTCCATGTGGTGGAACAGGACACATAATTCCTTGGCTAGTCAGGCGGGCTGGACCATCACCGAGATGCAGATTTTTATTTCGCTTTCTATATAGCACTGTATGTATTGACGGGCATATGTTGAGTGTCTCATTTTGTTTTGTTTTTTTCTTCATGGCATATATTTTGATGTATAATCTCAATGCATGTTGTTGGGCTTATACTTGTGAGGCGAGGGCCTAAAGTTGCTGCTGGTTGCTAGGGAGATTGATTGAGCATGATTTGACGTCTATAGGGCTATAAGATACCAAACCACTACCCTATACATACATATGACTCTAAATTCATTATAAAAACGGGCGCGTAGTATGCTAATACATAGAAGATGGTAGACGGCAAGGCATAAGAATACGGATGGGGTGCTAGGCGTGGAGGATGACCAGCAGGTAGCAGAGCTGCTGTGGTTGCCTACCTATATAAGGGAAGCAAAACGACACAGCTTCAAAATAGCATATCAATAGTATGTAAGAAAAGGAGCCTTTGGGACTTTGCAATCTTACTAGGAGCTGAATCCTTATAGACATCGTATCTCACGCTCTCGAGTACCCGTTGGCCTAAGAAGCTGACACAGCAATCTCAAGGCGAAAAAAAAAAAAGTGCCATTATACTTTACACTACGGATGCACTCCTTGCCTATTTCTAAAGCCATCCACCTATTAGCATGAAGCATCACACGCCATGGACAATCATAGCGCCATACCTGGCAGTTTGGCAGATCTGAATTACCCCATACGCTAAATCCCGTTATACAGGGCAATGCTATCTGCTAACGGTTAAGAAAGTTCCGATCAAATATTTTTTTTTTTTTGCCTCGGCATCTCCCCGCAGTTTCAACCATCTCCGAAAGTACCTCGTCCGCCAGAATTCAGTGTCGGAGGTACATGTCCAAGACACCCCCGGTTGTTAAAAAGTGTAAAGTGGCCCCAACTACACCGAGGATCTTGGGGAAGAAGGGGCCTTGAAAATGCGGGAGAGATTTGATGCCATAATTTCTTAGCTGTAAAGTAATAAAGGCCACCGCCTTCTCTCATCTTTTTCTCATCTCACTTTCTTCTTCTTTCGTGTGAATATTCCCCTTTCTTCCTTTGGTTTTCTTTTTAAAAAACATATATCCAGCTGTTTATACGACCTACCTAGGTACCTAATTGTTCAAGTTCTACGACTTTTCTTAGTATATTAGCACCTCCGCTTGTAGAAACAAGGAATCTCAGCATCTCATCACAATGTCTGCCGCTGTCGAGGCCGATCTCAAAGACTTTTCTTCGCTCTTCTCGCTCAAGGGCAAGGTCGCCGTCGTGACCGGCGGTTCTCGCGGCCTCGGCCTGCACGCAGCCTCGGCGTGAGTTTTTGTGCTCCTCCCACTTGTTCTTTGTCTCACCGTGCTAATGAATATATATGAAATCCAGCTTCATCCAAGCCGGCTGCTCCAAAGTCTTCATCTCCTCCCGCAAGGCCGCCGCCTGCGAAGAGGCCTGCAAGGTGCTCAACGCGCTGCCCGGCCGCAGCCCCGGCGCCGAGGCAATCTCGGTGCCGGCCGACTCGTCCACCATGGACGGCGTCAACGCGCTGCTGGCCGCGGTGAGCAAGCACACGGACCGCGTCGACATCCTCTTCGCCAACGCGGGCGCCACCTGGGGCGAGGCGTTCGACACGCACCCGGACCAGGCGTTTGCAAAGGTCATGGACCTCAACGTCCGCGGCGTCTTCAACACGGTGCGCGTCTTCACGCCGCTGCTGCAGAAGCACGCCTCGCTGGACGACCCGAGCCGCGTGCTCATCACGGCCAGCGTCGCGGGCCTGGGCGTGGGCACGCTCGGCAAGCAGGGCACCTACGGCTATTCCGCCTCCAAGGCTGCCGTGCTGCATCTGGGCCGCAACCTCGCGCTGGAGCTGGGCCCGCGCGGCATCACGGTCAACTCCATCTGCCCGGGCTTCTTCCCGAGCAAGATGGCAAACGGCCTGCTGGCCATGTCTGGCGGCGCGGACAAGATTGCACAGGCGAATCCCATGCGCAGGCTGGGCCGGCCGGAGGATATCGCGGGCATCGTGGTGTACTTGACGAGTCGTGCCGGGTCGCATGTGAATGGTGAGGCGATTGCGATTGATGGCGGTGCGCTGTGGTCTCGTGGGGAGATGCTCGTCGAGGAGCAGGCCAAGTTGTAGTTTTCTTTTCCTTGTTCCTTGTTACGATCGGCATCAGTTGAGGTCGAGGAATTCTGTATGATAGGATGGTCATTCCCACGGCCTTACGAATATTGCATTAAGCCAAGTAGATATAGTGTCAAATCTGTTTCTTGCTCGCATTATATGGATTTAAACATGTGTACGTTTCATGCAATGCATTCACAAGTGCGAAATCAGTTGTTCTTCTCTATTATTTCAATCATATTCATATCGTCGTCTCTCTAGCTTCACTCTTCACCAGCGGCTTGCGAGCTACCCAAGCCGTCGCATTATATACCATGTGCAGCATACTATCCATGTCTTGAATGTACGGCGCCCTGATGCCCGTCTCCATCGACTCTACTACAAACCCCAGCTTCTCCACCAGCGCCATGACCTCATCGTTGGTCAACTCAAAGCTCCCAGGGTCGGCAATGCCAGATGAGTTGTTAAAGTCATGTTCGCCGTCGCCGTCATCATCGTGGCCATGATTGCCTGGCGCATCATTTTCAAAGTGCCATAGTAAAGGGCCAACGTTGATGAGGACGCCGCCTGGACGGAGGCAGTGATAGATGACCTCGAGGTATCGAATGAGATTAGGTGCCGTGTCGAGGAAAAAGACACTGGCGACGGCATCGTAGGATTCCTTGTGTTCGTCATCGCCGTAGAGACAAAGGAAGTCTGCGGCACACATGGACATGGAGCCGACATTGGCTGCGTTGAGCAGGGTGGTGCTGGGGTGAATGTCTGGCACGGGGTAACTTCGCAGATGATTCTCTCGGCTTGTATGATTGGAGAATGTGTGAATCCAAGGGTAGAGGGTGTGCTGTCCAGCCCTGTGGCACTCATTAAGAATATACGATGACGCTAGCAGCTGGTGATAGGATATTTCATTTCCTTCAGTGTCATGGCCGTCTCGACATAGTTCAAAGACTAGTCTGCCTAAGCCCGCTCCAGGGACCAGGACTTTCAAACGGCTGTCTTGCGATGCCTTGGCCCTCTCTCGATCAAGGGCTTTCATCACAGGTCCGTACGATACTGCCCTTTCCTCCGCGCCAGCTGCAGACCAGTCCCGGTAAAACTGGCGAAGAGTGCTCCTTGCCTTGTCAATGTCGGCATGTTTGGCTATTCCAGCCCACTCATGCGGCATGACAGGCTGATCCGACGCTGAGAAGTCAGGAGGAAGAGCATTGAATGAAGCCAGTCCCGACTTCAGAATGGACCGAGCCAGGTCGGCATTGCTGTCAATGGCATCATCGACTTTCTCCAGGGTGTCGAGAAAGTTGAAGGGAGGCGCTGCGAGTAGCTTCCAGTGAGCCTGAGGGAGGGCATAGAAGGACCGGCGGCGAAGATGGGTGACGTTGAAGTGGGCGACTTTGGCATATTGGCTGGAGTATATTGTTAGCTGGACGTTTTTGTCTTGAACCGGGCGATATACAGCGTTAAAATGACTGCCTGTCGCCAAATCAGCATCGCAGCTGAAAATATCATCTTCTTTGCACTGCGGGAGGAACAGAAGATCCATCCACACGTATTCAGTTTCAATGACGCCTCAGAGTCAACGTCATCGAGACCGAATACGTGTGGATAGATCTCCTTGTGCCTTCCGCAGTGCGAGGAAGATGATGATTCTAGCCGAAGCTGCTAGAGATTTCGCGGCCGGCAGCCTGAAAGACTGCGGGGAAGTTGAGTATGATGAGTGAGTGTCGTATGTGAAACAGCTCATGATGAACATACAACCATAGCCATGCAACAAAAACTCCTCCGCTCAAGCTGCCAAATAGCAGAGCAAGCACCAGGACAGCTAGAAACTCAATCCACTTACGCAAATGAATCCAGGGCACAGAAAATGACCCGAATCTCTTCAGGGTCGTCCATGCCGCCATCTACACTGGCCCATGCGCTCTTATCGTCCACGTCCAGCGTGGCTCCGCCGTCGTGATCCATCTCTCAGCCTGGCTCAACGACGATGATTTCCAAGCATGGCCGGTAGAAAAGGGGAGAAAAGAGTCGAGGAGAGGCGTAAACAATCTGGTAAACAGAGTTTCTGCCTTTTTTTTTTTCCGGATCGCCGCAATCGGGCGTTTTTCTGGATCCCTTTGAATTTGTAACAAAGAGCTGCTTATTAGTGGGGGAATATTGGCATTTTTTTCGAGCAGCGCTAGCAGCGAGATCTCTCACCAAAACGGAATCATGTGATTTTGGCGTCTCACAACAGCCATTCAGATATCGAGATAAGGCATCGTCTTTCAATCCCGGCTATTGATATCTCCAATATAAGTCATATACGGCTTATTTACCATGGCTACCAACCAAAATGAAGTGGTGCAAGTTTCCATTCCGCTCCCGCGGTCCTTGGATACTCGCATTTTCATCCGCTTAGCAACCCAAGCCAAGGCTCTTGTGCTATCTCTCACCACCGCATCTCAAGAAGAGCTTGGTGCTCCCAGGCCGATGGGATCATTCGTCTACGCACTGCCCGATGTAAGTTTTGTATAAATATGCCCCCCGCATATGAATTATATGGCCGGCGATTGTTGACTCCCATGCCAGAGATTCAATCCTCAGCAGGCAATCGCCACAACACTCTTTTCCGCAGAGTCATCTCTTGAGTTTACTACACGAGTTGCCAAATTAGTTGCCCGAAAGACTCAGCTCCCCGTATATGTCACAAATTCCATCAGCCTAGAGAGCACAGGCATGGGCGGCACAGTCGAGGAGGAAATGGAAGCCTTCAAGGGCGTGGCTGAAGCTATCATAAGCAACCTCCCCAAGACGGTGTTGCCCAGTTAGCCACAAGTTGTCAAGGCATGAATGGAGATTTATAACTGATTCGAGGTGGCAATCAGGCAGAGCAGGGGTTTTGTAATGCGAGGCAAAATGGGCTTGCGCATCAATGATGGAAAGCATGCCCGGTCCATCACCAGAGAGAAATGCCAATTTACAGCGACATTATACCCTACAGCATCCAGTCTTTTGCTGGAGGTTCAATTAAGAGAGATTCCAGAAATACATAGAAGCAAGGGATCAGCGCACATGGACAGTCTTCGAGGCTACGGCACGTCATTTCGGCCTTGTTTATGAGAGAGCAGGCATTTGACTTTACTTTGCAGCTGCATTCAAGACATACAGTATTGATCTACGGAGAGCGCTCATGTACGCACGTAGGTACATGTCACTTGAAGTTTCATTATCCATTTGATCCCCACACTTGCTCCAGCATGATTCATAGATAACAGAGAGCATTGTGCAGTTAGTAGCTGGATCGATTAAATTCAGTTTACTGGGGTTTGCGTTGGGCACCTTCAGTTCGTCGAGTCTTTACAAGGCTGTTACAGGCACCGCTCAATTGCGTTTCACGTTTCGCGTGCTTGTTTCGTCTGATTCTCCATGCAATAGGCACAAGCAAAGCAGCATCAGCCCCTCACCAGTTTTCGGTGGCTGAACAGCACGTTAAAATACTACTTGCACGGAGTAATACAGTAAGAACATGAATACCGCTTGTAGCTCCTCGCCATCTTCATTGCTCCAGTCAGCTGATTTGTCCTAGCATTATTCCCGTACTGTAGACGAATTTTTCCAGTCTCCGTTTTTTTCGCCATTGCCATTCCGCGTCACGGGTTATCGTTATCGCACCCCGCTAACAGAGAAATTTGGCCGCCAGAATGAGGTGGGCTTGCTCCCCGCCAAACCAGACCACCTGAGGGCGCACAAGGTTTGGCGCATCGTCTCGCTCTCGACATCGCCGAGATCCTGCTGCGTTTGCGTGCTGCAAACATTCGAGCTCCGGCTACTCCTGAGCGCCTGGCTCCGCGACCCCCAGACCCGCCTCTGGTAAGAATCCCCGCGGCAGCGCCGTTGACAGCCTCGCCTTCACCTCCAGTCCGACGCTCAAGGGCCAATTGTGCCGGTTCCTTGCCGCCGTACGCCCTGTCGCCGCTTTGCTACACTGTACATGTGCCGGCTGCTGGTTTCGAGCACGCTGACCTTTCTCGGTGAACGTCTCTCTAGCCACCGCTTCATGTCCTAGAACATCTCGACTAGGAACCACCCCCTTTCGCGCATCGCATTGCTCCTCTCGCGCAGCAACAGCTGCCAATACTCTGCCCACCATGTCGTGGCAACCGGCCCCGGAGTCGTTGAGCCAGCTTGCGGCATGTCTCAAAGACTCCCTCAGCGGATTCGACAAGAATGCCCAGAAGCAGGCTGAGCAGGTCAGTTCCGATCTCGAAGAAGCTCTCTTGTCTGTGTTACGGGATCCGATACTGACTGGGGTGTTGGGGGATTCAGATGCTTCAACAAGCTAAAGCCTCGCCTGACATTAACAACTATCTAGCATACATCCTCTCCAGCCCCCAGACCCCCGAGGGTCTGCAGTGCAGCGAGCAAGACTATCATCTCGTTCGATCGGCCGCTGGTATCATGCTGAAGAACAATGTCAAGACAGAATGGAAGACGATCCCAGAGTCCAGCCTACAGCTCATCAAGCTCGCCGTCCCCATGTGCTTGCAGGATAAGAATTCGCAAATTCGAAACTTTGCCGGAAACATTGCCACTGAGATGATCAAAAAGGCCGGCTTACTGGCGTGGCCAGAGCTACTTCCTCAGCTCCTCGACATGATTTCCAACGAAAATGGCCAGTTTTCCAACGAAGCTCAAGAGGGTGCAATGTCTGCCATGGCCAAAATCTGCGAAGACAACTTCAAACTTCTTACCAAGGAGATCAACGGCCAACGACCGCTCAACTATGTTCTTCCCAAGCTGATTGCCGCAACCAAGAACCCCCTCCCAAAGGTTCGTGCCGGAGCGCTGACCGCAATCAACGTCTTCACACCGAGATCATCACAGGCCATGATGAACAGTGTCGACGACCTGCTCCAACACCTCTTCATCTTGTCAGGAGATGACAATACTGATGTTCGCCGGCAAGTGTGCCGAGCCTTTGTTCACCTGGTTGAGACCCGGCCCGACAAGCTACAGCCTCATATTACCGGATTGGTAGACTACATTATCAACCAGCAGAAGAGCGACGATGAAGATCTTGCCTGTGAAGCTGCCGAATTCTGGCTAGCTGTCGGTGAACACGACGAACTCTGGGGTTCTCTGCAACCGTACCTCAACAAAATTATCCCCGTCTTGCTACAGTGCATGGTTTACGGCGGGGAGGATATCGCTCTTCTCGGTGGTCTTTCAGATGACGAAGATGAAGAAGATCGAGAGGAAGACATCCGGCCGGCTTTTGCCAAGAAAGCCTCAGCAAGAACTGCAAACGGCGAGGGAAACCTTTCAGCCGACCCTAACCAGAACGGCGGCGGTGCCTACGAGAAGCTTGCGCGCATGGATGAGGGGCAGGAGGAAGGTGAGGTTGATGATTTTGACGATGGGGATGATGCGAACCCCGACGAGAGATGGACTGTCAGAAAGTGCTCAGCAGCTGCACTGGACGTCTTCGCCCGCGACTTTGGCGGGCCTGTGTTTGAAGCTATTTTCCCCTACCTCTCTCAAAACCTGAAGCACGACGAGTGGCCTTACCGAGAGGCCGCCGTCCTGGCTCTCGGTGCGGTAGCTGATGGCTGTATGGATACCGTTACTCCTCACCTCCCTGAGCTGGTGCCGTATTTGATTTCTCTGCTTGAAGATCAGGAGCCGGTTGTCAGACAAATCACTTGCTGGGCTCTGGGACGATACTCATCTTGGGCGGCCAATCTCTCTGAACAGTCTCAACGAGAGCAATTTTTCCTGCCAATGATGGATGGTATCCTGCGCAAGATGCTGGATAAGAACAAGAAGGTCCAGGAGGCAGGTGCCTCAGCGTTTGCGAACCTGGAGGAGAAGGCCGGCAAGAGGCTGGAGCCGTACTGCGGCCCCATCATCCAGCAGTTTGTACTGTGCTTTGGCAAATACAAGGATCGCAACATGTATATCCTGTACGACTGTGTTCAGACGCTGGCCGAGCGTCTGGGCCCCGTCATTGCCAAACCTGAGTTGGTAAACCAGCTGATGCCAGCGCTGATTGAGAGATACAATGTTGTCTCTGACCAGTCTCGCGAACTCTTCCCGCTCCTAGAGTGTCTCTCCTATGTCGCATTGGCCCTTGGCCAGGCTTTCACCCCCTATGCGCCCACAATCTTCCTACGATGCATCAACATTATCCATACGAACCTTGAACAGAGCATCAACGCGAATACTAGCGATGCTGTAGATCAGCCCGATAAAGATTTCCTCATCACAAGCCTTGACCTCCTGAGCGCCATTATCCAAGCGCTCGAAGACGAAAAGTCAATCGAACTGGTCAAGACCTCACCGCATCCCTTCTTTGAGCTCCTCGGCTTCTGCATGGAGGATCCCACGGACGAGGTGCGACAATCTGCGTACGCGTTACTCGGCGACTGCGCCAAGTACGTCTTCCCGGAGCTTCAGAACTACGTCCCTACCGTCCTCCCAATCTTGTTGAGGCAGTTGGATATGGACAGTATACTCGACGAGGAAATTGAAAGCGGGTTTGGCATCGTCAACAATGCCTGCTGGTCGGCCGGCGAGATTGCTATGCAACACCTCAAGGGTATGCAGCCTTGGGTGCCAGAGCTCCTTCAGCGCTTCGTAGAGATCATGACCAATCCCGGTGTGCCCAAGGGCCTTACCGAGAATGCTGCCATTGCCCTGGGACGTCTTGGCCTAGGCAACGCAGAGCAGTTGGCACCCGCACTACCAAAGTTTGCAGAAGAGTTTTTGGCTGCGATGCAAGAGGTTGATCCGACAGAGGAAAAGGCAACAGCATTCAAGGGATTCACATTGGTTGTCGGACAGAACCCCCAGGCCCTGGAGAAGGTTTTGTTGAACTTTTTTGTTGCAATTGCGCGATACCAGGACATGAACTTGCGGAATCCTATCAAGCAAGAGCTACACGACGTGTTCCAAAATGTAAGAACAACCCCTGGATTCATTCTATATCCCTTGTATGATTCCTTGCTTTGAACATGTTGTAATACTAATCTTTACATTGCAGGTCCTAAACGTCTACAAGCAAATCATCCCGCAATTTGACAACTTTATCGGCCAGCTGCAGCCTCAAGATCAGCAGGCGTTGAAGACTCTCTATGCGATATGAGAGCAGTGACCAGTCTGCGTAGTGTTGTTGCAATGAGAAAAAAAGGAAACGAGCAACAACTGAGCTGGAGAAGAAACTTGAAAAGTTAGCGCTGGGCGTAGAGGGGAAGAGATGATCTCGTAAAGCGAATCTCTAACGGAACTAACTTGATGCGCAGAGGTCGCCTGTGTTCCCAAGGCCCAGTGAGGAGAATATAATATTGTTTGAAACTCATAGCGATACTTTTACTGCCCAGCAGCTCCATGGGAAAGGGGGTACGCATGGTTGGATTGGCTGAATGACAATGGAAGCTTGCGGAAATATGGGGGGGCGCAATAGCAAAGAAAACCAGAAATAACAAAGCGCGTGCTCTGGAGTACCGCAAGCGGATGAGATACCTTTTTTTGGAACGATGTGATGATGGAAAAGAAAAATAGTTAAAGGAAGAGTGAAAAGCCAAAGCATGGAGGAAAATACGGGAAACACAGGTGTCTTGAGCTTTTTTTAAGGGGGGGGGGTGAAGGTGGGAGCTTTTCTTGGGGGCTCCAAGCCCATATTCACTTTTTATAGATAGATTTTTTTTGTTATACTTTACTCCCTTTTTTATCTTCCTCTCTTTTTTTTTTCACCCTCGACCATATTCTGCATATATACAGAGTGGTAGGGGGGGACTGAAAAATACGCCGTGCTGCGTTGCCTTTTGCGTTGCCGGCGGTCCATAGTAGTAGTTAGTAGTTAGAATCCAAAATACAGAAAGGTGGCTTTATTTATGCTGATGTGAGGGGCGTGGTTAGTGTTTGGTTCGTGTGTTGTACTTGAACGGGTTGCGGTGTTGAAGCATTTTCACTTCTCTGTTATGTCTTGACTAGACAACAGTTGCAGGATAGAGGAAACATGAGTATCTCAAATGACAAGGAACGTGATGCTTTGAGAGAAGAAAGATCCTAGCTCCAACTTGTCTTTAAAATTTCTACAAGCCGATGGATTACACTTCAATGTCAACCTGCCATCAGAATGATGGAGAGATGTTTTCTTTCGAGAATGTGGTAAACTGCGCAAACTGTCGGTTTGTATCTACACGAGACTGATATTTAAAATCCTTTCATCATTATTGTGAACATAAAGGTGCCAATGCTCGGCTTTTGAGGAAAAAAGACGAGGTTCGAACAGTTTCCCCTATCGACTTGATTTGAAACCGCTCAAAGGAAGAGGAGAAGAAAGCAGAGTAAAGATATTCGTCTTGGGTTAAGGGTGTTTTATACCAAGACCTTCTCTTCGTTTGGCTATTATGCCTCACCTTCATGTGGATCAACTTTTGTCATCTCTAATCAATGCTGTGTAGGCAGGCATTTTACGTAGAGACATTGTATTGTTAGAAAAGAAAAAACAAGGTAGAAAGCATATGTAAAACATGCTGCCTTCAAAATTTGCGATACTTCTTCCCATCGTTTATACACCAAAAAAAAACTCTAGTCTCAATCAGAGAATGAAAAATTAAAGCATCAAATACATTTCCATCAACATGTCTCATTCAGTCCAAGTCTTCTTCGTTATTTTATATTCTCCCCATGATACATGATAGCGACAAACAAGACATGCCCCCCACCTTTAGCGATCTATGTGTCTCTTCAAAAAGGAAAACTGCATCAGTGAGTTAAAAAGAGTACCAAGCTGATAACAAACTACAAGTAAAAATAAGAGTAAAAAGACACCGTGTAAAAGAAGAGTTTTGATGGAACACATAAACATTCACACATAAAATCCCATCATTTTCCCACCCTCTCCTCCAAGCTAGTCAATATCAACAACAGAATCCCACACACGTATAGAAACTCGAACAATAAAAAAAAGTAATTAATAACATCATTTTTTTTAATATTATACACTCAAGTAAAGCTTGTCAGGCACACAATCTTTTACCTTTCCATTCTCTCCGCTGCATTAACAAAGCTTAATACAAGGATATTCCTTTCTACTACCCACTTCGCAATCACCAAGAAAGTAAATGAAACAACCATGGCAACAAACAATATCAACGGTGTCATCACTCACGCACGCATCTAGCAAACACATTGTATTTAGAATGAAATCCAGTCTGTACAATATCCGCAGCATCCGGTAGAGCAATCGTTGACTAGACATGTAGAGAAAAAGGCTGTCATATCTGTTTCATCACACAGGCAACTAATAGATGTCTAACCAAAATGCACGCCTACAACGTATAACTGAAGAAAGAAAATGCTGAAAACGGACAAAAAAGACCAACCCGTTTTCTGAAAACCATCACATGTCTCGCATATTCACCCTCCCTAGTCCATAAAATGGAGAAGAAACCTTGCCCATGCCCCTCCCTCTGTCAGCAAATTCCAAATCTTCTCACCTTCTCCTTACTGCCCCAGATAAGCACCTCCAAATGCGAGAAAGGACTGCAGGAGAAGAGAGAGTAAATATGAGGGAAAGGGGAGGATCAGGAGAAAAGGAGATTCAAGGTTTGAGTTGAGTCGAGTTGCCGTGGAGTGGAGCTGCTGGTGCTTACGCTGCTCTTCCGTCGTGGAAGGAGGAAAGAAAAAATAATTATGCGCGCTCATCACCATATCTAAAGTTCCGAGCCAACCGCAGCATCCGCTCTTTTACTGACATTTGCTGTCTCAAAAGAGCAAGAAGAAGAAAAGAAAAGAAACCTGGGTCTGTGAGCATGCGTAAGCAAATGTGCAAGGATGATATAATGCGTACGCATACCCCTTGCCCGGTACTGCGCTTTTGTGATTTTTTTTTTTAAATCACATCCTCACCACTTCAAGAGAGACTCCTCAAGCATTGAGTCAGAATAAACTTCTCCGCCTCCAATTAGATAATAAACAGCACTGCTAGGTCCGGCATGGTCTGTAAGAGTTCCATTCATGTCACAAAAACATGGTTACAGCGCAGCATATCCATGCTCTCTTCCTTGTCGTATCACTGCGCCTCGCTTCACAGCTGTAATCCAAAGCGGATGCTTTACTCCAGCCCAGTCCAAATAAACGTCACTGATCGGGAACCAGCTAGGTAGGTAGTCATCCGCCGGGGAAGAAGCCGCTGTGTGCTAGTAATTACAAGTACTGGTACCAATACCCCGTGAGTAAGCGACAAAGTATGCGTGCAACGGGTGCTCCATACGAGAGTACGTAGTCGCAGTAGTAACACTGTATCTCCAATGGACTGACTGCCGAAGGCATCGCCAGACTCACATCACTGCCGGTGGCCTGTCCTCGCTGCTGCATGTGCATGTAATACAGGTGACGGCCCTTTGTGCATAACGTGGTGAGATGGCATGGCGGCGGCGGCGGTTGGGTAGATGCAGAAACGCCCCCAATTAGAGGGTTGCACCCTCGGCTCACACGCCACTACAAACGACCATTCGCTGCGCCATTGCCAGATGCCGATGCTATTCTTAGCTCGTGGAGTGACAGCCACATGTGCATGATGCAAGTTGGAAGAAGACAGGGCGCTGGCACCCTATCGTTGACTTGGACGAAAATCTGTCGCTTCAGGGCGTTGACGGAGAGCGCGGCTGGCTGCCTGGAGTTTGGCCAGCAGCGAGATGCTACGGCCTGGCTGGTTTTCATTAGCAGAAAATGCACAACCAGTATCCACGTAGTCTCGGATCACACGACTAACAACCCCCGACGGGAGCCACGGCCAAGGGGCAGAAATCGAGAGCCCTAAATCTTAACGTGTCCCACTCGCCCAAGTCCGTGACTGCTCTGAGACGTGACGGCTGGGGCGCAAATCGCCATTAAACGTGTTATAAAGTGTGTTGAAACAGCGCCCATCTGCCCTGAAGTCGCCTGTCAGCGCTTGTTCAAGTATGTTTCAGAAGGGCAAGACACGAGTATTGCCTAATCAGGCAGTCACAAGGTGACCTTGCCAGGGATCGGGATCAACCAGAGCAAAGGATTATGTGATATTGGTAGATGGAAGGACTAGCCGTAATATCGAGATTGTGGTCGCCATGGGTCTTTTCCACAGAGAGAAAGAGAAAAGCAACCGACCCTCGCCGTCCCGCACGTCGGGGAGCTCAAGCTGCTGGGCCTGGCCAGACTGGTCCACCGGAAAATAGACGAGGATAGGCTATCAATATGGAAAGCTGTCGCGGTCCATTTGCATCTTAGGGGGTTCAGAGTTCGGATTATTCTTACAGCTGCGCCTTTTTGGCGAGTAGATATTGTGGGCAAATCTTTCCGCAATCAACATACTTGTACATTTCGCCTATCCCATCATGCATTAGCGACGACTAGTACTAATATTGCGCGTGCTACAGAGAAAACTTTGATGATTAAACTCACTGGGTATCCGCTCAGGCGCAATGAAGTCGAGGGAGCTCTGGATCTCGCTCTTTCTAACCACGCGAGTAGTGGGTGCTCTCGGCGCAAATTCAGTCCTCGCCCGTCGAAACTCTCTTCGCCCCATATCGCCAAGGTCATTGAATGTCATCTCTTGCGAGCACTCTGAAATCGGATATACCTTCTGTACTCGATCAGACAGGCTGCGTCACGGGGCACTCCGTACGTGCACCAGGTCCATGCCTGGCACTTTGCCCTTGTTTGATAGCAGAGCGCTCCGTGCGCTGAAGGACGCACATCGTTGGAATCAACATTTGTTGCTCGCAGCAACTGCCAGGACACTGCTGATTTGCTCGGCTGAATTGGCTAGCTCGACTCTAGGTATTGAGATAGCCTTGGCATCCGATCGCTAACCATTAGCCTAGGTGGCGGGCTTTATTGTCTTGCCGGTGGTCTGAGAAATGATGAACTTTGGTATAACCTGTTCGTCAGCAGATGAACATAAGCGACCACTACAACGAGCCTTTACCTACCTACGATGTACTTGCGCAGTACTGTTTGTACTGTAGGAGGGAGGTATTTGCTATAAGTCTCCACTCAATGATCTCACGTACTGTAGCAAGAGAGAGCCATCATGGTGGCATTGCGATAACAAGCCCCAGGGATATCCATGCCGATGACGATGCTAGCGTTGCCCAGACCGAGGACATGTTCAGGAATCTAGCCCAGATAGTCAGTCGGGGTGCATAAGCGATTCCATAGACTCTGAGCAGCCCGTCCGCTAGCCCCAAGCCTTCAGATGGGCCACCAAACGAGGGACATGTTCCTGTCTATCTGTAGACTTTCATCATATAGTGCTTGGAAGCGCAGCCGCCACCAAAGCCATTCCCCCGAGTGCTGCTGAAAGTAAGTTTGCAGTTGTGGATATCGGGCTCAGCACCTCCATATAGGCAGGCCTATTCGCTTCGGAGTCTGTACATCTTCCGCCTCCAGCTCTGCTCGTTGTGTAAGGGATAGAGGGATAGCGTGCAAGGGATAGCATCGTCGGTCCAACAGCTCCCCAACATATCTCGCCTTCCCTCAATGAGTAGTAGTAGCGGTAGCGGCGGTGCTTGTCACATCACCAGGTCCAGACGAAAAGATGCAAAAGAAAACAAAGGTATGAGTACTTGACGGCCCCATCCCCATAGTACCACACCATCGCTGCGTTAGTCCGGCGTTAGGGTTATTCTATATTTAGGCACACCACCGAAGGTTTTGTCGAAGCTCGCCGCTCGGCCACTCAGACGCCGCAGCGGCAACAGATCGTGCAGGACGAGGAGGGAGGCGGATGCAAGGGAGGACGGTCCAATATGCTCGCCTGGAGAGGCCTTTCGTCATTCTATACAAGCGCATCGGGATTAAGAGTGGATGCTGCTTCCCCGCCTGAAGCTCCCGCAATACCATGTCAGTTGGTATTTGAGCTTTGCCATTTACTTTTGTTGACGGCCCTCGTCGCCCTTCTCTGCGGGTATGGCGATGATGAGCTGAGATTCCGCCAGGGGGACCAAGAGCGGGCTGAGCTGCCTGCCCCTTCTGGCCGCTTCGTCAACCAAACTTTGTGCCGATCGCAGACGATCCTCAGGCTCGCCCGCCAGGAACGGACAACTCTGCCTGTCTTGCAGAGTGTAGTTCGCATTAATTGCACGGCAGGGCCACAGGGGCGGCAGGCGGCTCGTTCGGGGCTCTGTGCAGCATGTCAGACTATCGCTCCATTTGTGCTAGGCCATCCGGAGGCTACAAAACGAACATGCTGAGGCTGTGGTCATACACAGTGTCTCTTGTGATGAGGGTTTTGCTGCAACACCGGGCCACACGACGCAGCGCCAGACAAGAGCTATCGGACCGTCTGCAGCTGTGATCACCAGTTGCTTTGTCCCATTTGAGGGGTCCAGCTTCTCAGAAGTTCTTCCCACCCCTCGGATCCCATTAGTGCCTTGTTGAAAGGGTGCGTGGGCGGACCTCCGTCATCTTCTTGTAGACGCATGTGTGTCGGAGCAGCTGCATGCCTATGCATGAAAAGGGCTGTGGCCGATTTTCTTGGCCACCAGTTACACACCCGCCCCAGCCCTCCAGACTCGCCGACGTTCTCAAAAGGCAATGGCGCTATTGGGACTGCTATCCAGTGGTGGTGATGGTGGTGGTGATGCTGCCAGTGGATTGCAGCTCAATGAGCAAGAAACATGGAAAAGAGGATGCTGACGCGCTGACATTCCACGCTTGGGCGGCGCATCACACAGATCACTGTGCATGCGCATGTAGACCATCATGCACTCGATTCTTCAACTCTGCAGGGTAGGATGGGCCAACCAGCATCGGCAACCAGGAAGTGGTACACGGCTTCGTAGAAACCAAACTATCGAAAAATGCTGTGCGAGTATAGTTCTGCCGTCGGCTGTGGCTTGCGTGGGCTTCCTTTCTCACCGCTTCATGCGGTGCACCGTCGCCAAGCGAGCTGAGGCACCTCTTGATCTCTTGATAGGATACCCCAATATGCATCCAAGACGTGTTATCCCGCCAGTCGTGAGATAATGACCGCATCGCCCAAGCAATAATGGGGGAGGCGGGATCTAGCTACGGCGGCCCAGAATCCCATGCCCTCGGCTATCGCCCAAGTACGTAATTACCCATCCTTGTCTTGTCATAGGGTACAGGTAGCACAGGTACCACTGTCAGGCGGCAGCACAACCTCAAATCTCAACATCGATTGTGCCGTTGCCTATTTTCTTCTTGGCAGCTTTTCGTGTAAATAACGCTCTTCTCGTGGGGGAAGAGACACGTAGGACAGCCGGAGCACGTGTATATGTGCATTTCACGAGCACTCTGCAGTTGTTGTAGCACGCTCAGTCACTCCGGAGATCCAGAATCTTGTCCAAGCCTTAATCGGGGAATGCTCACAAACCGGTACCTGGCTGCGTAGACGACGAGTGGCGGGTTCAAACTCAAAGACATTCTATCCATAAGGTACCTATGCCCGCCATTCACACGGCCACTATAGGTGCTGGGCATAGATATCTCTAGTGCACAGTGGCATCTGCATCAAGTTGCCGGTCCAGATGCGTCCGGATATCGGCTTAAGGAAGCAGCGAGAGTTTGTGACGCTCCAGCCATTCTCCATCATACCGATTTGTAAGTGGACAGGCCAGGCATATGCAGAATGATATCTTTAGCAACAAGGCGACGGATACTCGCTCATTGGACACCACTTGGCCCGTTAGTGCACACGTGTCGCTGTAAAGGATGCCGAGATCGAGGCCAAACGCAAGTAGGTCTCGGTGGCGAGCTATGAAACGTTGCAGTGCTCCTCTTTTCTTTTGACTTTGAGCTACGGAGTAATACTGTCAGCCTTATTTTTGTGTTTCTTTATTTTCTGGGTGAACCTTTTTTCTTGTATTATTTTTCTTCTTCCAGCCATTATGTGTGCGATTGTGGCTTTGCCCTCGTTTGTCAGCTCTCTTTCGGCCCGCTTGTCTTGGCGACAGAAACACTGGCAGCTTTTTGCTAGCCTCTGTTAGCAATCCTTCAGATTCTCAGAGTGAAGCGTGTGTTGCCGTTCCGCACTCACGGGATTTTACCTGTGCGGCGACGCTACACTCAACGAAAGACAAAAGAGATCTGCGCATATAAGCTTCTTTGAGTACCAAAAACCCACGTCATTTGAGATGCTCACAAGCCTCGGCACTGTAGAGCCTCGGCGCTTTCTAAGGCCTCAGTGGTCCTCTTTTTTTTTTTTTTTTTCAAGGAGGTGGCCTGTCTCCAGTGGTGGTGTTTTCTTATGGCAGCATAAACCAGATTCAACCGCCTTCACCTAAAAGCAGGATGTGGTGTGCAAGAGTATTGGGCAGTGTGTTCTGTTGTGGCGTTTCATGCAGAGTGAAATAAGGCTGTGTAAGTCGCAGCAAGAATGGATGCACCACGGGCTTTTCCCCCTTTGTCACATCGCATAATGCCCCTTCTAGGTAATGGTTAATTATGTCACCCAGCAGTTCGGGATTGTTTCCTATACCGCACAAAACCTCGAGTGCTCGTACAACCCTGTCATGGCGAACCTTCATACTCAAAGTGCATCCAAAAGTACCAGCTAGCCAGCCGTACCTCGTGGCCAGGTTCGGCCTGCACTGCCTGACTGCTGTCTGACTCGTCGTGTCGCCATCTCATCGGACCTCATCTTCGATTTAGGACTAGACGTCACAGTTCTCTGTCGACAATTCACTTGTGAAGTGTAAGTCCGGAGTAGCATTTCGAGTGGAAATGACATTTTGTGGGCCGCCATGTGCTCCATATTGCAACCGCCAATGCTGTTGCTGTGCTTTGCATGAGCAAGCTCCCACTTGGACGACACCCAGCAGCATTCGCGCGCCATGAAGCCAATCAAAGCGATGAATGGCTATAGTTGCGATCCTGGTCCTAAAAAAAGAAATCGGCCGATACAGCTTCGTGATTGGCTATTTCGTCTCACCTGCAGGATTTGTCGATGAAGACAGTTCAGTGTCTGCATTTTGTAAATGCTTCACGATACGACCAATGATAGGTAGAGCGGAATTAGCCCGGATGATGATAAATCCTACACTATGATTGTAGCTGCAGCAACACTTGTAATAATATTGAAAGGCTGCAGCTGCGATGATCCCTATTCATGGACATAGGTATAGCCCGGTAGGGTAGCAGCTTTCGAGCTTCCCCGAGTTGTCAAGTTTTGTACAATAGCACGGCCTTGAGCGTCCTGAGTAAATCCTGTGGCTTGTGAGGACCCCGAATCGGCCAGCCTAAAAGGGGGTGGCCGCAATTCTTAGCGTAGGAAGCGGATTGATGGAGCCCCAGAAGGCCATTTCAGGACACGAGGTTTTAGAATCTCCTTCGCAGCCCATGATAATCTCGCTATGAATTAGATCTATACCTGTTCCTGAGAATGGCGGCACCCCTGGTGGTACCCTGGGCTCTGCTCGGGGGCTTGAGCGGACCCGTGGAGTATGTTTCCGGGCCTAGAGGAGGCTTGGATGGCATAGTATTGAGCCTGAATGTATCGTCGTTTCGAAGCTGCCACTATACATGATTGGGAAGCTTCTGGTAAGCCGCCATAGTAACGGCAGTGCGGAGGGAAACATTACCAGAAACGGTAATGGTGGTAATAATAGCAGTAGTAATGCAATCGGCAACATGCTATATTGACGTTATTCTGAGTACGATGTCTTGGTCTGGCACTACTACATTGATTGGGACACTTACTCTGTTTGACAACCTAAATCAGGACTATTCTCGTATCTCTTGTCACTGCAAGACGAGACTGTACTTGGCTTGTTGAAAGCAACAAGACGATAGACGCCAATTAAGAGAGAGGTCGCTTTACAACGCTGCTTTGTAGACAAGTCACCGTCTATACCACGTGCCCTTTCTTAGTGATCACTCTGTCCGCCTGGGTTGCTTCATGAGTAAGCAAGGCCAATAGGATAATCCTTCGGAAGGCTGAGAAATGCATCAATAACCCATCTTCGGTGTCTGAACGTAGACTGACAACACGGAGTAGTGGATCTACGACTGTAGTGATTGGCGGCAATTGCCCCCCCCATGCTAAAGAGGTTTCCCATGGAAAATTCCGCTTGAGAAGGGGTAAAACCAAGCCGAAGAAGGCACTAGGCATAATTGCCGTTGCTATAATTGCCGTTGGCTGCCTCCGTCCTGAACCCTTTTCCCCGAGCCTTTGACGTGATTTTTTGCTTAACGGGGGCAGCGGATGAAAACCCGAGCTTTGCAATCCTGGCTTGAAGATAGAGGGGGGTTTCTCAGGGTCCAGGGCTGTTTGCGCCTTGTCGGCTCTGGCGTCAAGAGCTTTGCTTGATTAAGCGCAATGCCGAGCCAAGAAGCTATTCTAGCTGCTGAAGGAAGAGTGTGACCTCGTATCTTTAGATGATGAGACGATTGACTAAGAGACAATGGCTCTCGCTCATTTCCTGTAGATCAGGAACGCGCTTGATCAGAGCGGGGCCAATGATGAGAGTGGCTGAGATGTTATGCAGTGTGAAGCCAGCCAGCCAACCACATTGGCGCTTGCACGGAAGAGTAGCCTATTCAGGACGGCAGGCTGAGGATTCGATAACTGACTCGATATAGCCTCTTGGGGGTCAGTGCTTGCTTGGCTACGAGATGCGCGCTCCGACAGCAAGGATATGCGACCTTTAGTAATATGCCGCGCTTGGGTGCTCTGTTGCTGCCGCCGCCTGTTGACGACATTGACCACGCTTCGGGATCGCCAGTTGACAGGAGATGGCACATGGAGCTGGACGGAGTACTTGTACATGCGCTCCGTGCGGTCGGCCCATAGATTTGCTCGGCCGACAGGCGTACCAGAACCTGTCAATGGCCTGCTGCCGATATCCGCGGTAGGATCTGCATTGACAAAGCAACAAGTGAGACGAGCGCCAAGATTCTTCCTGGCTTCTCGAAGACCAGGGCCTGGAGTTCAGCTGGCTTCGGGCAGCGCGCCAACCAAGTCTGGGTATATCTGTCTGCTAGCATGCAAGGCCATACGGCAGTTGTTTGCTAATTGTTACTGTTTATGGACTCGACCTGCCTCCTGGCACTGACATGTCGGAGATCCAGACTCTGAGAACCTTCCGGCCCTGGCTAGCCGTTTGATTAGAGAGATAGGCGAGGCCGCTGGATTAATCGCCGTCACTGCGTCTAGCGGCAGATTTCGTGGCTGTCGTGACAGCAATCCTCCCAGGTAGACGCGGTTCCTGGCAGCTGGAACACCGCCAGATACCTGGTACGAGCAGTACGAGGGCAATTTGCTGGTAACGTTAACCCCAACCGGGGGGCCAAGCAAGCAAAACGCCCCCTAGCGGTGCACTGACCGTTGGAGGCGCTCTGAGACGCGCGATGGAGGACTTGCGAGAGCTTCGCCTCAACGCCTCAAAAGCCCAAGGACGAACCGGCCGTTTGGATTTAGGCCGAGAGAGGCGCGCCGGTGCGTAGAGCGCAGCACAGAGCACCTGACAGCAAACATGGACGGCATTATTATTATTCGTGCATTGCAGTACATTATGCGAGCACCGACCAGCATTCGTGCAGCATGTGCTGGATGGAGCATCGCCTCTCGGTGCCTCCTGGTTGACGGAGAGCTCACCGGTATTGCCCAACATGGACTTAACATGGGCGACAGGGAAGACGATTTGACGACATGTGGATATGGAGTACAGTACCGCGATGCTTTGGCCGCATTTCTGCACAGCGGCAGCCGAGGACTCCGTGGCGGCCAGGGCGCTAGATGCCGTCGCTTGTAAAAAGTACTGCTAGCTAGTGCTGGCACTTTGCGCTGGTGAACCGGCCTGCCGACTTTTTTTCTGAGAGCTGCTCCAGTATTTGGTGGGTACGCTGCGGGTTGATTGCACTTGGCCTTCGACCTGCTTGCTACAGTATGGGTAAGGTTTGGCAAGTGTCTCTTGGCTTACTGGTGTTGTTTGCTGTAAGCGAGACTTGATCAGTGTCTTTGCCCAAGCCTCAAGTTGCAATAAACAGTGCAGCAGGCAAATAGCAATCAGTCAGGACTTGAAGAATTGATGCATAAATGGCTGCCTTCTTGAAATGGTGGCATGGGTCTAGACGATGCTTGCTGAGTTGCGCCTGCCAATGGTTCCAAATAGGTCAGTTACCTACTGTAGGCAGGGAAGGAGGCAGGGTTCGGCGTGATGAGATCCCAAGTCAGACGGCAAGTGCTGCCTACCTAGGTAGGCACCTGGCCGGTCTATCCTGCGCAATAGACTGACAGGCGCCCGTAGATGTACAGACGCAGTACTGCACTACTGAGCTACAAATGGGCTGGGCTTGCATGTAAGTTGGCATTAGGGTTCTGTTGCAAGAGCTAATCGGTGCAGTGCTAGAGGCTGCATGTGCATGCGCGGTGCAAGGCAAGTGCGCTTTTCGGGAAAAGCTGCCTGTGACGACAAGGATCCACACCCGCCCAGCGGTGGACAGCGGCTGGCCTCTCTGGTGGGCATCTCTGGTGGACATCTCTAGTGGACATCATCTCTGGTGGGCATCTGTGGAAGCCACCGAGTTAAGCTCTTGGTTCCCGAAGACTTTTTCGGCTAGCCGGCTTGCACTAAGACGGTTGGTAGATGACTCTGGCGAACTCTGTGCTAATTAGGCTTTCCATCTCATCTTCAGCCTCTGCTTAGCATTTCGGTTGCCGCATATCGGGATGATGGGGGGCGAATTCGTCTTGAAACTCAAATGCTCCTATCCTCTAGGTACCGAGAGTCCTCGGTCGCAACATGGACCTGTGAGCGGCAGTGAACCAGTGCGAGCCAAAAGTAGATGCAAGTTGGGGCGTGATAATAATAGCATAGTTGAGTGTTCCTTTCTTCTCATCTCATTTCACAGATACGAAGAGACAGAAAGAAAAGGCTCCAATGGCAGCCTCTCAGCAAGGCTCTGGGGACCTCACTCCCACGGCGCAGAGGATAATTCCGCAGGCCACAATGTGCTGGCACCATCTGATCCTCGTCCGATGGCGTCGAATCGCGCAGTTCTGTTTCACCCTGAGAAAAGGCCGGCCCCAACTAACGCTGTGCCATGGCGTCTGGCCCAAAAAGCCTAAGCCCGCGAGCAGGGTGCGAAAAAGCAACCAAACGACGTCTGCTGGTTCCATCCCCCACATTGCCCGCACCCTGGTGGCCAAACCAGGCCGACGGCTCGCCCCAGTTGTTACCTATTTTTAATTCTGGTGCTGTGGGCATCGTGCCATGTGCGTCATGCCTCTGGACGCTTGCTGAGGCCAGGGAGCCAAGCCTCATCAGGCCGTCACACCCCTAGCCCGAACTGTCCAGAGCCTTTTCGCGGGCTCGTACGAAGCATCATTGTCCATCACCCATCGCCCATCACCCATCACCCATCACCCGTCTCGCCCCCCTCTCTCCACTGCGGTGCCGACCGGAGGCCCTGCTCTCTTGCGCTGCGCTGCGCTGCCCCGTCTCATGGACATTTGCATGTATTCGCATTTGCAGGCAAATGCTGTCCGGAGTTCTTGGCGCTGAGAGAAAGCCGATGGTCCCTTGCCTGCGACGGTGCCCGCTTATAGGTTCTCCGTTGCTTTGTGTCTCAGATATGTGCCTGTAGGTGTGTGTTGTGTATTCAAGCACGGTAGCCTGGCAAGCGCACAAAAAAATAAAATAAGAAAATAAAAACCTTACTGTCAAACCCTAGGAACCTCTTGGATACATTCGATACAAAATTCAACTGCAGCATACATGTACTTACCAAATGCTTTCATCTGTGCAGCACCGCACTTGTGCCATGTGCCCTGACACAGCACAGTAAACCGCAGACGAGCACCAAAACCCCCACTAACCGCTACGACTCACCACCTGAAAACCCCGAGTCGCACAGCGCGTGGCACCCCCTTCCACCCCCCCGTCGTCCGGGACATGGCCGCTGAGGGGCCTTTTGTCAAAGCCAAGTACCTGCTGTACCCGTCGTCTCCTGCCAGGCTAAGCCTAATGGGCCCCTACGACGTCGGCGGACAAGCAAAGCTCTCGCTAGCACCAACGCTCAGACTGGAAGGATCTAGCAGCTAGCAGCAGCGCTACAGCTTCGGCGAGGTCAGGCCGGGGCCAGGGTCAGGGAGGCTGCGCCGGAACCCGTACCTGTACCCGTACCTGTACCTTTGCCAGTACCTGCGCCTGTACCTGTGCGTACAGTGCCGGCTGCTATGGCTGAGTGGCCGCCTGTAGGGGCTGGCCGCCCACTGTAGCATAGCGCAGTACAGCGTAGCGCCCAGCCTAGCCCAGCAGGCGCCGCGCCGCAGCAGCACAGCACAGCACAGCACGCTTGGGGCAGAGGCTCGCTGAGCGTCCGGTGGGATGCCGCCGCCATTATTTAACATTCCCCAGTCCCCCAAGCACCTCCCCTCTCTTTTTCCCTTCCCTGGTCTTAACACTCCAAATCTTCTCGATTTCCAACGTTCGCTCTCCCACATTCGCTCACCCTTTCCTCTCGCTCCTAGGAAGTCCTCGTTGACTCCTGTCATTCGCTTTTATCGGTGCTCTCGCTTTTTTGATCCTCCCCACAACCGCCATTTCCGCCGCAGCTTTTTTGCCCGCCGACTCCGCCGCCAATATCTTACTCGCAGTCAACGGATCATCAATACCACAAAGAAGAGATCTTATCTGAATCGATAAATCAAACATCTTTCTTGCACGGAATACATTTCTTCAGCTACGCCAAGCCACGTCTAAGCTTTTCGAACTGCGCAACATTCGAACAGTCCAGACCAGCTGCTAGCCGCGGGTTTTCAAGTCCTCAGGACCGAATTCGAAATCGCCGTAAATGTCTATCTAAAAGAGCTTCTTTCTTCGCACCATCACAATCGCTTTCCACAATCGCTACCAAACATATAACGAAAAAAAACCTTCAAAAACATTTCTTTTTTACGACTATAACAATTTTACGTTTAATTCAAAGAGTTGGGAGAGAAAACTTTTTATACGCCATATTCAATCGCTACTATTACTTTTCAAGAGAACGTTGGAGCAAGGATCCAGCAAGATTAATCGACACTAGCTACTGCACATCACAGCTATAGCTTGATAAACCAAGTATTTGGGACGACAGCCAAGTAAACCAGCCTCACAACTCTCGCTCGCTTCTCAAGCACAGCCGTTTTCAGCTGTGTTTTCTTTTCGTATGTGCCGTCTGCTCTGCTATTCCGCCCACAGCTCAATCCATTTCCTTCATCTGCTACATAATTTCGTCTGCTAACCAGCGCTTATTCTCATAGGTCACCTGTCACCAATCTCAACACTTTTCCATTATCAGCAATGGCTGGCCCTGGCGGTGGTCCTCCTCGTCGCAGGTGTGTATCCCTCTTCTCTATTGGTTTTCTGCGCGTCAACTGACCTCATCCTCAATAGTCACACCAAGTCTCGCAAAGGCTGTGAAACGTGGTACGTATTAATATCTGCTGTTGCTTGGACGGCAGCTCTGATGAAACCCGCAAACTCTGGTCTAACTATGGCTCTACAGCAAGCGTCGCCACATCCGTTGTGATGAGAGCTTTCCTCAATGGTGAGTTTGGCCCATTCTGATTTCAGCTAGATGCCTCTCTTTTTTGCTAACGCCATGCCCCCAGCCGCAACTGCACCAAGCACAAGATCCGCTGCCCGTACAACGATGTGCAGGTTCCTGATGCAGGTCGCTCAACCACGCCGGACAAGCCCGATCTCATGTGGACTCCCGAAATCGAAGTCTGCATTGCCGAATGGCAGAGGACCGGCCAGTTCCCCTTTCCATCGCTCAACATTTATCCAGCTCCCGTGGCGCAGACCCTTTCCCCCGAGGATCTCCGGTTGATTCACCACGTTTCCTCGCTGTACGTTCAGCTGCAGGCTTTTGGCGCCAACAACTTCACTTTGTGGACGCGTCACATCCCGACGTAAGTAGTTTCACAGGAACCATCCGTCCCCTGCTTCTCCGGCACCTTGCCGTTGCCAGTGGTAGCATAATGCTCAACCAGACACTGACTTGGTGTTTCCAGCCTGATAAAAATCGGAGCCACCACTCCCTATGTGATGCATGCGCTGTTGGCATTTTCCGCCATGCACCTGGCCTTCTTGACCGATTGCCCTCTCGTCGGCAGCATGGCTTTCGAGCATAAGGGTAAAGCCTTGAGCGGCCTACACGCGGCCATTGGCTCATTCTCTCGCGATACGTCTGACGCTATCCTTGCGGCATCTCTGGTGCTGTCGTGGCAGGCCACGGATTGGTAAGTGTCGCTCTTGTGCGACTTTTGTATGAGCAATGTATCACTAACCGAATTTCACTGAACAGGCGCAGCTGGACCCAGCTTATGCAGGGTACTTCGACGGTGCGTTTTTTTCCCTTTTTTGCTAGCACATCTACATCACATCATACTGACTTTTTCCCCGTTAGGTGATTGATGCTATGGAGCCATGGAAGCATGAGTCTGAGTTCACGGACTTCATTGCTGAGAGCAGCACGTTCCCAACCGCTCCTCCTTCCCCGGACCCTGAGCATAGGCCCACCCAGCCGCGTAAGGACGACATTGAGGCCTATCAGCGAACCCTCGAGCAAGTCATCAAGGTGGAAGCTCATCTGAAGCACTACAAGGAAGACACCACTCAGATGCAGCACTTGATCAGCTTTCTCAAGGGTTCTCGTAAGATCAGCCCCACTCTTTCCATTGCCCAACAGTTTGAGCGCCTCCAGCCCCTGAGGACTTGGCTTTTCTGGGTTCCAGTCGGATACCTCCAGTCTCACCAGGCCTCTGCCAACTCCCTGGTCGCCATCGCTCACCTGTACACTGTGGCTTTGTTGATGGAGCGTCTCTTTCCCGAGATTGGTGCGGCCTACTTTGGCAGCCTATCCATGACCCCCATCGAGGAGATTGCCCGGCGGCTCATGTCCATCAACGTTGCGAGCACTGTCAAGGGCACTTACCAGACCCCGCTCACGCTCATGGAATTTCCCATTAATACCGTCAGTGAGTTCCGGTCTCGCATGGGCTGGATGAGTCCGCAGAGGACCCCTTCGTTCCCCACGTTCCATCCTCCCAACTTCCATCATCTGGAGGAGGTGCCACCGATGATCCCCGCAACGGAGTCCTACATGCCATATGGGAACCCGGCTTTCAGCTACAGCGCTGAGGAGATGCCAATGCTCAACAGCCCTGCCGCGCCTGCTCCCCATGGGTCGCTCAGTCCGCTGGTCATCTCGTCTCCCTATCCTCACCAGCAGTATCTGAATGTCCCTTCTCCATCCTTTGGTGGCGCCTACAGCCCGGCATCGTCAACCTTTGAGGCCTCCATTGCATACAGTGATTCGGAAGAGTATGGTGCGTATGACATGCAAAGCTTTCCTCCTGGCCAATCGCCCGTTTTCGAGGATGCGCACTACAGCAGTAGCTACGGCGTCGGGTTCGTTACTCCCCAGCAGCCCGTGTGGATCTAGGCACACACACCCGGCTCTCCAACCCCGGCTCGAGGAAGCACAATCGGAATTGACCGTTTGCCACCCAGGAACTCCAGTACTTCAGCGTATCCGCCTCTAGATGGCTCGTCCACAATGGCACCATCCCATCCGCCACTTCCATCGCCATCACCGTACCAGTACCAGGACCCCCTCGGCATGCTTCCTCTTCCTGAGTCTCCAATCCAGCTGTCAAGCAAGCCGTACCACCGACACCGCCAAACCGCTTCGGCGTCTTCTGCGCCACACCCTCCATCACCGCTGTCACGCGCGCCTCTAATTCCGAGCTCTTCTGAGCCGCAAAGCAAAGGCAAGCAGCGAGCGGTCTGATGGAGTAGCACTTGGACACCATCAGACTTCTACAACTCCGCGACGAGCCTCACCAACCTCCTCTCATATGGACAACCAACCCGACGCAGCTGGCATCTGCTTCCTTCTCCTCCTCTTCTCTTGATTTTTCAAACGCAGACGCAAATGTACAACATTCCTTAAGACGCTCGCTACCATACAACAACACTACGATGAATGGGCCTTGTTTTTCTCTTTATTGCTCCTGTCAGCCACAGCCTGCTTGAGCCCAACGCCCGACGACACTCCTTTTTACAACCTCGAGTTGATCTCGACAGAACAATCCTTTAACGACACGAATAATTACCAACTAACTATTAATGTATTATCTAATACGCGACACTCCTTTTATGATACCCTCCAGCTTAATCGACAATCCTTTAGACGAAGATACCCCAGATCACACACACGATCACACACACTCCTTTATGAAATTATTACGTTATGACGAACACCAGGTCGACATAGAGTCACTCCTTTATTGGGATAAACAAAAATGGTAATTGGGCGAATTGAATATCACACTGCATAGCGACTGTTTATTTTTGTGCTGTCACGCACATTTTATCGGATAGAATATGGCGTTTTCGCGGCGTTCAAACGAACATACGGCGGGAGAGAAGATTTTTGATTACATTTTGTATTTTGGACTTTTGTTTTGTTTTCGGAAAAAAGCAGCTTGGATAATAGGTAGATTATCAGCAGGCATAAAGTGCCAGTGATGATGAACCAGGGGCGTGTATGCGACAGATTTGTGTGGATGAATGTTTAATAGCTGTTGCAATGGTGTATGGGGAAAGCTGCTGCGAAAATGCTTATGGTCAATTCACGTACTGCCTCTAGTGGCAGCCTGAATTTGGATTAATACTACTTCGTTCGAACATTGTCTGAATATCTTTGAGTCCCAAAACTTGATCCATCGAGAACGTGCCGTACGAGGTCTGCGTCTTTGTGCATACAGATTCTAATTGGATAGACCCTACAAGGTATGATGATATCTCAGCGAACTCAATTTGTGGATGATTACTGACGCTTTTCCTTTAAGTTTCTTATTCATTCTCCCTTCTATTCTTCTACTTCTGTGTCATGTCTGTTCCGGATCGAATGCATTCGATCTGAAGGTGGCAGCATAAATTTGACGCCGAAAGGCCCTCCCTGGTTGCCCACGTCCCAAAGGCCTCCTCAAAGTGGAAATTTGAGTGGCCTACTTTGGACAACTACGATCGGACAATCTCTGATCTACTATAGTATCGACGGATAATCTTTGGACCACCTACTACTACTGGTATCGGATAATCTTTGAAGATGAGAGTGGCCTGGACTGGGCTGGGCCGGGTGGTTTGTTCGTTGGCTGGTTGATTCCCCTTGCCTCTGCATTATCTTGCCTCTGGTCTCCAGCAAGCCCAGCCCCTGTTACCCCAACTAAACCCATCTTGCTGGCTCTACTGTACAAGTAGGTAATAGTTCCTTTTGGGAGATTTGTTCCCCGTCATACTAAGCGCCCTGTTCTAGATTCTCTTTCACCTGCAGTAGGTCACGGCGGCAAAATAGGGCCCCCCTACCTTTCTCGCATCATGGCACCACACACATCACACATATCCTTGGCGAAGACGAAACGGTGAGGTGGAGGGTGTGGCAACGGCGTGCCCCGTAACGGCCAAAATCCCTTCAATATTGTTTTCAACCATCTTTCCTGGGTCCTTACAGGCCCTGAACGGATGAGACCAGGGGCATCTTGTGTATAATACGGAAGCCTAGACTGGAAAACGGGATGGGGGGTCAAGAGAGGGAGAGAGGAGGCTTGCGAGGGGGGAAAAACGGAGAGGACAGGAAACATGAAGAAGAAAAGATACCGACTTGGCTAGGGATCATTTAGGCGATGGCGGATATCTGCGCCGTTCTAGGTCTAGCCAGTCCACGGGGTGTGGGCTTTTGGACTTGGGGGACGCTTGTGAATACGAGAAATGGGTGGCAGGGGGGGTTGGTTGGTTTGTTTATTGGGGTGGGAAGGGGAATCTATTTATGTATATGTATGTATGTATACATACGAAGAGGAACAAAGAAAAAATAAATGCAAGCATAAAAGAAGAGCGTGCATGGGGAGGGAGTGGAATCTGGTTTTGTGTTTTACATCTCGTTCGGGTAAGGGGAGTGAGTGGGGGGATTTTTTTGACGATGTTTATTTTGGTGTTTTTGCTTTTTTTTTTTTTTTTTTTTTGTCAAGGGAACAAGCCGTGCTTGGAGATATTTTGCATTACTCCTTTTTCTTCTTTTTGTCTAATAATTAGTAGAAAGCAACTATTTGATGAATTTTCGACGCGGCGGGTTTTTTGCTATTATGAGACGCCAGATGTTTTGGGGGCAGAGTAAATACGAGGTTTTGCGGTCTTTTTTTTTTTGGGAGACTTGGCAGGACTATTGGAATAGCTTCGTATAAGACAGAAACAAGAGCAAAAGGAAATGAGATGTTTCTATTATTTGTTAACGTGTCGTATAGCGAAATTGTTTTCAAGTTTGTTTTTCCGTGCAAAAAATTCTTTTTTTTTTTTTTAATTTGGCAATGGGCTTAGTATGCTGGGGAGTTGACTTTTGGAAGAAACGAGACTTCTGAGGATGACAATACGAGTTGCCAATAAAATTTTGACAAGGAGATTGGAAGGAGAGGTTCAAGGGACGGCTTACTTCTAGGAATCACGAATTATTCCATTTCTTTTTACCCCTTGTTGGATTCCTTTCGTAGTTTATTATTAGAAAGTTTTGACTTATGAGATTGATTCTTTGCAACTCTGTTGGAACACTTCGGCGCTGTACCCTGTGAGAGAGAGCTATATTTAGGAGTTCCCAACAGGAATTGTTCTTTTTTGCTTTTACTTCGTGAGATATCTGCAAGCAACGTTGTATTCCTCAAACCTAGTTTTGAGCTCTATGTCCGAGCACGCGATGTTTGTCCAGGCCGGAACACCTTCGCCTCCTGATCTGCACTGAAAAAGAAGTTTGCCATCATCGTTGCGAGCCAATAGGACCACGAGAGACAGCTCATTATTCACTCACTCATCCTGCAGCTCCGTTAGTTTGATCCACTGAGCGACGCAAACAACTTCCCCCCCCTTTCCCTAGCAAAAACTGCACACGCCCTCACTGTCCTCGCCTGTCAAGGAGAATCGAATCATACGTCCCAACTCTTGCTAGTTTGCCCTCTCATCTCCAGGCACGCAAATTTCATACAGATGCCCGGTACGAGTCATCTTTTTTCCACCCGCCACCCCTCGGCAGTTTTTCCCCCTCGTATTCCAGCCGCCCCGGTGAACGCCGTAAAAGGAGGCGGAGTCTCAAAGGGAGGAAACAACTACTATAGGCGCTTTCTGTAAGGCAGATTCGATTCATTGCTGGGCAAGAGTGAAAAAAAATTTGTTGCCCGATGCCCTGCCTTAGCGCTTAGGTTGATGGATGCCAATAGTCTTGCTGTTGGGCCTTCGGAGACTTTTTCCAAAGATGACATGTAACATGGGAACCGCGATGGATGTGCTATTTTGAGAGACAAAGATACTTTACAGTTGACAAGTGAAAGAACTTTTAAAAAATGTGATTTGTCTTTGTAGAAAGTACAGTGACAAAGCCAAATAATGCCTTTCAGGGGGTGGAGCGTGGCTGATATACCCATTTTGCTAGTATTTTTGGAGATCCTGGATCAAATTGTGTCGGGGATCCCCGGCTCAGTGAAGATCTTTGATCAAAGCAAAGATTGACGACGTTAGGTATCATCTATAGCCCAACATGCTTTTCTGTATGGACAAAGCTGTGTACAATAGCGGGAAGCTCTTTGGTTGCTGTGAACTGACGAATAGTGCCCCAAGACCACGTAGTGAGCAGCATATGGAATACTGACATGTGATTTACACGCTGACATACTGCATATGTACTGACATCATGCATACATACCTTGATAATGATACGCTGTATCTACAGCGTACAGTGGCACTTTACCTTGGGCTTACTGTACTCCGTATACATAGGTACCGATATATCACTATGAGTTTGATAGAACATAATTCAGCAACATCACAGTTACATTCATCTCTGTATATCCTGGATTAGTTGTGGTGGGGATCCTGGCCCAGGAAGATCTTGGATTAAAGCAAAGATTGACGCATTATCCGTAGCCGGACATGCTTTCTACGTGAACAAAGCTGGGTACAATGCCGTGAAGCTCCATGGTTGATGAAACCTCCCACACTATCAAGGACTTAGTGAGCAGCATATAAGCATACATATACATATTTTCACATGTCGTATATATGTTGGCATGCCGTTTATGTACTGACATGAATGACGAGCGGCATACCGTAGATATCGACGTACTGCGTGTATGCTGACAAGCAGGCATGCTGCTAACGTGAATAGAATACAATTCATACGTCACAAGAACAGGCATATCTATAGCATAATTCTAACTTTATTCAAGCTGCCTCCAAACAGCACTGTGCACTCCAACTAAATGATATACCAACTACCCGCTTCTCCTCTCCTTTCTCTTACGCAACACTACCCCATCTGAGCACTCAAGAGAGGATCTAGAAAGAAAGAAAAGATGAAAGACTCACCCATTCGATTCCCCCGCCAACCACTACTCCCCGGCTCCTCATTTAAATACACAAATGCTCTTCATATATACAGATATGTAACTCCTCGCTGTGTGGCGAAATAAGGGGGAATATGATGTAGCCACTGCGATAAACAGCAACAACAAAACTAATACAAAGGATGTGGTATGTATGCTTATACCAAAATAAAAAAAAGAAGAAAGAAAGAAAGATATAAATGGTGAAAACGAGGATATACTCGCCCAGCCGATAGAGCAAAGGGCAAACAAACAAAAGCAGGCACCATGGCTTTAAACTATATCTAATAAAAATGCGCTTTAGTCAATCATGTAGTAATGACCTCCTGGTGTACAAGCCGTATCACCCAACCGGCTTCAGCCACGCTGGCAAACTGGAAGCACCACTTCTTGATGTTTCCACCCGTGGCTCCATTTGCTGGAACACCTCCAATGACGCCGTCGCCGCTCTTCACTTCCTCCCAGACGCCGCAGACGATACCTCGACTACCCATAGGCGTGAAGCATCCACTTCCAAGAACAGCATCCAGTAGGATGATAGCCTTCTCAGAGCTCTTCTTTGGTATAGTCGTGACCGTGACTCTCTTTTCGAGGCCGTGGTCTGCTCGGAGGGCCTGACGCCAACCAGGAGGTGGTCGGCGGATTTGCAGGGTGCAGTTGCCATAGTCTTCCCACTTCGCAGACGAGACGAGAAGATGTAGCCGAATGCGAATATTCTCAGCGTCAATGTTCACAGGGCCCGCGCCGCTGTGATCAACGCTCACAGATGGCGATCGAGGCGTTCCGTATCCTGATGAAGAGCCAGATCCATAGAGGCTGTTGTTGCCGCTTCCACCTCGGCCGCCGCGCTTGTCAATCGATGATCGCGCGAGATTGAAAGACAGATTTCCAACAAGAGTGAGCTTCTTGAGGAAACTGGTTGCGGACTGAGCGGAAGACGGTGTGGTGCTGGCACCATCTTGATACTGCGAAGGTGCTCTGACTGAGCTGCGGTAGCTGTTCTTCCTACCGAACCAGGTGCGGCGGCGGCTGCTCGTGTCTCCATCTTGAGGAGGGGCTGGTCGCTCTCCAAAGCCTCTGAAACGGGCTTCTTGCTCGAGCTGGATATACTTTTGGTTGTTGAGACGAGCATGGTGCACGGCCGTATAGAGAAGATAACTTTCAGGGCCATTCAAGCAGCGGAAGCGGAAGTTGCCGCCTTGGTAAACTGGTGCCAGCTTGCAGTGGCCCTGCAATGAAGACCTAATTTCAAGATCGACCGCAGTGCTCTGTCGAATCAATACCAGGGGAGTAAGATCCAGTGCGATGATGGGCTTGTCATCCATCTGGGTATAGTTGCTATCTCTGAAAGTGAAGGCCTCAATGAGACCATCGGAGACAGTAATCGAACAGTGATCAGGATGAATGTCCTTCCAAGCACCCTTGTCAGACCATCTGGAGATGGTGGCTAAGCATCGCCCCGACTTTGCAACACTACCATTCTCTGACGATGGCTTTCGTCCATGAAGGCCGGCTTGAGAAGCAGAGTTGGACGGCGTCAGGCTGACTTCAGATCCGTGAGTATACGATGGCGCATACGATGGGGTCCATGAAGGAGCATTGGAGCCTCTTCTCCGATCATCCTCTTTTATGCTATAACCAAGCTCAGTCTGAGGAACATCAATGCTCTCCATTTCTTCGTCAGACGACTCAGATTCGGACTCTGTTCCAGACAGGTCGTCATCTTCTGTTTCCGATTCCTCTCCTTCTTCCACTATCGAGGATACAGCAGAAGAAGACAAGCCAGATGCAGTAGAAACCTCGGAAGGTAAGTACTCATGCTTGAGAGGAGAGGAACCTATCCTCTTGAGCCCGGCGGCGACATGGTGGTCGACAGGTGGTTTAAGCAGTGACTGAGACTTTGCTGTCTGCTGGGGCGTGGGGCTAAGAGTTCGGTGAATAGGCGGTCGCGGCGGCGGCGTGTCATTGTGGTGAATGACAGGAATTGTCTTGGAAGAGCCAGACCTCCCAACTTCTTGTGCGGATGTCTTTTGTTTTTCTCTACCAGGAGCTCCAGGCGCAGCTCGCGTAGGAGTCGGCGGAGCTGATAGTTCGCTGCCGGAATCATCTTCGGTGATTTCGGATCGAGTTGCCGCACTTAGCATGCTCTGAACGCCAACTGGAACATCCGGTAATCTACCAGGAGCGTCCGATCCAAGCTCAGATTCATCCAGGATGCTGGGTTCAGGCTCTCTGGGTGGGACGGGAGATGAAGGTAGAATGTCCAGCCAGTCTAGAATCTGCTCCTCTTCATCTGCCCATAGATTGAGCAGCTCATGCCATGGCTTCCCGTTGTGGTTACCGCGAACCATAAGTACCAAGTCCAGCTTTCCATCTCCTGAGCGAGCAGAGACAAGAGACATGGAAATGGGCGGGAAAAGAAGATATGAACGTCGGCCGTCGCCCACTTCTCGAATGAGAAGATCTCCTTGATCTCCATGTTGGCTTTGATTATCTCGGTGCACTAGTTCCACCTGACATTCCAACCTTTGGCCGTTGGAGTGGGCAATATCAAGCGAGAAAATATCCTTGGCGCTGACTTGACGGGTTACCTCGATAGTAATGGACTTGGTCGGGCCAAGCGTTCTGAGGTCTCGAGCTCTTGTAGTATCCGTGTTGATGGCTTCCTCGTCAATGATCCTAGCAACTTCTTCTCTGTGGCGTCGGCGTGCCTTTTCTTGCAAAGCCTCAAAATCTTTGACCAGCTGGCTAGTATCGGGAGAAGAAAACATTTGGTCGACACAAACAATTAGTCTGGCCATCTGTTTCACGCGGAGGAGCGGCTTCTTCAAAAGGTAGGCGACGGCCACTCGCTCTCCTTGGTCGTTGACTAGATCGCCATTTGCGTTTCTGGGCAGGGCACCAAGAAGAGAGTCGTCCCCTTCTGGTACGCCTCGTCGTGGCGCGAGATTGATTATCAAGTCCTGGAAGCCCAGCCTCCAGACACTCAAGTAGTTATTATACAGTGGGACAACGCCGTGAGCCCAGTTAGCCATCCGGCGAATATCTGTAAGAGGAGCTTTCGAATGTGCGGTTTTGAGCTTTTCGAGGGCGACTCCCATATCGACTACTGACTTGGAGGTAGTGTCGACCTTGACCTTGGGGGAAGAGTTGGGGGAAGTATCGGTTACCACGTGTGAGAGAAGTACGGGTACCACGCCGTCGACCAAAGTCTTGAGCTCTCGCTGATACAGGTTCTCATCATCGGCAAACTCTTTCAGCAAATCATCGGCAGTTACATCATTGGACAGCCCGCGAGCCTTTCGTAAGCTCGGCCTTGACCTGTTATTCATGATTCCTTGAGGAACATCCTTATCGTCAGGCAACGATAGGACAGAAACCAGGTCAGAGTGCTTTGTTAGCCTTCTCTTGAGCCCTGAGCCCTGCCGCTGTGGGATTCTCGGGTCAGCCGACTTTGTGACTGTCGTCGACCGAGTGAGAGTCGATTCTGTCATATCTGACTCTGTTTCCGACTGGCTAACGCTAGAACCAGCGGAAAGGATTGTCGAAAGCTCATACTGGCCTTTTGTAGGGGGCCGGAGGCGCGGTCCGGCCATGTGTGGTGTTCCTCTTGAGCTGTGGACAGATGAATCCCTATCAGTGCTTGAGCGCGTGTCCGTAGTAACCCAGCTACTCAAATCAGAGTTAGATTGCATGTACTGGGAATCCGCGTCAAGCTCTTCTTCATCTTCTGAAGATTCAAATTCGATTCGGCGCTCTTCGCGGCTCTGGTAGCTCTTTACCGGCTTCGTAAGCTCTGCAGATTCTCCTTGAAATGCTTCCTTCAGAGCGCCAAGGAATGGCCGTCTCTTGCTTCCTGATTTTGACTGAGATTGTGAATCTCTTGTAGCTCGGCTCCTCCTCAGCCCGTCTGAAGATGATGATTTCTTTTTGGAAAGCTCCCTCTCCTTCGATGCCCCTGATTTAGGCGTTGAGTTTGCAGAGCCAGGGGCACTTTGAACCGTCTCCTCTGTTTGTGCTGTTTCTACACTGGAAGTAACATTGGAAGTGAGATCAGAGGTAACATTTGAGACTATACGCGAATCAGACGCCATTGAGGTCTTTGTCTCAGCCGATGGTTTCCTTTTAGGCGTGGCCTTTTTAGGTGTGGTTTCTTTAGACGAGGTTTCCCTAGACGCGGTTTCTCTAGATTTAATTTCCCTCGATGCGGTATCCCTCGATGTGGTTCCTCGAGGCGTGGTCTCTCTGGGTGTTGTCTTTTTGGGTGCTACCTTTTTGGGTGTGGCCTCTCCAATGGTAACATCGTCGTCCTCGTCGTCCTCGTCAGTCAATGTGGATGCAGGCGACGTCGGCCTATTGTCTTTGTCATAGGGCTCAACAGTGTTGTTGAGCCACTTTTCAATGCTGGGAGGGTTGTTGGGTACAGCATGCCGTGGTGGTTCATTAAGATCTTGAATAATCTTTCTGCCCTCCTCTACCACCTTTTTCAGCACGTTTGGCATGGCTTTCAGGCTCGCTGCTCTCTCCATTTTTGAGCGCTTTGGTTGTTGCTTTGGCCTGCTCTTGGGAGGGCCCCGTAGAGGCAAATCCAGCTCACTAAAGGCAGAATGCCCAAATGGGATATCCCCCGGGATGTCAGCCAAAGATTTATTTGATAAGGATGTGCCCAAATCTGATTCCAGAATTTCCCTGGCACGGGAACCAACGTCTACCGATTTGGCTCTAACGTTGGGACGCTTCGTCCCACTCCTTTTCACGCCGGATCGAGGCTTCTGCTGCGATCCCTGGGGCGGGGTATCAAGGTCTGACATTGATAATTGGGTCGCTTCCTCGACAGCCTTGATCAAGTCATCAATTGTGTGCTTTTTGGGTGCAGCACCGGCTGTTTTGCTTCTCTCGCGCCCAGGTTCTGATCTGGAGTCGGCCATTGGTTTTACCCTGATACCGTCATCCTGAGTTGCAGATGTCGGAGGTTTCATAGGTTTAACTCTGATACCATCATCCTGGGCCGCAGTTGACGAAGGTTTCATAGGTTTAACTCTGATACCGTCATCCGGAGCTGCAGCTGACGATGGTTTCATAGGTTTGACTCGAATGCCATCATCTGGCTGCTTGTTTTGCACCGGAGCAACCCGAATTCCATCGCCGTCGCTTTGCTTGTTTCGTATTGGGCGCACTCGAATCCCATCGTCATCGTCAGTGCTAGGCCTGAGAGGTTTCTTCGCAGTGAGTTCGGTTTCTGTTTCTCCACCATCGCTATCTTCCTCGTCGTCCTCGGAGGAAGTCGACAACTCCGAAGATAATGAGCCTCTACGGCTCCGTGCAGGCGGCGTGACGACTTTTTCGGCCCATGCTTTGACTTTACTTTGGAAAGATGGGTTGGGCACCGCCCGAAATGCAAAGCCGTTTGGAACTCGGGGTGTCGGATTGCTCGGCTTCCTTGGACGCGGCGAGACCTTACGAACTGAAGGTTTCCTAACAACAGAAGGCTTCCTAACCTTTGGCCTGACCCAGTTATCGTCGCTAACGATCCTCTTCTTAGGAGGGGGCAGAGGTGCTGTTTCCGGCTCTTTACCATGGTTGTTATGGACGACTACTTTTTTGGGTGGCCTCTTCTTCTGCCTCATTTTGATTCGTACCCGATCCTCCTCTGTGACACTTTCCACCTCTTCTCCAGCAAACGCAAGCTCCGTTGGCTCCGTGGCCAGATCTTCTGGGTCGGCATCTGCCATGGCGGAGGCATTGGCCTTTTGCCATGCCTTGACCCTGTCATTGACACCACTCGGTTGCTGTATTTTTCGTACCATGTTCTGTTTCATATCATGTCGAATGTCTGATCTGACTGTGCCGGTGCTTTGCCGTCGCTTGCGCTCTGCTTCTAGTCTCGCCGGGGAGGGCCGTCCTAAAAGGAAGTCGTGGAGCAGTGTAGGAGGCTCTGGCTTCTTCGTCGTGTTTGCCCGAGGACGGTTTCCCGCAGCCGCAGCCGCCGTAGGCCTGGGGGCTTCTCCAGGAGTGGCATTGTCGTCTGTCGCTTTGCCATCTTCGGCGATATTAGGGACATCGTTTGAATTCGTAGGGTCGGATGGCGCGCTGCTATCGCTACTGGAATCGGTTGGCGAGGTCATAGTCTATTAATCTGTTCGACATCTACAACATTAATCCCAATGCCACTGCAAAGATGGAAGGCAAAAATAAGATTGGCCAATGCAGCGATCCCAGCATACAGCGTATGGCGTCGGACCTGGTGGCGTGGACGCGAAGCTGGAAGCAGAGCTGCCCAAGATGCCCAAGAGACCCAAGATGCTTCAGCTATTCGCAATGGGTCTTGTCCCAGGGGGATGGGCTGGTGCGCGAGGGTCACAAGCCGCAAACTGTCACTGCGCTACTCACTTCATTTGAGCAACATTCTATTCGCATCGAGGGTTGGAGATTCTTTGTTCGACGCGGTATCGCGTTGGCCGTTGCACATGACAGCCGAGCTCGACAGCTCGAAGCTTCCAGGCCAGCTGTATCAGCCTCGTGGGTGCCTCTGAGAAAGGCAGAAGGAGAAAATGGAGTAAAGGAGGGAAAAGAAGCGTCGCGAGAAAAGTAGACGGGTTGAAGCTGAGTTGGAGGATACCAACCGGGCGGAATAGGGAGCGCGGGGAGCAAAATGAGCGACAGCGGGAGGACGGAGATGGTGACGTTGACGTCGGGCCACACGACGTGTGCGACTCTGGATGTATGTATGTACAGGTGCGAGGCCGAGTCAATCGCTGTTATGAATTATGATTGCCGGCGCTGCTTATGCTTACGCTGCTTGCCATGGCCGTGGCACCTCTATCGTCCCAGCTTCGAAATTGCTGCTCCAAAGCGCCTGCTGGGTGCCGCAGTAACCAGCGGGGTCGCCTCTAATAACAGCCCGCTGTAAACAATTCGGAACAGCTCGAGCGTCACTGAAAAGCCACTGATGGCGCTGGGAGGGCCGGGCCGTGGCCAATGAGAGGCGGCCCTTGTTTTTCGCAGGACACCACTACGGGCTTTGTGGTTAGGATGCTAACGCCAAATGGGCTGGTGGCTATTTTTGTAGCTGATGGGATCCACGAGCATGATGGTCCGGATCGCTCTGCCTTGATTTGGTCGTTTTTGTTTTCGTTGTTGTTGTTTCTCTTTACTTGAAAATAACTCGGTCTATTCAGATGACGAGATTGATGGCATGGATTTTGGCGCGACATGAGGATCGTTGAACTTTACCACTAGGTTGCGAGATTGCGGTAAATTATCTATCGTGGCCATAAGATTGACACTAGCAGACTTTCAACACCAAGTGCGATAATGAATTTCCATAAAATGAATGGCGCTGGTATATACCCTAAGATGATTTTTTTTTTCCGGAAAACAAACGAATAAAAAAAAACTCTAAAAAAAAAGGAGGGGGGGGTAGACATTTAGCTCTAAGTTTTCTTTCTCTGGCTGCTGATTGATTGCTGAAAGTGCTAGTAATACTAGTAGTATACATTTTTGCCTTGGGGAGGGTTAAAAATGCTGTGAAAGACCAGCCGTGCACATGTGCAGCTTGATATGCAAGCCACTAATTGGGAAAAGCATTACTACCAACTGCTTTATCACCTTAGGGTGGGTAAAAATGCCGTAAAGCGTAAACTAAGATGACCAATATTACACTTACGCTGCTGTCCAAGAGGCCTCATTACATCTGCCAGAGTACAATTTAGGGTTGAAGAAAATAATATACTTTTGTTGTTCGTGAAAAATTATTACAGCCTTGGGAGCTATTCTTGTAGATGAAGTCATGTTCTACTAGTGCTCTCTGATTCCATGTTTATGCTATCTGAATTGCTCTATATGCATGTAAATACCTGCGCTTGCTCCTAGTTCTTGTTTTACAACCTGATGTAAAAGAGCGTAGCAATGTAGCTGTTTTACCAAACAGCCTACTTAGACAACTCATAGCCAGTATCACCTCTACAAAGGGCAATGCATACTGAAAATAATGTTCAATTAAAAGATGGGCTCCCGATACTTTGCTGCCTCGGGAAGGGTTAAAATTGCTGTCAAGGGGTGGGGTCTACCGACAAAGATATAGCTACTCCGTACAATGACCAAAAATCCCATCAATATATATACATAGTATTATTGCATCAGAATATTACTTGGAACACGAAAGAAGTCAAATCAATATTAACTACAGCCTCTTTGACTTGGATGCACAATTACAGTAGCTACATGAGATAATACGGAAATAGAAAGAGAACATGAGCTTGTGAAGTCTATATATGCAGGGGCTCTCTAACATCTCATAAACCATAAACTCCTAGCCATTATTTAAAAAAAGAAAAAAAAAATACATGGCACAATCAGTTTTTGGTACAGACAAACTAACAACTGCTATTGCTATTCAACAACTTCTTCGCTTTTTGAGACGGCATGGACACACCCAAACTCCACGAAAAATGGCTGCAGAGCGCAACCACCTCCATCAATCATCTGACATGCTCACGTTTCCCAGCCATTCATGCATTTCCTCTTCCTGTCCATCAATTTATGTAAAGATTGAATGATTGCATTTCCCAGCGTTACAACGTCAGGAACCTTTCACAACCCCTCCTTCAACGTCTCATCTCCCCCACATGCACATTCGTAAGAGAGCTCCAACCCCTGGCACAAGTGATCGTGCCAGATAGTCACACGATGTAATCGGACCCCTCCACACTCCAACTCACTCTCTCTCACGCATGCTGTTTCTCTTTCCCATTCTTTCTCCGTACCAACAAAGTCTTTCGATTATTTGTCTCTCCTCCAAACTCAATCCCCCCATGTACACAAAAATGCCACTTTATCAGATCCTCTCCTCTCACGCCCTCATGCCTCATCCTTCAAATCTCACCTTGAACAAGCACGACATCAAACATCACAAATCATCTCATCATTCCTCACCAATAAGCGCCCCTCTCTCACTCCTTCTCACCATTTTTCTCACCGAACCTCCCGGATCATTTATTCCTGTCTTCTCTCCCTCACAGCCTCTCTCCGCAGCCCGCACGGCTCACTCACGCACCATTCTCTCGCCGTGAACATGCATCTGCATTGCATCCCAAAAGTCCAGCTGATCATCACAGACCCACAGCGATAAACCCCCCCATGTCCGCAGCCAATAAAACGCGCAAGGGTGCTGCGATTCAAGTTCCGATGACAGATCACGTCGCAAAAGGGTAAAAAAAAAAATCATGGATGCGAAAAAATCGTATATGGGCGCAAATCATGACCGTATGCGGAGCGGGCATGCAGGTCTCAGTTGAGGCTACCCAGACATTTTCTTAGTGCTACACTGGCTTATCGGCCTTTGGTTTGCGATGGTGGCGATAGCCTTTCGCGCTCTAATCTCTGATGGATGGAATTATCTGCCAGTTATAGCATCTCAATCCGATATGGTGTAGTGGCTAACATCGCTCGCTCTCAACTTCCAGTCGAAGTACCGAGCAGCCCTGGGTTCGATTCCCAGTATCGGAGAGTTTCTTTCTTTTTTGCTTGCTTTTTGCAAGCAAGTTGTACATTTACAGCGCTCTTCTTCACTTGGACAATCTATTTTTGTAAGTGCGAAAGTAGAATAATGAGAAGAGTCAATTGGTAGTAAATACGCGTAGCACATAAAAAGTACTAATGATCAAAAAGCCTCCAACTCCATCCAAATCATGCCTCCAGATGGTATATATATGTGTGTAAGTGCAATGAACAAAAATCACGAAAGCCGCCTCCGTCCATGTATTAGGTAGTATGTATGCCTTCCTTCCACCGGATGTCCCAGCTCACGATGGTCAAGAATGAACAAGATGCAAAAACAAAACAAAAAAAGGACATAGAACCTCCCTCCATAAGATATGCGTCAAAATAGCAATCAAGCCGCCCAAACGCCTCCTGTCAGGATGCTATACCAAGTAGCAAAGAGAGCCAATGTAGAAATCAAAAGAGCCGAGCCTCCGAACCAAAATATGAGTGTGATAAACAAAATGAAAAGGGAAATCCAGACCTCCTTTTAACGCCAACTCCAATGCAAGATGGATGATGGTAGATAGTTGATTAAATAATGTAGGATGATGGGATGATGATGATGATGATGATGATGATGATGATACTTCGCATCATTACTGGTTGTCTGGGAGCACGAAGCGCACCCTCTTCTTTGTCTTTGCAGCCGCAATGTCTACGCCCCCGTCGCTCATCAACTCCTCTTCAGTCTCCTCTTCAATGGACCACACGTCGGGACTGGGTTCCCTCCAGAGGTGGTTCTCCCGCACACGAGCTGAAAGGCTCCTGGTCTGCAGGCGGGGAGATGAGCGGTTGTTTGTCCTGCCCCTGCCCCTGCTGCCGGTGGGTGCCGGGAAGGAGTTGGGAGAGAGCAGGGCATTGGTAGTGAGGCCGAAGACGGGCGTCTTTGCTCTGAAGCGAAGGCTCTCCATGGCAAGATCGCGCAGTGGCGAGAGCATCGACGAGGGCGATGCCGGGGAGAAGCGAATGTATTCCTCTTCGTCGTCGTCATCGGTGGTGAGGGCATCCGAGTCGGACTCTGGGGTGGCCGGGCGAATGCTGTCGGGCTTGCGAAGGCCCTCGAGAGAAGAAGGGCTGACGCTGCGGACAGCCTCGCGGGGCTGGCTGGCGTCTTCGATGCCAGCGTCAAAGTCCATCATGTCCACGTCCAAGTCCAGGTCCATCATCATCTCATCGTCCTCATCCTCGTCGGGGATGGGAGTGAGGAAATAGGTGAGAGGATTGTCATCAATATCCTCAAGCAGCGGTCGAGGCTCAATGCTAGATCGCTTCTTGATGGACATGTTTGTGGGAGTCAAGCGGATCTTGGTTGGTGGCCAGGATTCTCGGCGAGAGGAGAAGACGGATTCCATGGGCATTGCTGGAATGAAAAAAACAGTTTTGCCTGGGGAAGAGGCAGAGTTTTGAGAAAATGCGGGATTGCAGGGGTTTTAAATAGGACTCGTAGGCAGACAGAGCCGGCACTAGGTAGGTGTAACAGGACTTTATGTTGATGCCTTCACGCTGCAACCTTATTGGGTGACTCAGACGGTGGGTGAAATTATGAGCAAGCCTCTTGGGATAAGCCCTTATTTATCCACGTGTGATTGGAAGCGATGAGGAAAAGTGACAGAAAATGAGGAAAAAACGAGGGATAGGTGTCAGTGGCTGGGACGGCGCCGCCGACGGGATGATGGTGAACAGCCACGGAGAGCAAAGAGACGAAATCCTTCACAATGGACCAACGAACAACGTTGTCCAGAATATTCAAAAGAAGCCTTGGTGATGACAGCCCAAAAGAAAGCGAGTGAGCCTGGAGTTGAGGCAGCGAGATCAGCCGCAGACTATATATGCAATGCAGGGCAGCGGGTATGCCGACTGGACAAGGTGAGCAACTGAGATATCCCAACCGGGATTAAAACGTCACCAATGCAGCTCATAGTCGCTCATAGTGCTACTAGTGGTGCCGGTTGGACGGGGGTGGTGGGCGTGGCCTTGTGAGGCCCAGATGCCCTTTGACGGTCATCAGCAGGCTGGAGATGCGAAGCGCTGCGCCCACGTGAAGGCGGCCTATGGAGGAGGGATGTGTCTGGGGCTGGTCCACAGATGTCCACGGATGGTGTACGGCCCTATCACATCTCACAAATCGCCGTGGGAGACACCATGTTGAGCTGCTCGCCCGGGTCGAGTCATGAGAGACGCTTCAAGGGCAGAGGCTGAAGGCCGTTGCGTTGGTGGTGTGAGGAGAGCCAATATTTGCCGCATGAGGCATGCAGCCCATGGACCGGTTCGAAGCCATCAATGACAAAAAAACGGTGTGGCCCGAGCTAGAGCATTCCAAGATTTGCGCAGCGTCCAAGTCAGAATATGGAAGAGCTTGAGAGGTTGGGCTGGGCTAAGAAGGCGGCGAATGAGCGGCCCGTGTTGGACAAGCTCCAACGACACGACCAGAAAAAGAACTGCGCGGGGACGACAAAAGAAAAAAGAGGCTTCAGTTTTGCGGGGCGTGTCAAAACAGCAGAGCGTCTCGTAAGCTGAGACTAGGGCACACCACCAGACAAGCCATATGACTCTTTTGGCCAAGATGATGCTCGCGAGAACCGTCCACTTACACGCCGTGGATGCAGTCTGCGGCGGGGTCTTGGAGCCCCAGGGTCATGCTGCTCCGAAAGCCGAGCATGAAATTCCATCTGCATGATTTGCATTTCAATCACTCCGATCGAGCTTTTCTTTGCTGGATCGGCCAGGGGCCTGGGCGAATCAAGCTTACATGCTGCTAAAACTAGAAAGACGAAGAGGGGGATAATGGGGGAACAGAAGCAGGGAGAAGGAAAAGAAATGCCCCATCTTTGGCGATGCATGGTTCCTTGCATGATGCACTCACTTGCCGGGAAGGGTGGGCTGCCCGCAACTCAGATTCACGGAAGCATCATCATTTCGCTCGTCTTTCCTTTTTCTTTTGCGCAGATGCCGCGTTGTCGATCAAGAGGGCGATCATCCAGCAGATAACGCGGATAAGAAGGGAAGAGGGAGGGTAAAAATGGAAACTTCCGCGGATTATCTGCGCGACAGCCGTGCCGGGCGGGAGCTTCGGCGGGTCTAGAGATGCCTTTGAAGACGAGGTTAGAGCTCGTAATCGTTTACCTCGGGATTGAGGGTTGATATGACGATGCTACTACAACGGCAACATACAATACGTGATGTATTATTAGATGGACTTCCAACTTACGGCCGCCATACCACGCCATTGCCATATCGTACCGTACCGTCCGCAAGGTAGCTACAAAGCCATGGACTAATATTCGCTTGCGCTATGGGCAACTACTGCTGCTAGATCCAGCACCATGGTCAGCCCTTTATCGAGCGGTGGGTCGGCTGATTTGCTCCAAGCCTGTCTCTGCCGCGACAAAAGCGGCCGTCGCTGAGCTGAAGGAAGCCGGCGTTGATGGATTCAAACGTTATCAAACGCCCCGTTCAGCTCGATAATCAATAACTCTTACTCTTAGTGCGGGCAAATGAAAAAAGAGTCATTCACAATTCAAGGATTTGAAACTACTAAATGGAATGGAGGAGCAGTTTATTGAAAAAAAAAAAAAAAAAAAAAAAAAAATGATAGAAAAAGAGCTGCCACACCCTGATTTCCAGCAAAGTTGCCCGGCTTCTCTGGCATGTAACCTCTCCTTTCGCTTTTCCCCTCTCATCGCAATGTTTAATTCTGCAGACCGCCGGAGATCACCAAAAATCTCTGACTCTCATGAGACCCCGATGCGAAATGTCGCGGTGTGGTTCTACCCGGTAGTTTGACTTGGTGCCTGGTGCCCCTGCCGAGCACAGAAATTCACTCAACCGAAGGATGAATGGAGAATAAAAAAAAACCCTGTACGTCATAGAAGCTGGGCAAAGAGATCACACCCTTTTGTAGACGTCTGAATAGTTCGATATTCGTTAATATACTGCGTGGTTTTGCAGAGCAGCATGACCAAGACACAGCGCCGCGCCATAAATCAGTGCACTTTATGATCATGCCGAACCTCAAATCTAGTCAATTCCAACTAGTATTTTCACGGAGTAATCGCTCCAGAAACAATCCTGAGACATGTCTAACCACCTCCCCCATTCATTCGCCAACTTGGTTCTCATTGTCTCTGCTCGTCCATCTTTTTTCCTATAATGCGCCAAGAACCCCCCATCGAGCAAGTCGCAGGACCCAGGCACATGATCGGCTCGTTTGATTTTTCTCTCCCCCTCTTCATGTTTGCCCTCTCTCTTATACAGTAGAGTAAACGACCCCTGCTCGACTGCGGCGCTTGCTGCGGCACCCAGCCATTCGAGGGAAAACAATACCGATGACGCCATGTCGGCTTGATCGGAGACCCTGAGCAGCGGGGAGCTCATGCTTGCTGCAGGGTCGCGATTGAGCTTCGTGGATATTCTCCGTGACCCCGACATTCGTCTTGCGATGCGCGGCAGATGCCGACTCGTGGCGGTTGGTGATGGACTTGTACGTATTTGCTCTTGTACCTGCATCGAGAAATGCATCGCTTGAAGCGCCAAATTTACGTTCTCATCTAGGCCTAGAGCCACCAAGTGAAGAAGCAGCACTACTAATACCCACGAGCTGTCCCCTCTCTTCTTGCTCTGAGGCCTCGTTCTATCTCTGCAATCCTAGCCATCGTCGCCCTGCACATACGCAGCATCTCAACCTCAGCCCTGCCAACAACGGGACGGACAACCGAGCTTGCGCGGCGATTGCGTATCCCACCGCCTCAGCCCGCTAGATTCATACCCAGGGAAAGCTCTTATCCTGGCCATGGCAAGAGACTGCACTATCCAAGCACCGTCATGTTAGGAGCTCCGACCGCTAACCGACCCAAGCTCTCTCTCGATGCTCTCTCAGGCACTTGTATGACCTAAGCCACTGCCTTTGCTACGTAATACACCTCCGCGCCACGTGCATCGTCCGTGCGGCCGGCTTCAGATGTGCCGGAGGAACGAGCAGAGGCCACAGAAAAGCTCTTGGCACAGCTTCGTCCAAGCCCGAAAACAGCTCTAGCAAGGCCTGTAGCCTGTGGAGCGCCCCAAGGAGCCTATCAGCGCGCAGAGACGCCGCACGGAATAGGCCATTCATTGTCTTGGCCGGTGGCACAAGCACCAAAGCACAGCACGGCTTTTGCCAATCGAAGCAAGATAAGAGACAAACAAGAAGATGCTGGCCGGCAATAGGTATGTGGCCGGGGTTAATCTCTCCAACCGTCGTACGAGTCGCTCGATGCCGGACGTTCGTAGAGCCAGTAAGCGGTCCGCGCCAAGGACACGGTGCCATGGCATGTCTCTGTTTTTCTTCTCTCCAAAAGCCCAAACCCTTGTCTCCTTGGTCCCCTTGGCTTGCATTTCGCTCGGCCCGCACGGAATTAATAGTCTGTTTTTTGCGACGACGTCGACGACTTTAACGCTTTTGGCTATCTGCTGCCGCGTCAAAGTCAAAGTAAGCCCGCCGGATCCCCGGATTAGCAAGCAAAGAAAAAAAAGGACCTCGCTTCCACCGTAGAAACGAGAGAAACAAGAATTCCCGAAGCCCAACCAGGCCATTTCATATATAGACCCAGTGCGCCGCATCGTAGCTTCACCAAAAGCCTCTTTTTTTTCCTCCTCTGCTTTCCCATTGAAATTTCTCACCGTCCCTCGTGGTGGATTCTCGCTCTTCTACCCGCTTCTCTCGACTGCCCTTTTCGGGGTCCTAAAAGCCTCCGAGAACTGCAAGCATCTCAGTCCCCCCACGTGACGAAGAGTATCGCTCCGATTGATCCCCGGATTCATCCATTTTCACAAGCATTTGAAAAACAGAACAGAGAGAGAGTCACCTGGATAAGAGAAGCTTAAAAGAGCTTCGGTGCCCACCCATTGGTGCGACCTGCGTCCCTTTTTTGCCAGGTCCTCTTTTTGCGTCTCATATATATATACATATATATGGTAAACGCTGGATTTACAGCCAGCCGCCGAGCGTTGCGGTCGTCAATCATGTTTCGATCCATTGTGGGCGGATGCTTGCTGTTCTGCGCCCTGATTGCTTGGAGCGGCACTCTCTTCTACTTGCAGGGCGACTCGCTGACGGCCTGGCTCGACTCGGCCGGCACCCGGAACTCCGGAATCATGTCCATGGCCTACGACGAGCAGCAGCCGGAGCTGGATTACGAGCCCACGCGGGTGGACATCACGACGCTGACGCCGCGGATGCCGCTGCGAATCGTCACCTTCAACGTGCGGTACGCCACGTCCAGTCCGGTCCGGGGCGAGAAGCCGTGGAGCGTGCGAGGCTCCAAGCTGATCAACGAGCTCAACTTCATCACCGCCGGCCACGAAAACGCCTTTCTGACCTTCCAGGAGGTGCTGTACGACCAGCTGCAGGACATCCGCCACGGCCTGGGCCCGTCGTGGGCCTCCATCGGCAGAGGCCGCGACGACGGCGAGAAAAAGGGCGAGTTCTCCCCCGTCTTCTACCGCTCCGACGTCTGGCGCCTCGAGCGCTCCCAGACGCGCTGGCTGAGCGAGACGCCTGAGAAGCCGTCGTACGGCTGGGGCGCCAGCCACCGGCGAGTCGTCGTCATGGGCGAGTTCTCCCACAAGGTCACCGGCACAAAGGTCGTCGTCATGAGCACGCACTTTGACTACCAGCACAAAAAGGCCCGCCTGCACAGCGCCGAGCACCTCCTGCAGTACGCCCGCGACTGGAGCACGGCCAACGACACCTCGGCCGTGCTCATTGGCGGCGACTTCAACAGCACGCCCGATGACGTGGCCTACAAGCTCATGACGGCGCCGGGATCTGGCATGTACGACGTTTCGGATCTGCTGCCCGAGGAGAAGCACCACGGCAACCGCCTGACGTACACCAGCTTCGGCGAGCCCAACGAGTGGCCACAACGAATCGACTTTCTCTTCATCCAGGAGCCCGTCACTGCTATTGTCAAGACGTTTAGCGTGCTGGAAAACGTCTTTGACGATAGGATCCGCGTGTCTGATCACAGGCCTGTTGTGGCGGACTTGGAAATTGTGGTCGACCCTTCAGCGTGAAAAGGTGAATGATGGGGAAAAAAAAAGGGATTTGAAATGTGATGTTTTCTTTTTGTGTGATGACTCAACGTCTCGTTTTTTTGTCGGAGAAATTTAACAAAGATACCCGGAGCGTGCTTTTTGAAGAGGCATAGTCTCCAAGCAAAGGAGTTATGAGCTTTATACCCTCTAACCATGTTTATAAACAACAATAACAATATCAATAAAAAAAATAGTCATGACCACTACTTATTATTCAACAAAGGCTCAACTCTTACCGTGAAAACTACCGGCTGCATATAGCATCTGTATTATGTTCCGAGTTATGCAAGCTGCAGAAAGAATTATGAGACGAGAACATCACCTCGATGAATGGACACGGATTGCTCAGCGTCCACGATTGGCAGCTCACTTGCATTTCATATCCCCATTCCTCAGCATACCGCTACTACTCTGCCATGCCGTCTCTTGCAGCCGTCGCACCCACGCGCGTCGCCTTCACATGTCAGATGGAGAATACCAACCTGCAGCGCATGAACGGCCGTGATGTGTATTCTGCAGCTTTTTTTTTCAAATAGTTTATATGGATCCCCTGGGACTTGCATCATGCACGCGTTTGCTGTTCAGAAGAGGCGGTGAAGAATGCAGGCTGTCTGTATGAATCAAGTTGTTGATCCTTTTGGACGCTTCTCGAGGATTTTGTTTGGATGGTGCAAGTGGATGTATCGTAAATAGGATATGATGAATATGTAACAACCTTCTTTTTTATATGCCTTCACCCGCAGCGTTAACCTGTCTAAGGATCTTTCTTACGTGGCCTGCATGCGATATTTGATTCATGGTCTGTTGCCTGATAATCAGGATAAATCAACATGTCATGAGTCCTTTATAGAGCCCTTGCTGTAAGAAGCGCGGCATAGCAAAGCAGGGAGGTTTGTTTGAAAGCTCCAAGACGACGTTGACGTGTCGCGAAATGTCGGGGTTGACTTCTCTTGCAGAACTCCATAGGCCGCATAATACTACCCTGACAAGAAGAACAGCACTATTGGAAGGAGTTCATGAAAAATGATCCAGTCTGAGGATATCCTTTTTCAGTAGCGGTTAGGTGCTCCCATGGAGTTGAAGCCAAAGGCGTCCGAGTACAGATACGCTGGCAAGGCTTACTGCAGCCAGGATTACAAATATGCAACGCCGTCCCCCTACATTATGAGCTGACTTGACCGGCTGCATGAATGCATGTATGCAATGCACTTCTGCGACGGGAGAGCTGATTCACAAAAAAATATCACAGAGTAAGGCATCTCACCTCTATATGCGTATAAGCTCACGGGAAACACACGCATTTAGTACACGGCATGATATCCAAGGGAATCTTACATACAGGACACACTCCGTATAAGCTCGCAAAAAAAGAGGTCTAGTAAAATCTCATGCACGGACGACATCTTCCGGCCCCCAAACACCTACCAGACATTACTAAAATACTAATAGAATGACGCCGTCTGTATATTATTCGCTGTGTTCTGAGACAAGGAAGAGAAAAAAAGCCCATGTCTCTTTTCCTTGTCCGAGGGAAATCTCCACTTCTCTCTGATATGACTCGATGAAGACGGCAAAGGCGTCCATGTAGAAAAATACATTTCATTCTCTCCTTCATTACATCTTTATTCGCTTTAACCCGGTTGGCAATCTCTTAATACTGTGCACCCACTGCTTACTGTGAGACAGCATGAAATATTGGAAAAAAAGACGGGTTCCCGGTATCATCGCCACGCCTGCCACGCATCTCACTTACACGAGAAAATCTTGGAAATATATGATGTGTAACCCTTCCAAATTTGCCACTGGAGAAGGAGGGCCTAGAGCGTTCCCATCTTCTCTCAAAGAGGAAGATACATGCCTTGATCAAGCTACTATACTGTAGCTTAGACGTGATATGAACGAGCTATGTCTGTAGGAGAGAAAAAAAAGGGTGGACGGCAAGATTGTGTTGCCTGCCGCGGCTGCCGCCAATCAAAAGAGAGACACTTACCGACCTGACAATCTTTTGGATCACGAGATTCCAAAAAAGGTGCACCACGAGGTAGCGCGATATAGTAATACTGCGCTCAACGTGTGGGAAAGAAAATAAAAGACAACCCTGGTGGGAGAATCCAAGCGATAACCGTTACCCGCATTATAGGTATCATATGGCTTGTGGAGGCCGCAGTAGCTGCTGGCTACAATACAGATATAGTGGAGAAAATGTCTCGCGTGGTCAAGTTTGGATGTAACACTGTTGCATTCCTTTGAGATATCTTATATGAAAGGGAGCAAAAACATCATCACCACGATTCTTGTTGCTGTCAACGAGCGCCCATGACATATCTGGTAGCAAGGCTTGCCGGCTTGTGAATCCACAAATGTGTATGTGCCGGGCGTATCAGCGCTAGCTGCATAGGTGTGCGTAGAGACTGATTTCCAGCGGGCCAAACATTTTGCTTTCATGAGCCAAGCTGAATGTCGAGCACAGAGATGCTGCCGGTATCCTATCCCAAGGTGCTGATGTCGCGGATGGCGCGAGGCACTGCGGGCAAGGCCGGAAGCCGAGATGCAAAAGTCGGGGGCCGGGAGTGGATCCAAGGCCGGACCATCACAGACGAGCTCGGAGCGTGGCATGTCTGGAGTCGTGTATTATGGAATTGCCATCACCATGGGCAGCCTCAACTAGTAGGAGGACTCCATAGCACTCGGAGGACCACTTTGCAGCCGCAGCCCGGCTGTGAGCTGCGGGACAGTCATACATGGCTACAGTATGTAGGACTTGCCGGCAGCCTGGGAAGTGGACACGGATACCTAGAATTGTGGACAAGGGCGTGTGCAGACGGTGGATCATGCAACTTGCCAGATGCTATACTCTAACAAAAGAGTAGTAAGTAATGGCAGCAGTATTCTGTATAATGGACATCTCTTGAGTCATCGGTTGAAAAGCGTTTTGGGGAAAAAAAGATTTCAACTCAACAAGAATATGACTCGGAAGACAAAGACGAGAAAGGGTGTGCTGCTTGCTGCTTAGCCCAGCAGCCGTCGACCTATGAGCAGCCGTAATGCTTGCATGACGGCGAACGGCGACGATTGGGCCTCAATGGCAAATGAGGGGCCGGTGTGAGCTGGCATCAACGGAACATCCGCATCCACATGCGCCCCTCCTTCTGCAACCAGGCAGAGCAGGCCCCCGGACGCTCCTCTCCACGTCTTTACATCAGCAGCTGGGGATCGCCAGCTCTTGGAGACGACATCATCGGCCGTCGCATCGTGAGAAATGGATGCAAGGCGGAACGATGTGGTTGAAGGCTTCTTCTTCTCTCTCCCCCCATTCCCACCGCTCAACGGGCGCTATAAGAGGCCAGGATGGAGAATCATCCTCTTGGTCATCGCCCTTTTGCAGTTGATACCCAACAAAGGCTAAGAAGAGCTTTCCGCCAGGTTGGGCAGAGCAAGGAGACAAAAAAGGGAGGTAGCGTCAGTTGCAATAGGAGCTTGATGGTGGTCGTAGCAAGTCGTCGCAATAAGAAGGCCATAGAGGACGTCGTTGAGGCTGGGAGGTGTACATGTAATGATGCGGACCCCATATTGTGGTCTGCGCTTCTGCCATTGCGACCACGATGAGGCTACGCGTAATACTTGGCGTGTCATTAGTTCCATCGAGGCTGCCACCAGCCAGACCGTATAAGAAAGATTTTTTTTTCTTCAATATTTCTGGGGAAAAAAGACAGCTGGCAGTCCAACTAGACGCTGCTGTCCAACCTTGAGCTGTCCATGGCCCCACGGTGGCGATGTTTAGGATAACATACCGAACGCAAAAAAAGCACAGTTTCAGCCAGACACCGTGTTTCACAATTCACTGATCCAGACGTCGAGAAAAAGACGGGCGATCCAATGTGGCGGGGCGCCATCAACGGGCAGAGACGAGCCGCGCAGCCTGGCCCCGTTCCATCTCCACAGTTGGGCGTGAGTGCTTTTTTTCCCATCTTCCATTCTCGACATCCTATTTGGTAGCGGCTCTTCCCGGAGCAGCTCTTTGGCACTAGAGTTTTTGGTGTTTCCACACGTGCTGAAGTCGGATATGGCAGAGAAATGGAAATGGAAGGTTTCTCGCAGCTTGGGTTGTCATCTCACCATGTCTCTTCCAACCCTTGTCCGCACCGATGGGATTGGTGTTGGGAGCATCGGTGACGTCGTTTCCAGCTGCACGGAGCAAATTTTTTTTTGTCTTGGTTGGGCGCCCCTCCAGGCATGATTCCAACGCTGCGCTCGTCGTCACCATCGTCGGCCAGGATCACAGACTGTTCAGGCGGATGAGAAGCTGCATTGCCGCGCGCAGGTCTCCATCCGTCATTGAGAATAGGCGAGATGGGGATATTTTTATCTGGAGGGTGAAGAATGCTGGAGGGCCTTCTCAGGCGACTGGGATGACCACCCCCCCTTGGTTCGATCAAAGTATGAAGATCCCTGTTCGAACCTCTGCTTCCCACCGCATTGCATCGTCCCGCATTGCTATCTTTGGCGAGCGCTTGCTGCGACAGACAATCATACTGGCAGTGCCCCGTGCAATCTATGTGTTGTTTTCTCTCATGCTTCGTAATGGCAGTACCTGGGTGGTAGGCAGAAGTAGCCGCTCTCTTCAACCGCGCGAAACTCACGATGCTCGCAACTCGCCCGGCATCCCATTCGCCATCGTCCATCGTGCTCGACAGCAAAAGGTGGTGCCGCACCTCCGCCCTCGGCCACTCGTCGAGACGGGGCTAAGCAGCAACTGGAGGGTCAGGCGGTGCCAGCTGCCGATGCACTGTGCAGCGCTGCAGGCCTGAGACTGGCTGACGGCCCACGAAGAGTCGAGACGGCGACGTGAGCTGCGTGCTGTGTGTATCGCGTTGCGGTAGCTCAAACGAAGGAAGCACCGGCTTTCTGGACGGTGGGGAGAGCGTCGTGTGTGGAGAGAGTGGCAGCCCGGCCATTCGGGAGACATCCATGGCCGATACTTGATCCGTAGCGAGCAGAGATCGCGCAAGCACCGCTGTATCTGTACAGTATGTAGCACGGGTTGATGCCTCTTGCAATCAATCAATCAATCAATGACGGCTCGAGCATCTGCAAGATTTGTGAGAGCACATCAGCAGAAGCCGTGAGTGATCTTACATACATGCCTGTGCATGGGGTGAGTCTGCAGGCAGCATCCAGCCGCGCGATATTGTGTCTCGTCGAACAGTAAAAAAAAACACACCACCATCTGCCCAGTGCACCTCTTGTTCAACCAAACGCAATAGTCGCCTCGCCCCTTTGCCCGTCTCGATAATTTCGCTGTTCATTCTTTCTTTTTTACTTCTCAATCTCCCTTTTGCCCGCACAGACCCTGAATACAGAGACAACATTGGAGCTCTCATTCTTCTCTCTGCCCAAGCTCAGCGCTCGGACGCTCTCCCTTGCCATCAGCTGCTGCCAGCATCCGCGCACTCATCAAATCATTCAACTACAGCACAGCAAAACATGGAAAACAGCACAGCACAGTACCACCTGTATTCTGCGCACAGCCGCCAGACAGCCAGCGCATAAACCCCCTAGAGCACGCCCCCTCCGCCCCTCTAGGCCCCTCCCTAGCGCACCCCCTCCCCCCGCTCCATGCCACACAACCTGAACCTTCGCACCCCTCAACTCCCGCCCTCGTAGCGCTGCTCTGGCTGCCCTGCACACACTTCTGGCCATTGGATCAGCGACAACGGGCGATTAAAACCTCGCTGCTGCGCTGTCAGTTGGGTCTGCATCCTGTCAACAAAGCGCCGTCCTCCAGTCATTTTGCTGCAGCTGCTGCAGGTTGGGAAAAATAAAATTTTGCTGCGTGGTGTCATCCTTTATTATCCTGCGCTGCCCATCGCTCTGAGAGGAGGGGCTCGTCTTGCACTCATACTCATTCACACCACATCTCACTCACCCGCGCTCCGGCTCTGTTCTGCTTCATACAGTATCAATCATACACCATCCGCTCCATTTCAGACACCGCATTGCTAGCATCGATATTTGTGCTCCGAGCGCTGATCCGACACGAGACCGGCTGTACGCCCGATTGAACTAGCACCCCATCGCTGCCTAAGACCCAGACGGCCGCTCTTAACGGCGACTGAACGGCGACTGAACAAACCAGATTCCCCGCCTTAGTGGCATCTCTCTTCTACCTCATAACCACCTGGCGATTTTTTTGCCCTTTATTAACCTGCTCCCTTCCGGGGCGATTCACATTTCCATCTAGCCATCATGTTTTCTTCCAAGAAGTCAATGGTAGGCTACGTGGAGGACGTTGACGAGGAAATCGGCAGCACCATTGGCCTGGAGAGCACTCGACGATACGCCAGATCTGATTACGCCCGATCTGAGGCGCCCAGAAGCCCTGAGCGATCCAACACCAGCAAGCCACGCAACGACAGAGACTACTCAGACTCCGAGAGTGAAGAGTCGGCCTCCAGCCTCAGCAGCGCTCCTTATTCTGACGACGAGACACACGCACCTCCCAAGAGAGTGAAGATGAGGCCTGTTGCTGCCAATCCTCAACGCCCAATGCACCCAGGCCGCGAGCCTCGCCGCGATCCTCGGGAGCCTCGAGACCCTCGCGGCCCCCGAGAGGTCAGAGACCGCCAGAGGAAGCCCAGAGAGGACGACGAGCCAAGGAGGATGAGGCCCGAGCCCAAGGACAGAGACGCCAGAGCCCCGCGAGAGCCCCGAGGTCCCAAGAAGACTCGGCCTGGCCCTCCCAAGCACGCCGCCTCTCAGCCTGTTGTCAACCAAGCTGGCTACCGACGAGGACAGTTCGAGGACCCGGCTGCTTACGGAGTCCAACAGCCTGCTGCCTCTGCGCAGCGACCTCGAGCCCACACTCGTCCTGCAAGCTACTATGCAGGCCAGCCGCCCCCACAGCCTCATCCTCTGGACACCTGGAATGGGCCTCCTCCGCCATTCGGCATGCCTGGCTTCCAGCCTCCGCCCATGTTTTCTCCTCTTGGTCATGGCCCTCCTGGTGGGCCTCCAATGCACCCCAACATGCCACCTCAGTCCCCCATGGGCATGCCACCGCCGGGATCATTCTTCCCTTTTGATGGTCCCATGGGGCCACCTGGACCATACGGCCCGCCTGGGCCGCCTCCTCCGGGCGAGCAGCCAAGGCACCGCTTTGATGGACGCCCCTTATCTGCCATTGGCTTCGGCTCTCCCCAAGAGGCCTTGGAGTACTTTCCTGAGGAGTATGATGGCTATGTCGAAGAGCCGTCCCAGAAAGTTGCCCGCCGTCCCTCGCGGCCCAAGAAGCAGCCGATGCCCGAAGAGCGCAAGAAGATGCCTCCTCCAGAATATGCTCCAAAGCGTACCCAGTCGGCAAGGCCAACCGCAGGCGCCTACAAGCCGCCCATGACACCGCGCGAGCCCCTACGGGAGCAGCCGCGAGACCATCTGCGAGAGCAAGCACGGGAGCAGGCACGGGAGCACATGCGTGACCAGCGTGAGCGCGCACAATCACGACCGGCTCAGCAGCGACCGCCTCCAGCTCACCGGAGGTCTGTTGGCTTCGTGGACACGCATGGCTTCGAAGACGACGAGTATCTGGGCGATGAGGTAGATCTCTACCAAGAAGTTTCCCCCAACCAGCGCCGCAATGCCCTTACTCGGCCTCGACGCAGCCACTCTGTCGCCTATGATCAAAACGGCTATGACATTGTCCCCGCCGGCAACCGGGGCCGTCGCGGGTCCATGTACGGGCCTGGGCCTCATGATTCTTTTGGTGGTGCCAGCCTTGAGGAAGACAACAGGTACTTTGATGCTCTGCGGTACCAGGAGGATGTCAGCGGAAGCACACCGATGCCCTTGACTGCTGAGTCGCTGCGCAAGGCATCCAAGCGTGGAGAGTTGGCCAGCAGCCGATCCACCAGGAGCAGCGGAAGCCATGACGAGAGCGACTACAGGCGAAGCCACACCACTGGCCACACCACTCAATCTTCTGCCGCCCACGATGACTTCACCATCAAGGTGTCTGGGCAAGCAGTCGTCAAGATGCCCGGTGCTCAGATTGAGTGCGATGGAGGCGAAATCACCTTTAGCAGCGGCCGAAACGGAGCCTCTGGTTCGGGGCCACCAGGCGCTTCTCGCGCTGGCAGCGATAAGGAGAGCACCATCTATCAGCTTGATGATGCGCGAAGCTCTCGCATGGACCGCAAGGCACTGCCGCATCGCCCTCGCGCAACTAGCCAGTCCGATGTCCACAGCCGCATCTATGCTCCGCTGCGCGACCCATATGAGCACGCCTCGCACGGGCACGCCCCGTTTGAGCATCTTTCCTATGAGTCCTATGGCTCGCATGAGCGTGAGCGTATTCCTCACGCACCCTACGACCCGGCCCTTGCTGCTTACGACTATGATTGATTACGACCAAAACATCATGTTTGATGAATAAAACACATTCACGAAACAAAAATCACGATTAATGACATGATAAACAAAAATGTGCAGCATTCTTCTTTTATCCTTTGTATCTGCCTCGATTTGCGAAAGCAAGCGCTACTCCCTTTGGGGGTTGCCTGCTGCCAAAATTTCTTTCTTGAATTTCACTCTTCGTTTCTATTTGTGTTTCTATTTTACAGCCGTTTCTTTTCTTCTCTTCTTTACTGCCTTCACATCTTGCGCTTGTCTTGGTGGTTCATATACCCTGCCGCCATTCTACGGCGGCAAACCATTCTGATACCCCCAAAAAATCGTTGGCGATGGAAGGATATTGTGTTTTGGCTTCTATTTGGCGGACACGTTGATACATGCGGAAGGGATCTTGTTTCATTTCATTTCACTCCACTGTTTTTTCTTCTTCTTCTTTCTTTGCGAGTCGTGCTGCCTGCAGAGTGTCGGTGAGATAATTGAGCTCGATTGGGCGAGCTGAGAGAAGCTGGTCTGACTCCTCTCCCGACCTTGCCGCATGAGAAATGGCGCCATCTCTGAGGAGGGCTGTCTTCTGCTGGGCATAATCCATATTCCCGACATACCATCACCCACCTCAACGGCATTCCCACGGTCAGCACGATGTGGAAAACGTATTGGATCAAAGGCGATATTTTTTTTCTTATTTTAATTTCTGGTTGTGGGACAAATTCAGTCTATTACTTTAGCGGCCCGTTATGTGTTAAGAGGAGGAAGTTATCGAATTATTTGATCTTATTCATGTCTCATCAAATGTTACCAAAACGATAGAATGTATGAGCAACGGGGGTTCGCACCCCCTTCACTCCCTCTGCCAATACACGCGGGGCTCTTTTTGTTTCTCAACTGGCATTCCAACCTGCTTCCCCCGTGCTCCTCTCTCAACTCTTTCCCCCCTTCCTCTCCTTTCATCCTTCGAAAGAGAGAAGAGTGCCGTGATTGGCGACCACGTGCATTCGAGCCGGAGTCAATACCCCTCACGGCTTACCCTTGTGGGCTAGCACGCATAATGCGAGGAGTGCTGCGTGCATGCATGGCTCAAGGAGGACGTGATGGTATTAGGTATAATGGATTAGAAAGGATTGCTTGCTGCAGGGAAAGCTAGTTTTCTTCTTCTTCTTTGATTACGCAGTGATGGCGGAGGGGTGTTTGGATAGCAATGCGCCTACTGGGAGGTATGAAGAGGGATTGGTTGATTGGTTTGATGACTTCTTTCATGACCTGATGATGAACCAAGAGTGTTTTTCTTTCTATTTCATTTGTTGTTTCATTTATTCCTGTTTCTTATTTAAAGATGCGTACTCGTGGCTTAGCTCAAGCGTTGCTTTTTCTACTTTCCAAATTTAATATCCTCTGGGGCCTTTCTTTTCCAACTGTACTAAGCATACCGAAAAAAGTGACCGATTTCTCTCCTGCAAAGTACCGATCTGATGGGTCCCAAGGCACTCTGATGGAATGGAGCAAAAATACGCCCAACTCCATAGTAATTTACCGGTCCATTATGCAGGGAGGTCGGACCTAGGCGGTGAATCGCGAAATAGTTGAGAAGCCACCACGTAGGTCCAAGAGTGGATCAATGGGTGTTTGTCTTTTGTGTCTTGTCATGCAACGCTATTTTTTACGACTCGCAAATATAGTCCATGGCAGCACGGAACTTTCTGTGTATCCACTATGGAATATGGGTGGAAGGAGTTGAAATGTCGTGTACTGTATCTATGCGTACTCCGTGTAAGCTTTGTTGAGCTTGCTCTTGGGCGTCGACCTAGTAGGCTGAGATAGCGGATGGCTTTGGAGAGTGGGCGTGATTGGATCGATCGAGCGTGTGGGGCGTTGCTGGGCCAGCGAGCTAGACTGCTTACTTCAGCTTGGTGCCGTCACTTGGAGCTATTTTTGGGTTATCAGTGTTGAAGTATCTAACATTGACGGCGTACCTTACTCGGTCATTTCTAAAATTGCAAGAGGAAAAGTCAATGAATTGTTTGGTTTTATAGATAGATGCCTTATAAAGAAGAAGGAAATGAAGTCTAATTTTGAACTTCATTTTTATCTTTTTGAGGCGGCGCATAGCACTGTAGAGCAAACTAAGTTACCTGATTAGCCTGCTGCGGACGAGTACTGTAGTCGTCAGCGCCAAAAAACTCCACGTCCACCCCAGCCCCCTGGTTTCTGGAGGAACAACACCGGCTGCAGGATTCTGCCCAACTAAGTGCACGCACACGCTTTGCTTTCGTTAGCGCTTTTTACCACTTCAACCTCGACTTTTGTTGTTGTTGATAACGTCACGGCGATTTTTCAAGAGCGAGACACGCATCGTCTCTTGTTTTTCTCAAGCGCACAGCCACGGCTCTTTTGGAGAGGCTTTGGCTGGCTGATACGACCGCGATTGGCCCTCTCGCAGCTTACCCGCATTTCACTCAACCCGAGAGACATTCCGCATTCCAACAACTTTCAATCAATCATCCATCAATATGGCGCCGGCGCTGGAGAGTGCCGGACAGGCCCTCACCGGCACGCAGACTGTTGATGTTATCGACACCGATGTCTTCCCCAGCTCTGCGGATGGCCCTCTCGCTGAGGGAGCGCGCATCTTTGCTCGCCTCGCCAAACGAACCAACGACCCGTCCAAAGGCGTTCTCGACCCCCATGACATCAACAATGCCGGCTTCTTCTTCCTTTTCGCGCTCATCGGCGTTGCCTTTGTCGTAACGGGCATCTGGTTCTTCTTCTGGGCCAAGAACGGCGGCATCCACTTCAAGGACGACGATTGGGACGACTACAAATCCACGGTTATGCGTCGCAAGGGACCCAATGGAACGATTCTCTCCAACGCTACCCGCTCGACGAATCTGGGCGGTGGAAGTGTCTACAAGCGCTACGACGACCACGAGGATGACGGCCACACTGTAATCACGGAAAGCACTGCTCTGAGCGGCATCACTGCCGGTGCGAGTGATATCTTTGCTCGCGAGAAGCGCAAGAAGAAGAGGGAAGCCCGAGAGGCCGAGCGCAAAAAGCGACGCGGCGAAAAGGGCAAAAGCACCAGCTCCAACGAATTCGAGGGCGTCGTGGACGAAAAGGCAGAGCGAGATGCCAAGAAGTTCCTGCGCAATTACCGTCACGAAAAGCCCGCCCGCGTTGGCGGAATCAACAAAGAGGCCGAAGGCTCAGAGTGGGAAGGATCTACAAACGCGGCTGAATCTTCTGTTGGCGCAACCTCCGAACTACTTGCCAACCAGGAACCCACGCCTACTTCGGATCCTCCTCCCAAGTCTGAACCTCCCAAGACCAGGAGCGGTGGTATCCGAAAGGTGTACTCGACTGCGGACCGTAGAGAGAACAGGGAATCCGAGAGAATGCGTGCCGAGGCTCGACGACTGCGCGCGGCTGACAAGGTGGCCCAACGAGACTTTGCCTACCAGCGAGCTACCGGCACGGCGACAGACAGCCAGTTGAGCGAGAGTCTGCTGTCTGGCACGGCTAGCGGCAGCGGTGGCTCGACTACTCTTGGCGAGAGCATCCCCGAGGAGGGCGAGAGTGAGGTCGGCACCAAGAGCTACCACCACCCGTTGCCTGAGCTGAAGGAGCAGAGGAGGAGGGAGAGAGAGGAGCGCAGGGCGAGACGAACCAAGAGCGGTTATCGACGCACAAACACCGACGACAACTCCGAAATTTGAAAAGAGGAAAAATAGTTGTTGTCATGATGATGGGACGTCTTTACGTGAGGGTTGGCAAATGTGGAATAATTGAATGCTTTTTGGCTCGCTGTCGTTATGGGTTGCTTTTTTGATGAGGATTTTGGGAGGTGGGTGGTATGAAATGCCTCTTTTGTCTTTCCTTCTTTTGTTTTATGCGGATCGGACACGGCTGTTATATGTGACGTAACGATGAATGGGAGCTGTGGTTTGAGATATATAGTTATTCCCCCAGTTTTATAAATAAACAATGATTACACCCCAAGTATTTGTTTGCAATAATTCATCACACTTCGTTTTGTATTGCAGCTACGCCTTAATCAAAGTTAACGTCGAAGACAGCCTAAGCAAATCTAAATAGCACCATGTATTGAATGAAGCTATGATTTAACTATGCAATAACTACCTAGTCCAGCTAATAGCTATAGCTATAGCCTTGATGCAATATCTTCTAATCTTCTTCCTAAATATACAACTTGCTTACTATCAGCCCCATAAACAACAAGACAGCCCTCCTGTGCACGAATATAGTATTCCCTAGCGTTTTGCAGCTCGCCTTGTTTATAATAAAGATTTCCAAAGCTTTGGAGGCAGCTTAATGCGTTAAGGTTTGTTTTCATACTCTTAAGCCCCAGAGTCTTCTCGTAGCCCGTAAGTGTCTGTTCAAATTGTGCTTTAGCTTCGTTGAATCGGCATTGTTCACTGTAGAGGATTCCTAGATTCGTCATTGTGCCAAGGGTTAATAAATGCTCCGGTCCCCATGCTTTCTCGAACCCTTTAAGCGTCCTTTTATACATGGCTTCAGCTTCTTCAAATCGCGCTTGCGATGTGTACAAACTTCCTAGATGACCAACTGTGTTGAGTGTTGCTGGATTCTCGGGCCCCAATACTTTCTCGAATCCCTGGAGCGCCCTCTCATACATCGCTTCAGCTTCTTCATATCGCGCTTGCGATGCATACACATGTCTTAGATTACCAACTGTGATGAGTGTTGCTGGATGCTCGGGCCCCAATACTTTCTCTTGTCCCTGGAGCGCCCTCTCATACATCGCTTCAGCTTCTCTGAATCTGTCTTGTTCGTAATAGAGCAGTCCTAAATTAACAACAGTCTCGAGTGTTGATGAGTGTTCTGGGCCCCATACTTTCCTCCGCCCTTCAAGCGCCCAGCTGAGCAAAGCTCCGGCTTTCTTAAACCGGCGTTGAAGTCTATAAATTCTACCTATGCTATCAGCTGTATTCAATGTTAATTCATGTTCCCGCCCCCATACTTTCTCATACCCTTGAAGTGCTCGTTCATACATGGCTTCGGCTCCACCAAATCGGCCTTGAAAGAAATATTGCGAGCCCAAATTATATGTTAGCTCTAGCTCTTCGTTTCGGACTTCAATTGTGTTGATCATATCATAGCATCGATCCGCATGCCTTAGGAGCCGCCGTTGCTTGGATAAAGACTCAGGCTGTTCTGGTTCCAGAACGTAAGATGCTACGCAGTGAAGCGCTGCGCGAGTCATCTCCTCGCAAAGATGCTGATTAAGAACATGAATCATCCAAGAGTGGACGCATGCATGCACGCTATAACCAGCTGACCCTGCACGTTGTGCTGCATTAGGTGTGTCGAGCAAGCTGGCTTGTACAAGCCCATGATTGCATAAAAGCTTCATTACCCCGTGAAAGGTGAGACGATCTTTTGTCAAATCTCGAAGCCAGTCCGGTTTGTATTCACCACCCTGCAATAGCTCATACCATATGTCATTATTGTCGAAATAGGCCCATTGGCGAAGTAGAAGCGCTGCATTTGAATTCTGCTTCTCAATGTGCGTATATGAGATATTCCACGTCGTGCACAAGGCTTTATCATACGATGGTAGTTCTGAGGTGCCTTCGTGTAACTGCACCCAAGACTTTTGATACTCTTGGAGGTATTCGGTACACGTTATAGGCACTTGCTCCAAGTAAGCTCCCGCCGATGCAAGAGCAAGAGGAAGCCCATCAAGTCGCTGTGCAAGTTCGATAGCTGCGCTGTCTGTTTCAAATTGTCTTAGTCTTGTGGTCTCGTAGTTGGCTAGGGCCACCCTACCTTGTCTTATGTTCTCTCGACATGACGTCAATGCCAATATCTCTAACCCCTCTTCTAGATGCTGAAATTTCTCGATCTGAATGCAGCTTCCCAACTTCCTTAAAGACACGCGCGAAGTCACGATGATAGCGCCATGGTCAGCCTCTGGTAAGTATTTTCGAATATCATACGGCTCCGATGTCGCTTCTCCCTCCAGACCAACAGAATCCGCGCGAGGAGTTTTCTCTTTAGGAAGGGGCGAGCAATCCTTATTCTTAGTACCGGCAATTTCCAGGTTTGGATGATCATAGTTATCATATATAATCAGCCAATAATTGTTCTCAGGCTCCTCAAACCACCTTTTAACTGCCGCCACAATTTGAGTTTGATCTTTGCCCTGAACTGCGGCAGAGATGTAATTCACCGATGCGCCATGGCTATCGATCCGTGTTGCCAACCGGAGAAGGCTTTGGTTTATCGTTGTTTCGTCCCTCGCGTCTAGCCAAACGCTTGTCGAGTAATCCTTGCGGTACCGATCAGAGTATTCGATTGCCAGCTGAGTCTTGCCTATACCCCCAAGCCCATGAAGGACAGCGACACGACGGCGTTGAGCTGCGCTCTGGAGAGCCTCATGCATTCGTGTAAGCTCCTCCTCTCTTGCGATAAACTTTGAGATTCGGCTGATCTCGGGCAAATAGAATGGAAGTTTGAACGGGGTTGGTTTACATGGGCTACTGGATGGTCTTGTTTTAATAGTTAACAATTTGAACTCAGATATCATCATTTTTGCTACAGTCTTGGGCTTACTCTTGTACCAACTCGATAGGCATATGGAAGAACAACTGCCTGGCATAAGCGGCGGCGGCGGCGGCTGCAAATCCCTTCCAGCTGTTGTTCTTATGAGAATCGCAATAATCGGAAATGCCTCGAATCACCATACAAGGAAAATCGGCAAGTGCTCCCGCTGCTTCCGTCTCAAAGCATAAAACTCGATGCCGCTGTGCTAAACGATCCCTCCGGCTCGCACTCTTAATGACCAGCTCTCCAGACGCGATAGTGCCTCGATGCACGACAACAAACTCTTCGTCGTCTTCATCGACTGGCCTTTTAATTCGTTGCTCTGGCTTGCATCCTGCTTTCTCACAAGACATGCCCTGCTTCTGATGGTAATAGTCTGGCTGATATAGATGATCGTTCGCGATACCTGGAAAGTTGAACTGTCTCTGCCCTCGGATTTTGGTGTTAAATCTCAACGTGTCTCTCCAAATGGGATCATAGTCTATCCGGGCCCTTTGGACAGCTAAGGATTGCGCAGCGTTGAGGAGAACGGCTGGTGGAGGCATCAGAGAACCGGTGCGTTCAAGATGACCGACTTCTGCCTTGCCACGATCGTATTGGACCGCTCCGGAGTGCTCATCAATCGGTTTGCTAACCACCACATGTCCCAGCCGGATAACCCCATCGTCTGTCTCTGTAGGCACACCTCCTCCAATACCGACTAGCAGGCCATATCTGAGGTTCCGAAATGTCATCCTCATCTGTGTGACGACCGTGGCTGCAGAGCAATTGCCTGTTTGGGGAAGACCGGCAATCACAACGTTGTGTCCATTAATACTGCCGAGTGTATAAACGTTGTGGTCGGTGAAGGATTGTTCGAGAACCGAGTGTACTTCGTCGAGCATCTGCATCGCTGCGATTTGCTCTACCTCGAGAGGACAGATCCATCCCACCCGATAACTGTCGGGCGTGAGCTTTTTGAGCGACATCTGATATTAACTATACGATGTTGGTATTGGAGAAGAGGAGCTGCGAACAGAGAAGGGTCCGTCGCCAGGTACATATATGGAGTGATGATAATGCGAGCGGAAGTGATACCGATATCTTCTACTTGAAGAGACCAAAGGTATTATCCGACTGACAATTAGGTAGCAGAGGATTGATGCCTTGGGCGCGGCCTTTTAAGCGCCAGCCTCGTGAGGAGTGCATAATCGCCAGCCAACCAGACGCATCGGTGTGACTTTGAATTGCATAAAATCATGTAATCCTAAAAATACTTCACGCTAAAGAGGTGTAAAGAATCATTTGAGCCCAGATGAGGTTGAAGAAGTACCAAGAGAAATGGTGATATCAATGAACAGTGCTCAGCAAGAATCATATGTTCAACTCGACGAATAAGTTCAGGTACGGGTAGCGGTGTTGGACTTGAAGCAATAAGATATGGGTTATGGTAGCACTCTGCCTGCTGGATTACAGCAGAGATCCCGCCTATATGCAGTGAGGATTACATTGGAAGTATGCTTTAGCAACGATGAATATCACCTACTAGTTGGGCATTGCATTTTCAGTTCAAGAGACTGCACTAAATGAACAACGACAAATACCATGCAACTTGATTGCTTAAAAAATTGTTTCTATTTTCGGCGTCTACGAGTAATACACTTACTTGATAGCACAGCTGGGCAGTTCAAAGGAGCAGAAACGTCAAGGGAAGGATGCTGCAAATATTACCTATACCGTGTAATTATAAAAAATACCATGCACTATTTTAAAGATCTTACATGTGTGTGTTATGCGGAGTTTGAAGTCAGGAACCAGAGCCAGAACATTGGATGGCGGCGTTGGTCTCACAGTGTCCGCCCTTGCGCCGCGTTCGTTCTATTTCTCTGTACTTGGGAAAATAAAACAGTCCAGCAGTTCGGCCTTGTTGAGCTGGACACCTACGGAAGACATACTTCGATGCATCTCATATACCGTTTGCTGATGCAAAGTAGCGTTATGAAGTAATACCTAGTAGTGCCTAGTATAGTGCTACTCTTACCTGAGATGCCAGCTGCTGTGAGCGGCTGCGTGCTATTCATAGCAGCAATTGACACAATTAAAGCCCCTGGGCGGATGGCACGCATAAGCCCGCATTGACAGGCCGATACAGCGAGCAAGCGGCTTGAAACCGGGGCTGTGTGGGTGAAACTACAGGGGCCGGAGCTGGTCAAAGCTCAGTGCTGTGAATTAGACGCCGGGTCGTCCGAAGGGGTCCAGCTGGGAATGCGAGGGAAAGAGAACAAGAAAGAGGTGTCTGGATTTGAATTTCAGACGCGGTTTGTACAAGCAAATGCGGCGTGTGTGGAATCACTGCTTCCATGCCTCGGCGTTCCGGGCTGAGCTGATTATTCGCTGCGCGCTCACGAGGCTGCGCCCATCCGCAAAGCATTGCGTCACACGATCCACCGGCACCAGAGCGCGAAAAAGAAGCGCAGCTGGCACGATGTCACCGGTACCCGGCCAGGGAGCGCAGCCTGGAGCAGCCGGTACTTTAGCGCCCCCGCCGGCCAGATAGGCGCTGCCACGGGGCCGCCACGCAAAAGCCTATCTGCCGCAGCGATGCCTGCAGGTACTTCTCCGCGCCGGCGATCACGCGCGAGGAATGCGCCGCAGCGTGTACCCTGTACCCGCCCCGTCCCTTGGCCTGATATTCCACTTTTTTCCCTTTTCTCCTCTGCTCGTCCCAGCCTTCGCCCAACTTGGAACGCAAACTCTCTAGATCGGATCCTTTGTCTTCTCTTCTGTTTCTCGCGTGGTGCTGCAAGCTGCGAATCATTGTTTCCTTCTTCTTCTTCCCTTTTTGTTTTCATATAGGTGTTTCTGCAATTTTTGAACCTCTACAGGCACAGTCTCCTTTGTTTCTCCAATTCGTTCCCCCTTTCCCTTGTGTCTTTTATTTGCGCTCGCTGGCATCGGACGCTTCCCACCCATCCAATCCATTCGATACATATCTTTCAGCCTTTAGCCCGTATTCCTCTAGGCCTCTTTTTGCTCTGGGCCCCTGCCAGAAGCCCGCCGCTGGTTGGGTCTTACGGCTGCGCTGCTCACAGGCATTCGCCGCTATAGCTTTAGTGCCCGCCACTGCCTGCGCTCAAAAACAAGCACGTCGCCGGTACTCGCTACAGACGCCTCGCAGCCCGTTCCAGGCCACCCTTCCGAGTCGCTCTCCCTCCAAAGAGTGGCGACCCAGAACGCAAACTCTCTTCCATCAACATTCAACTTTTTTTGTTGTGCCCTCTGGTAGCGGCAGCTCCGGAACGGTCCGATACAGCATTTTTGTTTTGCTCCTGCTTCGAACGTGCGGACGACGACCTTCTCGATTTTTGGCACCGAGCCCGGGATCTGCACCTTTGCGCCCAACGTTTCTGGCCCTCGACGCTGCAGATCGACCTTTGGAGCATCTTCCCCCGCAGCCTCCTCACCACCGCAAGTCCGGCCACAGCACTGCGACCGTCGCGGCGGAGACGCCGTGTCGTCCTTGGGACTCTTCGGAGTCTATCTTTGTTTTCGCTGCGAGCGAATGCTAGATTGTGACTTCACTTGCCGCACCGACTCGACGGCTTGATTTGAAATCCTCCGCCATCATGGCGTCGTCACCATCCTCCGCCTTGACGGGCGTCATCATCGGTCTGGTGTCCTCTTTTGGCTCCATCGTCCTCATATTCCTCATCGTATTCATCTTTTGGGCATCTGGATGCGCTGGCTCAGGTCGAATCATCCTCGATCGTATCGGCCGACCCGGAGAATATGACGATGAGCAGGCATTTGCAAGGGAAGAGGCTGAGGCCTTGGAGAATATGGATGACATGTCAAGGACGGAGTACCTGAGGGCCAAAGGTGTGCTACGTAGCCCATGCATTATCGCTGCCACTAAGACGATATACTGACCATTTGAAATCCAGCCTTCGTTACTGCGAACCCTCCCGAGTCCGCGCAAACAGACATCTCGCTCTCGCAGTACCTTGCTATCCAAGAAAAAGGCGTCTCTGCTTGGGAGTTTGAACCCGAGCTGGAAATTGCGAATTGCTTCGTCGAGGCCCGAACCGAAATTGAATTCTTCGACTCCGAGTGCACCGTCATGAGCAACTTGCCTGTGCCTAAACAGAACGACGTCTACTACTGGGAAGCCAAGATTTACGACAAGCCCGAAAATACACTGATTGCTATCGGTATGGCTACCAAGCCATACCCTCTCTTTAGATTACCAGGTATGTTTTTATTTCCAACTCTGTATAATCTGCGCCTCGTGATTGACAATGGCTGTAGGCTACCACAAGTATTCCGTCGCTTATCATTCCAATGGCTCGCGTCACTATAACCAACCATTCAGCCGAACTCCATATGGTCCCCAGATTGTCACCGGCGATGTTATTGGTGTTGGATACAGACCGCGCACAGGCGTCATCTTCTTCACACGAAACGGCAAGAAGCTCGAAGAGGTGGTCCATGGCTTAAAGTCCCAAAACTTCTTTCCAGCCATCGGAGCAAACGGCCCCGCTTCAGTCCACGTCAATTTCGGTCAATCTGGTTTCGTCTTCATCGAGGCAAATGTCAAGAAATGGGGCCTGGCCCCTGTCACGGGCAGCCTGGCTCCCCCGCCCCCGTACGGTTCTGAGCAAGGCAGCATTCTCCTGGAAACTGGCACCAAAGACGGCTTCTCTTATTCACAGGGCCGCGCTCATCGACACTCTGTGAGCGGCACACCGTACAACGTCCGAGCTGCCGAGAATGACTTGAACCTAAACGTACAGCACGGACGGTCACGGAGCGGAAATTTCAGAGTCCTACCTCCTACTAGCCCCGGTCCCGTCAGGAGTCCAACCGATATCTCCCTTGCCCAACTCGTGCCATCGGATGAGCATGGTGAGCCTAGTAGCAGCAGCACGAATCTCGCCGATGAGCAGCATCTGGATGAGAATCCTCTTCATCTCCACCTTGAAGACGCCACCAACCCGCCACCCGATTACTCAAGCCCAACGCTCCATCAGGGCCGTAATCGACAGTACAGCAGCGACAGTGAAGAGGAGGAATACACACCTCTTATCCATGTTATGAACCGCAGTAGAGGCGAATCATCCGCAACAATACGGCCTGCAGGACATGGCCAACCCGCTTTACCCGAGGATCCTGTTCCGAGCTACAGCGATGCGATACAACAGGGAGCGAGCCCACTACGCCGAGAAAGAAGCGATAGTTCTGAATCTGGCGGCTCCAATCACAGCTCGAATAGCGGAGCTTCATCAAGCTAAGATAGACTTGTTCAATTTTCAGCAAACGATTTCACGAAAACGGAGATACCAAAAGTTAACATCTCGAGAACACCGCTACTCATCAACCTAAATATCAATCCGACACCAGGGTGAGAGGTGTAAACGGAGCCACTAGGCATTGCTCTCATCCTCACATTCATACATACCACATACACAATACCATCTTGCACATTGTTATATCTCTTTTGCACGGGCGCCTTGGAGTTTGTATAGCATTGGGATTCACCGCCACGGCGGCAACACGTCGACCCAATGGGTCTTTTTTTTGTCTTTATATGCGGCACTGCCTCCTCTCCTCAGACCTTAGAATAGGCCCCTTATTCTTTTTTTCTGCCATGGATGGAAACATTTGCACGGAATACTAAGGAGGGCCATGATACGATACCAACCTCTTTGAAGGCCTTGGCGAACTGCGACTACTTGGATTTTTTCTTTTGTCTCTTCTGCAAACTCTGAGCGAGCTGAGCTTTTGGGGTAGCATGAGTTGTAGATAGCTGATTAAATAGTATAAGGGCTTCATTTTGGCAGTAACTTTGATTTGCCCGTGATGTTGCTGTAAATAAATGTGAGACTTTTTTGCTAAATCTCCTAGAGTTTGAGTATGTCTTGCGAGAAGCTGTCGAGCTTTGCTTACTAGTGGTCATGGATATATTTTACTTGGTACTGCGAACCGTACATGTTTAGGTACCTAGTAGGTATAAGTTGCATGAAGAAATCAAATGTCCTTAGCTAAATATCATTTTTCTAGCTATAACTATTAGAATATAATTTCACTGGCTAAAACCACTAGATCTTAGGTCTCAGTCCAGCTCAGATGCCGCTATTTCGCGTGCTTCAATGCTTTCCGTAACGTAATCATGAGTTTCGTAACGCTAAATGAGTTTATGCAAGGCCAAAGCCGTCTGGTTCTTTCAGGGGAAAGCTATCCAGCAGCAGTAGCAGCAGCTGGATAACAGAACTGCGATACTGGATAAAATTTTCCCATGTTCCAGGTTGTTTTATCCTACCACTTCAAAGTCGTATCCCAGTTCCTCCACTATTGCGTCAAACTCGGCACTTTCATCTTCTTCAGGCTTCCTCATCTCATCCTCAACCCTCTTTGTTTCTACCTCAGGCTTCCTTATCTCATCCATGCCTCCGAGGAAAGGCTCCGAGTTTCCCTCCACGGCCCTCTCCACCATTTCGGGCCAATAGTCGAATCCATCTCGAACTGTAAAGCCGCTCTTGTTGCCGAGGAACATTCGACCCAGCTTCGCTCTCGTGCCCTCCACCTTTTCGAGCCGCACGAGCCGGTATCCGAGGAAGATGATAGTCTCTTCTTCATAACACGCAGAGTATCCCTTCTCGCGATGGACTTGGAAGCGGCCGCCGGCACCGACATTGAGGTTGAAGCTGGGATCCGGCACGGGGACCTTTATTTCTGCGCCAACACCCGATGTGCGGCCTGAGGAATCGCTGATTTCCATATTTGTGAGGGTGACAATGTCGGTGATGAAGTAGCCTTGCCCGTGGTTCTCCCGTAATAGGTCGAACAACTCCTCGAAATACTGCGTGTTCTTCAAGAGCTGCTTGAACTTCTCGCCCGGCGAATCCATATGCCACACCCGCGCCACAGTGGCCATCTTCTCGCTGGTATCCTCCTTTGCCCTATCAACAAACGCATCGAGAATCTCATTGAGCTTCGCCGAGACGCCGGCGTCCTTGATACGCCGTGTCCAGAACTTTACGTCGCGGACCTGCACCGGCTTGGGGTCGAGGCTGGGGACCAGTTCTCGGGGCATCTTTGTGCCCTCGCGGTAGGGGATGTGGCGCTCGGTGGGGAGGTCTGGGTATTTGACGACGCTGCCGATGAGCTTGTCGCGGTACTCGCCGGCGTCGAGGCGTGGCTGGACGAGCCAGAGGGGCTTCGTCTCGTGGGCGTGAGGCATCGCGGGGGCGACGAGGGGCTCACTGATGTGCTGTAAAGGTGCGTCGATGGGAAGATGTTGAGTAAAGGGATGTGGATGTGGGTTGAGTACAGCGGCGGTTGGCATAATAGGTCTGTTGTGTAGAATTGAGAGAAGAGAAGGAAAAAAAGAAAGAAATTGGGAAGTGAAACGGGTATAGGTTGGATGGATAGCGGCAGTGAGACGATTGACTAAATGGATCTTCAGTTGCCAATGCTTGTTTGTTGCCGTAATGTTGCAGGAAGCAGAAATGTTTAAGCAGATTTAAAAGAATTACAGAATAATATATACATCTCAATTAATGCATCATCTTATTTAGCAGTCACCGAGGTGTGACCAATCCTTCAGAGGCTTCGCCGATGACCTTATACGGCCGATGACAGCCTTGTGTGGCATGTGACGATGCTGTTCCTGGCCCGGCAGGACGAGAGGCCGCCACTGTTTAGCACCAAAGTCTGGATTAGGCTGCGCCACACAGTCGGTCGCCTGTGATTCAGCGAGTTCTAGCTGCGCCACATATATGAGCGTGCTGCGGATCGGGCTATTGCAGAGTTTGGCCAATGTGCAAAGGATTCGGCGGCTATTCAAGGGATGCGCTTCATAGAGCCTAAAGTACATGAGTCGCCAAGATTTCGTTGAAGAGAGTGATGTGGTAGAACGTTGCGGAAAAGAACGGCATCAATGCTGAGGCTTACAACAAAGAACATTCAACTTACACCAGTTGAGATGGCAGAAAAGCCAAAGCCCTCAGCCCATCAATCTGTCATCAGATGACTGTTCAATGCTACGCTGCCAGTCATTCAGCAACAAAGATACGCTTTCAATTTGGTGTGTTCGCGGAAAAGTAGATGAATGCAAGCGTTACATCCCGACATCTGGTGGAAAACCCAAGAATCTTGGGAGCTCTAGAACAAGTGGAGATCAGGCTGGGCTGTTCTTGGCAACGTATCGCCACCTGAAGTGTAAAAATTGTCTTTCAATTCAACAATGCCCGCCGCCTTTTCTTTCATCAGCAAATTACAATTGGTAACTCTTTCAAGTCAAGAATCACAGCCTTGGTCACCGCAGAGGCGTCCGTTGCCTTGGGTGCCTAGGCCTTTAGATAGCGCTGGCCAGCGGGATGGCTATAGCCGGCACCGAGTCTCGCGCCACCAGCAGAACAACAGTGTCAGCCCAGAATCAGCCCTACAAGTGAAAAGGCAGTGAACAGTCACAGCTGTTGTTGTACTGGTATAACACACCATGTTGGCGGGAGAAAAGAACTGTAATTTAAGGACTAGTATATATATTTTTTGGGATTATGCACGGCATATTCCATGGCTTGCAGCCAGATGATGCTGACATTTAGCCCACTAGCACCTGTATGCCCAAAACAGGGAAGTCGCCTTTGGACCTGCACCAGCCACATAGCCTCTCTCTCATTCTCTCCCATTCATCACTCATCACTCATCCTTCATCCTTCGTTTCGCTCCCACATTTGACGCATTTATCATTGAATTTCTCAGGCAAGCAGGCTTCATGTTTGCGCATCATTTCTCATCGACTCTAAAATACCAAGCGAAGACAGAATTTGTCCATACCATACGACAACCTTTGCATAGCCCCTGTGCGCCTGTATCCGAGCCAAATGGCGAGTCTGCTCCAGCGTGTACGAGGGGCAGTAACGCGGCAAAGGAGCTCAGATCTGAGCGGTTTGAAGGTTGTGAAAGACCCTGAAGATGCGGATATAGAGTGAGTTTAACAGTTACGGAGTCATATCTTGATGGTCCCCAGCACATAAACTGACCCCTGTACAGCATCGTAGCGATCCATGGCCTTGGTCCGCAAGGTTTCAAATCATGGATCTCACTCGAGGGCGGCAAGTCCAAGTTCTGGCTAAATGACCTTCTCGCAGAAGATATTCCTAATGCGAGGATCATGACATACGGGTATGTCTCCGATGGGCCTAATTATCGATACCTTGTGCACAATGTGCTATATGGCAGAGCCTTGGATTTGGTCAAGGAGTTGGGGAGCCAACGGGACCGGGATGGAACGAGCAGGCGCCCCCTCTTCTTCATTGCGCATTCTCTAGGAGGCTGGATCGTCAAACGCGCACTCATCATCTCCAGCGAAGCCGTTGACGCAGAGATCAAGAACATCGAGCTGTCGACTTGTGGAGTGGCTTTTCTGGGAACGCTGTCTCCTGGTAGGCCTCAGTCTCCAACGCCACTGGCGCATGTAATTCGAAGAACGACATCAGGATTTGATGGAGTTCCAGATCGCAATGCTTCTCGAACACCCTCCATGCAGCCCAAAGCTAGTTTTGAATGGCTAGAGAATCAAATGGAAGCCTTCAAGGCAATCACAGAAAACTTGCCGCAGATATCCTTTTACGAGACAAAACAAACGGCAGATGGATTTGTTGTCGAGCAGCGGCATTCCATGTCTGGCTCCGATGGAGTACAGATTGGGTTATCCGCCACCCATTCGGGCTTGATTCAATTCCAAGGTCGTGACGCAAACTACAAGACATTTGTCAACAGATTTCGAGAACTGATTCATCAGGCTAAAGCCACTAATCTTTTAGAGACGAAACAGAAGACATTTGACGTTACTACAGGTAAGAAACGATCTTGGGCCATGCATAAGGACATCACTAACTCGGATCCAGATCAACAACTAGAGTATCTGAAAGATAATTTTGATATTCCATACAAACTACCCGGTGATGCTTACACAATTATACATAGAACAAGCCAACTCGAACTACTCGAAGCTAGCTTCAAGCCGCCTCATGATCCGCAAGCTTTACATATCAGCATCGCCGGTCTATGGGGAGACGCTGGCGCCGGCAAAACTGCCTTGGCAAGAGACTACGCCGAAATCAATAGGGATAAGCTTTCCTTTGTTTTCTGGATCTGGGCTGAGAGTTGGGAGACGGCTGTGACAAGCTATCTTGAGTTCGCCAACAATCTTGTTCAATACTACTCCAAGGACGTGCCTCGAATCCAAGTAGAGAACGATCTTGGACTCACTGGAGTCGAGGACATGCTCAAGGTAAAGAGTCTTCAGGAGCTGGATGAATCAAGAGTCAAGTCTGTGGTCCGAGCCGTTAAGGACTGGCTTATGAGGCCCGACAATGACAAATGGCTCCTCATCTTCGATAACGTGGAGCCATCCTTTGATATATCCAACTTCATTCCTCTAACTCTCACTGGTAAGATCATCTTAACTTCAAGGGAGAGCAGTAGCTGTATATGGGGGACAAAACTACGCGTCGGGCCCATGTTGGATGGAGAAGCCGTGGAGCTACTTCGTTCAGTAGTAGGAGACGAGTCTCTACAGAATGACCGTGAAGGTATGGAAATATTCTCAAGCTCTCTTTTAATCTCATTACACAACTAACGACTACGATTAGTGGAAGCGGCTTACAAGCTGGTGCGCCAGCTCAAATGCCATTCTCAGTCTGTAGCCCTTGCAGCCTCTACAATTAGCAAGAAAAGCCTTGTCGTGTCTCATTTTCAGAGCCAGCTCCAGTCCCATTTGCCGCTCAGGCTATTGGGCTCGACTCTCGACCAGTCTTCCGTAACAAGGACAGTGCTTCGTGTTAGCGCAATGCTTTCGTATACAGTCATTCCAGTGGCTCTCTTCAATCCATCGAAAGGGCCAAAGAATGTCCCAACGCGATTTGCAGATGCTTTTGCGGAAATTAAAGGTTCGTTATCATGGCTATCACTGTGGCAAAGTGATACTAATTTGACATAGCATTTCAAGTTGCAAACAGGCTTGACGATGTTTTGCAGTACCTCTTCGATCAGAATTTTATACAGACTTCATCTACTGAGTCACCGCCAGCATCGGCAACTTCATCGCCCAGCTCGCCTTCCGCGTCGCAAGGTACAAATTCCTCTACGACGTCTTTTGAAACGTTCATACTTGACCCTGCAGCTCGCGACCACGTGCGTGCCACGCTTAAAGATGGTGAACAAAAAGAAAACGCATGGCTAGCCTGTAATATCTGTGCAGACGGAATTCGGGAACAAGAAACGACTTCTTCATACCTACGGGAAATCCACGACTTTGGCAGAATCATGGCTCCTCATGCAAAAGCTTGCTATGATGACTGGTCCAGCATCTTGGAGCATGATGAAGACGACGTTGCCTGGCATGTGTTGGGAAATGTCTGCATGACACAAGGTGCCTTGGAGCAAGCTATTGGATGCTTTGAGCTCTCTCTGCAGCAGAGATCGCACGTTGATGCCGGTGAGAGGATCCAGACCTCTCTATCACTTGCGTCGCTGCTTCAGCAGACAGGGCAGTACGAGAAAAGCGCAGAAGTCTTGGAGAATATTGACTTGGCATCCATCGACAAAGCGCTTGGGTTTAGAGTTGCTTTGGCTAAAGTTTCGGCGGCGACTGCCCAGGGGGACTTTGATTATGCGGAAGACCAATATGGTCTCATTGAACACGCACAGGAGGAAGAGCTTGGGCCTACAGATGCGACAACTGTGAGTACAGTGCAAAAGCTCGCGTCTACGTGGCAACAGCTGGGGAAGATGGAAGAGGCTCAGGCGCTCTACCGTCGTGTATACATCTCTTACCTGAGAATGTTTAACCAGAGCCATCCCCAGACGCTTGAAGCTCTCGATGACCTTGCGCACGTATCAAAGGCTAGCAACGCCATTGATGAGGCCGAGACTCTTTACAAGAAATCACTAGAGATCAAAACCAGGGTCTTTGGAGCAGAACACCCTAACACCGCTGATGCTATGCATAACCTTGCCGTTATTGACGATATACGGTGCCGTTATGAAGATGCCAAAGTCAAGTATCAAAAAGCCTTGGATATCATGGCTGCCTCGATAGGCAAAGCCCATCCGCTTTACATAACCACATTGGAGAATCTAGCATTCAGCAGTCGTCTACGTGCTAATGCATTCGGTGAGGAAGATCATACGAGATCTCTAATATCTGCAGAAGGGGGCTCCAGCAGTCGTACTTTTCGTGACCGCGCCCGCCGTCGCCTCACAGCCAACTCAATGGCTACCATTACTCCAGAAAGCTATGCTGCAAATAAATCCAAAGAAGAGGCCGTGCTTCGTGATGCTTCTCGCCAGCGCGCTTTTGCCGAGGCGGAGAAATTTTACCTCGATGCTCTAGGCATTAAAAAGTCTGCGGTTCTGCTGTACCGCGAGGAAGACGTTGTTGAAACAGCGTCGAAATTACGGGAGATGTATGAGAATGAGGCCTTTTACGAGGACTGTGGAGGTGAAAAGGTTTCCGACTTGATGAGCCTTTTGAGAGAGATGAGGAGGAGAGGGACACTGTAATGGCTTCTTTCTCTACATTGATTTCGGCGGCGAAGAGCAGCGCTTCCTGATGTTGCTGGCTATAATGAGGGTTTTGGGAAGTTGAGACAACAACAAGAAACAGGCCGTGTGGCTCAATGGCAGAGCGTCTGACTACGATTAAGTACATCAGGAGGTTGCAGGTTCGACCCCTGTCTCGGTCAATCTTTTTGATCCTTTTTGGTGGCGTTTTCTGGTTAAGCGCTAATACCCACCAGTCTCGTTTGGTCTCTTTTTATCAGTTGCTTCCATGTTGTCTTTTCTGTTTGATGAGTTGAGCGAGGTGCTTGTTTTGGTATTGTATGGTTTCCAGTTGGCGTTGTTGAGAGTGACTAGGAATGGCTTTTTGGGTAGGCGTATCTTATTTTTCGCCTTTTGGTTTGGTGATTTGTCGTATTTTGGAGTTGAATTTTGTCATAGCTTTAACAGAAGATATCGTGGGTTATGTGGGACTTGGAATAAGAGGCTGTATGAAGCCAACGCAATGAATATGTTTGTATTTCAATAATGTACTAAACGACAACATGTTTTGCTCTCAGAACAGAAATACTTATATCATTTGTGTGGAGATACGTACGATGCTTGCAACTAACTAAAGTATACATTGTCGAACTCCCGCCATATCCAGCGCCAAGTCATATGATGCTATTATCCCACCAATACACCCTGATTCGAAGGCTGCTCCCTCGCCCATCTGTAGTTGTAAAAAGAGTCCCGTAAGTATACTCACTCATAGCCAACGAGCGACGAGAATACCTACTCCAGTCACTCTCTCCAGCGATTTCTTCGTGAAAAGGGATTCAGTAAAAGATGTCATAATCTTCCATATATATATCTAGCTTCTCGCATATACTCTCCTTCACTCCTCTTACTGCTGCTGCTGCTCCTGTTCCTGCTGCGGCTGTTCTTCAGGCGGCGGCGGCGGCGGCGGCGCAAAATACGCCTTTCCAGCATCCACAAGAACCTGCTGGTCAATACGGGCCTCGGTCTCGCCGTACTCGACCCTCTTCCACGTCGTGATGCGCGCCTCCTCGGTGTCGACCTCGAACATGCGCAGGCGGCGGACGTAGCCGTCGTAGCCGGCGTAGCCACCGAAGCCGATGCCGCCGGAGTAGCACATCCACATGGCGGGCACGCGGGGGACCTCGTCCTCGGGCTTCGTTTCGGACTGGAGGGGCAGTTTTTCTTCCCAGCCTGGGAGGAAGGATTTTGTTTCGTCGCCGTGGCGGGAGAGGGAGCAGTAGTCGTTGACGTGGTCACTTTTTTTGAGGGAATGATTAGTATATGAGTGAAAAACAAGAGGGATGGGAGGGCTTCTTACTGTCCGGCGCTGACCATGACAACGCCTTGCTCAACGAGGGCATCGTGGAATCCGGTGTTGTAGACGGGGGCTGTGACGCCCTCTTTCCATTCTCCGACGCGGGGCTTATCCCAATCGGCGTATTCTATCAGGGGAATATGTATAAAGGCAATATCCATGTGTCGATGGGTGTATCCATCGTGGTTCTTCTTCAGGTTGGCATGGGTCTTTTTGAACCAGTCAATCTGATTGGGCTTGACCCAGTCGTAGCCCGGGAAATGGCGCTCATCGGGCGAGTACGAATGCGTGTCGAGGAGGTAGATTGTCAAGGCGGAGTGGTCGTTGTGGCCACGAGCCAGGACTTCGATGTAGTAGTTGCCGACGCCGTCGACGTCTGCGGGGCCGGCTTGCGATAGGGAGTAAGGGAGGGTCTCCATGAGAGCCATTTGGGCTTCTCGCGACATAGACTTTTCGTCGTCGTGGTTGCCAAAGATGGCGGCATATGGTATTTTGCGCTCGATGAGGAGAGAGGCGTATTTGTATATAGCCTGTCATTTCAGTTCATCTAAATGTCAGTTTATGCATGTTCCGATGTCATCTGGGGAGAAAAGGGAAAAGGGGGTGTCATCATACCGAAGGTGCATCGGGGGCCGAATCGCCATTAACCTGATCGCCGCTCAAGATGACCAAGTCGGGCTTCTCCTCATCCAGCATCTTGGTGAGGAAATCAAGCGTCCTGGGATCAGCCTCGCATTTGCCTCCCTTGTAGCCGTCGGGAACAGCCTCTCGGCACTCGCCCACGCCCGTGCTGAGGTGCAAGTCTCCCACTTGCATAATCTTAAGCCGTCCGTTGTCGGGGATTCTAGGCTGCGGCTTCTTTATCTCGTGATGCGCGCCTCTCTTGACAGTCAGGTGGGCGCTGAGGAAACTCGAGCCGGTATCGAGATGCAGGGGTCTTCCAACAATGCCCCAGCCGTCGCGGGCCTCGGTTGCGTCATCGCCAAAGACAACGTCCACGTCCGTCACGGCAGCATCAGAGTCGCTTGATTTCTTATTCCTGGATCGCTTCAACCAGATACCGCCAGGCCTCGGCTCCCAGTGCTCGCCTTCGCCCGTCGAGACGTCTCCGGGATTCAGGGATCCCACTGAGACGCCGACAACAACCTCGTCTTCGTCGGTCAGGTTCTCTTCGTGCTTGCGGCGCACGTGGAGGTATGCGCTCGACGTCCAGGCCTTGCCCAGATACAGCTCTTTCTCGATGCGGTGCCATTCGTTCGGGTTCAGCTCGCAGGAGGAGAAGGGCTTGAGGCTGGAGCAGGTCGTGATGGTGATGTCGGTGACCACCAGGCCGGGATGGTGGGTCGGCATGTAGTTGTGGAGGGCATTAGGAAGGACCCTGTAGTTTCGGTCGAGGAAGAAGATGAGGATAGTGGTGAGGAGCGTTATGGCGCCCAGCTGGGTGAGCGTGCGAACCTGGGAGTGGAAGCGACAAGTCAGTGATCAAGAGTCTGGAGTTGCGGCAAAGGGTGGCGGCCAACGTACAATGCGTCGCGTCATCGTGAAGGGCGCCAGAAAGGGAATGTAAGCTGAGTATCGCACACGAGGATCGGTTCTCAGCGATGCGCCGTGCAGCAAAGTCCGCTCAGTGTCGCGCTGTTCGCATCTTCAGGAGGAGAAAGATCGCATGGCGGATCGTGAAGACAGAGGCGAAGGTGTATGTATGTATGTATATTATATGCCTGTCGTATATCGACGCCGCCCCCAGATCAACAGGCCTCGGCTTCTGGCTGCTAGCCTCGCGCAACCAGCAGCAATTCGCGCTCCTGTAGTCCTCTGGATGAGGTTGTTGGAGCCAAAGGGTCGGAGAGTCTCGCGTCGAGTCGAGTCGAGAAGATGCGTGATGCGGCTTGCATGTCAACTTTTGCTGCGTCGCACTGGATAAGGCCACCAACATATCGATCCAAGGGGTCAATGCCGGGATCAGCGAGATGAGCCGCCGCGATTGGTCCAAATGCCGCTCTTAGTGCAGTCTTGGCTCTAAAGTTTGAATGGCTTCAGTGGGGTCGTCTGTTGAGCTGTAGCGAGCTCTGGGGCTGTAGCAGTCGCTAATGCAGCAGCATCTTGTGTGCGCATCGTTACAAAGGCGTTTCATATCCAATAAATGAGTCTTCATCTTATGATACCGTAAGCATATTATAACTGCGTTTCAAATAACCAAGTCTATTCTAAAGAAATAGCTTTTGGCAACATCAACGCTAATACGATCCTAGTGGAGCACAAAGAGCTGCATCTCTTACCGATAGACGAGCTCTACCCATGTCGTTGACGCAGAGCTTACTGTCATCTAATCATGGAGATCTTCCCATTACATGTCATCTTCGTCCATGTTGGCCCCTGCTAAACGGAGCAAATATTTAGTTAGTGTTGCATTGCTCAAGCTCCATTTTCGTACTCAGTCCATTAGGTAGGTAGGTAGGCAGTCTAATACAGCACGAGCCTGGTATAGGACATGATGTGTAGTCACGGATCTTTGCATGAAGCCAGAACTTGCTGCATATCTGTGTCTTGTCTTCTGGAATCTTCTCATGTGCATCACAGAGTATTTCATAGATGTATTTACTATATCGCAACGTCGACAAGGCAGTGCAACCTCTCATGCAGAGGGCACTGCCATGATACACTGAGCTTTCTCTAATACTGTGACACTCTCCCCATTAACCTTGTTGTGTTTAATAAGAGCTCCAAAAATGGGAAACACAAAGTCTCCTGTCGTACCCGGAACGTGAGATATTTCTCCGATTGCTTCATACCGATCTTCTAGCCCCCTGAGCCGACATCCTGGAGAAACGAAACATTCAAAAGGCTCTAATGAGTTGCGCATTAGGAGTTGGAGAGCCCATGCCTCTTTACAAAGTTCTCGATAGCCATTTCTCAGTTTCGAAATTTGCTGTGGCGTCGCATTCTGAGAGGTGAATTCTTGAAAGTAATTGAACATCAAATCTCCAAAGGCGACGCCAGAGTCACTCCCGCCCAGCCCCGCGGCGTCGATGCATTTGAATGTAGATAATCTCCAGTTGATCAATATATCGCGATTCACTGTAATGCATTAGCTCAAAAATGCAATCGACTGCTGAAACAGCATTTTCAAGATTTCTTACCAGCACAATCGCCAAGAATGCGCTCAAAGAAGCTTAAAGGTTGGCTTAAGTTTGGAAAAGGGCTGCCAAGTTCTGCTAAATATGGGCTCGTTTTTTTGTCGTTGATATCGAAATGCAGTAGGTTGAGAATATTATTATGCAGAAACTGGAACAAAAGGCTCCTCAAAATAGCCAGTCGGCCTGACTTTGGTGATAGATTCCATAGAGTCTCAATATATCTGCCCTGAAACCATTTTCCGTCCAGTGTCAAGTCATGGAACTCTTCTATGTCATATGCTTTATTGGAAGCAAGTCTCTGTATGCGCTGACGGAGTTGCGTAAATCTCTCGCATACGTCTCTATCACTAACAATCTGGTTATGACTGTTTTCGATAAGAAAATCTCGCATGCTCCGTTCTTTGTTTTGCAACTTTGAGATTTCAGATCGACAAGCTTTCAGCTCCTTTTGACAGTCATGTACCGAGTCATTGAGTTGGCGCACCTCGTTATTGGCTCGGTGTAGTTCGCTATGAGCCTGCTCCAGTTGACTGTTCGCTTGTTGCAGCTCACTGCGAGTGTGCCGCAGCGAGAATGCTAGGCGGTTATAATCGTCAGTAAGCTGTTTGAGCTCCCTATTAGTCCTTGGAGTTTGCCATATCGGGAATATAGTCTGTATCAAGCTTCTCATTATGCCAGCTTCTCTTTTAGTAACTTTTGCTCTCTCAGGTTGACGTAGAGCTTGAAATTCTTCAGAGGATGATGAAGCTGCTCCCTGCGAGGCTGCAACTTGATTGGCGTTTTGGGATGGATCAAAGAGATTGGCGCTGCCTGGTTCGTGGTAACCAGAATTGCAAGCCGTAGTCGCTGATGGCCCCCAACACGCCAGAAAGTAGTTGCATATCCCAGACATTTAGATGCGCGTGATCATGGAAATCACTGCAAGACCATCGACTAACTTGAAAAGAATCGTGGGTTAATATGATGTAACTGATAGGGCTCTAGAGACAGACAGAGCCTTAGTGATGTAATGCAAACTTCACGTACATGTCGCTTGGTTCTAATCCAAGTCACCAAATTTGTGCCACTGAATCATAGCATACCAGCTAATTGATGCATACCTTCGAGGTGCCAGGTGGGCATGCGAATAACTTTATAGCGAATAAATAAGCTTCCATCTCAGACTTTGGCGTTATCATGCAAATGGATATCGATCCAGACCCAAAGTTAAATCGCAATTTATACCTTTTTCAGGCATGGATTGAAAGCACAAGTGCTACCAAGGTAATGCGCAAACTTCCCGTTTCGGCATGTCGCTACTTACCTGTATCAATAAGCCAATAACTATGACGAGTAAGAGAAGCATCGTTCCAGCTGAGAGGGCAATCCTGCATCTCAATTGCGATTCTGCAATAAGCATGGTGGAAAATTAAGGTTGAGTCGAAGCCGGCTGCGGATATGCCATTCTTTAGAATGTGGCTGTTGGGGATTAGGGCTTGTCGCTTCGGGCTTCTGTACTGATAAAGCGAGATGCTTGCACAAAAGCTGAGGCATGAATGTTGAAAGGACCAAGCATTAATACGTTCTTCAATTAGAGTTTGGCTTAGTAAATACCTGACCTACCTGGATATATAGTCGTTCGTACGTGGCTCGGTCAACATCACGACCCTAGTTCTGTAGTTGACACAGATTCGGACCGCGCACATCTTGCAAACCCAAAACCATCCGGTATGGACGACAGGCTCATTATTGCTGTGGACTTTGGTACCACTTACTCTGGCATTGCTTATTGCTTTGCCGACCAACGGAACAGTTCTCCCATTCCCATTGACAACTGGCCCGGTAAGCTGTTTTCTGTCTCCGCCAATATTCAGATCAAAATCTAACAAGCTGAATATCAGGAGCCAACGGCATCGATGTGCCAAAGATTCCCACTGTTATTTGCTACGACAAAAAAAACCCTCAGAAGTTTGTCTGGGGAGGGAGTGTAGAGCCTCATGCTGACAGCATATCTGGATTCAAACTGTTGCTTGATCCGTCGCAACCAAGGCCAGAATATGTCCCCGGAATCAACATTGCCAAAGAACTCCAACAGCTACCGAAATCGCCTATTGAGATTACGGCCGATTTTATTGGTGCCATACATAAGCATGCAATTGAAGAGATTAGCAAAAAGTTTCCCAAAGACTACGTCCAGTTGTGCCGCAAGGAATATGTTTTTTCTGGTATATTGAGACAGCGACCTGAGTACATAAATCTCTCTTTTAACAATGTTCACAGTACCGGCTGTATGGTCTGATGCTGCTAAACACGCTACATTAAAGGTAAGCTCTGGGTAATTGACACCATGATAAGATTATGAGCTCATATATTGATTTGGTCTATAGGCCGCTGAGATGGCGGGACTTACCCCGGTCCAACTAATCAAGGAACCCGAAGCTGCGGCATTATGGACGACTAAGAAGCTTGACGTCGCTATGAACTCTGGCGATGTCTTTGTTGTTTGCGATGCCGGTGGTGGTACAGTCGATTTGGTATCTTATGAAGTCGAGACCGCCAACCCCAAGCTGCAAGTCAAAGAAGTAGTTCCCGGCACAGGTCAGGCATTTATCTATCAAGCAACGTTTTACGAGGTGTAATTCCAGGCTAATTTTCAACATATCATCATAGGTGGAATGGCCGGATCGCTCAATCTGAACAAGCGTTTTGAAAGCGCCGTGGAAGAGCTTGTTGGCGAAAAGCAGTGGAGCGTGTTGCACTCCAACAAAGGCTTCCAGCTTGCATCGTCACTTTTTGAAAAAGAGATCAAGAAGGGATTCAGGGGAGACCCCGATGATGACTGTTTTGATGATGATGATGAGTTCTATGTTAACTTTTACCCGGCAAGGCTAACAGACAACCCTGACCGCGGCCTAGAGTCGAATACGTGGACAATGGTCAGGTACGTAAACGAATCCCGTTTCTAAATGGATGGCAAGTTCTTACATTCTGCTAGGGATGACTTGATGGATATATTCAATCCCGTCATTGATGACGTTCTGAAGCTAGTCGACGATCAAGTCGAGCGTGTCAAGATGAAGATGGGAGGACGAGAGCCAAAGGTCTGGCATTGCGCTTGCTATCAACCACGGAAAGAGCCAAAGCTGACTTTGTTGTTCTAACAGTACATTTTCTTGGTCGGCGGGTTTGGTAGCAATCGATATTTGATGAAACGAATCGTGAACAGATATCCGAGTATAGAAGTTTTACAACCTCCTGATGCTTGGGCTGCAATTGCCAAGTAAGCGACCCCTAATCTTGGAGAAGGATGGCATCTAATTGTCCAATATAGGGGCGCCGCGCTTTCTGAAACGTCAAGCGAAACTACTGTTACAAGTCTTTCAGCTACTCGTCATTACGGTACCAAAGTTCAAAGTCTCTACGATGAAATTCTAGATCGAGGAAGACCTTTTAAAGAGGGTATTGATGGCAACATTTGGACCGACATGGTAAGTACCTTTATTATGACAAACTGAGCCTTACTAAATAGAACGCAGATGATGTGGTATATACATAGAGGAGATAATCTTTCGAAGAGTTCTCGTATTCCATTCACGCTGCGCAGTTACTATTCTCAACATGATTACGAGACGGGGAATCTTTGGTTATACGGCAAGCTGTATGAATCCCAAGAGGAGTACGTATAAATAGCTTCTTGGATGTTTACTTGCCTTATTGACCACGTTGTTGACTGGACAATTCAGAACGGCGCCTCGATATCCTTCAGATAACGAGACCTTCCGTCTCAATTGCAAATTGCTCTGCAACCTCTCCAAAGTGCCAAAGCACCTGTTTGAGAAAAATATTAGTGAGTTGTGAGCACACGTATTTATCAAACGTTTGCTAACCATAGCTACCTACTTTGGCAGACAAATATGGACAAACATAGTAAGCCCAATCTCTCTCTTTTTTCTCTCAGGCTTACGTAATGGTACTGACACTCTGTTTAGCTATAGTCTTATGCTGAAGTTTGTCATGACACTTGAAGGCGCACTAATGACATTCTCCTTTGAAATTGATGGGGTTACATATGATTCAGTCGAAGCCAAGTATGACCCATGAGTCGAAGAGTATGTGCCTAGATTGTGATGGGAAGCAGCGATTTGCCGCTCAAGTTATATAGGGAGCCTATATATGCCTCTATACATCAAATACAGTCGTGATAATTTCGAAATAAGTTCTGTTTGCGGCGATAGACCGTTGGCAATAGTTGTCATGGCCGGATCTGTCTGTTGATGTATCTGACATGATTCCTCGTCTGGCTTGCATTTGGCTGATACAGGTGCCTGTGTTGACATGAAATCGATTGATCGAAAAAAGTGGCCTCTTAAAGCTGCAGCAGGCTTTAGATTGAAATGAGATGATGAAACGAGACATTTTCCACCTTTTCTCTCATGATTTCGGGCTCGCTTGAAAAATCCATTGCATTACCGGGTAGGTGCAGGTAAAAACACCGGCTTAGTAAATCTAAAACAAGCTTGTGCCATGGTGGGCTGCCACCTCTGTCTCGAGTACCTGGTTATAAAGTAAATAGCAGGTTCCAAGCACCAAGATATAGACTAGGATAAATGTAAATAGTTGGCAGTAAAAAAATCGTATCATCTACCATGGATTAATGCTGTTCACTGTGGTACAGAGTTCAGCGGATAGCTTCCAGAGCTCAGTGCTCTCTTCAAGGCTTACGTGGTCCGTGCGCCGGGCTGGTGCATCTCGTAATAGCGGCCCGGATCGCCGCCATGCACCGCGTCTGTCTCGTCTCTCGTTTTCTTTGACCTCGTCACTTGCATTCATCCAACGCCCATTTGCCCTTCTTCTTCTTCTCTTCTTCTCTTCTCGCGCACTCGCATCTTTTCGATTCACCATCAATTGTGTGCGCCCGTAACGATTGCGCGTCGACACCCCTATTTCTTCACCCTTTATTCTTCGAATCCCGCCACTACGGATTTTACAGCTACTCCTGCCGCTGTCTAGGTACCAGGTAGTAGCGCTGCTTCTTCTTCCGCTCCCTTGAGCCCAAATTTAATTTCGTCACCGCCAACTGCGCGCCATCCTTTTCATCCCGACCCGATTTTTCATCATCGACTCTTCATTCTCTTTTTTTTCAAATTCAGAAAAATGTCCGACTACGCATCCCTCAAGGTGCCGGAGCTGAAGAAGCTCCTGGCTGAGAAGAAGCTGTCGCAGACCGGCAACAAGGCCGATCTGATTGCGCGCCTGCAAGAGGCCGACAAGAAGGACACCACCGCGTCGACAGAGGACAGCAAGCCTGGTATGTTGGCGACTGCGCCTTTTTCATTTTTTCTTCTTGACATGATTCACAATTGAATCCGATTGGCAAACGCCTTTTTGTCGCGCTCGGCATATCTTGGATGGGAAAAACGACACTAACGTTGGGACCTGCGCAGCCGAGAACAAAGAGGACGAAATCAACTACAGCGACGACGAAGCCGCTGCCGCGCCCGCCGCCTCAAAACCTGAAAAGGCACCGGCAGCAGAGAAGCCCGTAGAGAAGCCCGCCGAAGCGCCCGCCGTCGCTGAAGCCGCCGAAGAAGAACAGGAAGACGCAGCGAAGCCCGCCGAAGAAGAAAAGGCCGCTGCCGAAGAAGAGGCCAAGGAGCCCGCCCCGTCCTTCGCCATTGGCCTCTCGTCCTCCACCGCCGACGAGGAGCTCAAGAAGCGCGTCGAGCGAGCCAAGCGCTTCGGCACCGAGCTCGATGACGAGACCCAGAGACTGGCCGAGCGAGCCAAGCGCTTTGGCATCAATGATAAGGAATTGGCCAGCGGATTGGACGCAGCTCTGCCCGAGAGGTCGCTGAAGCGTGGCCGCGGCCGCAACGAGGGCGATGGCAACAGGCCCGGCAAGAAGCGCAGCCAGGATCGCAAGGGACCTTCTGGCAACGAGAGGCGCAGCGGCCGCAACAACAACAAGAATCAGGGTGGCAATGCCTCGGGCAAGCCCAAGTTTGGCAGCATCGTAGAAGATCCTTCTGAGCGAGCCAAGGCCGAGAAGCGAGCTGCCAGATTTGCTGCAGCGTAAGCTGCTCAGCTCATAGGCAGCTGGTTACTCAAGATGGAAGATGATGACTGGCAAAGATGTGAATTTAGCTGGACTGAAGCTCAAGAAAGGCAAAGGAGTAACTGAAAAAAAAATGTTCAAGATCTAGGTTTATAATGAGAGCGTCTGGAAGGGAACGGAAGGTGGGATGGGATGAAATGGCATGTGTATCATACGAAAGCGCTTTTTCTAATAAGAGGCAAAAAACGGCGTTTTTTTTTTTTGGTTTTGAAACGATTTACTGCATTTTACCCTGATGATGCTGCTGCTGTTGGAAGCAAATGCCTGTCCATACCAGCTGTTGGCCGGCATATGCGATTCTGGGACTGTGTTCAAAGAGAACCTCGTAAAAGGAAATGATGTTGGCCTAGACGCCAATATGCACAAAGTAACAACCTACGGTAGAACCAATGCCAAAGAGGTTAATGGCCTTTAGGGTCTGAGCAAAGCTCATCTGCCAGCTTCTCATATAAATGGACCGCTCTAAATATCCATCAATCAGGTAATTACCCTTTCATTAGCAAAAAAAAAAAAAAAAACATTGTATTGAATCTACCAGCCAAGAAGAAGGTACTTTTGCAAAACAAAAAAAGAAAGGTCCATAAAAGGCCCTTCTCATCACGTCTTTCAACCAACAGGTGACAAACCTCTGTCTTTATCCAAGCTTACCGAGGTGGAAAAAAAAAAGAACGCAGTAAAATTATACCTCAAAAAGAGAGTATGTGATGAAAAGAGAGAAAAAAAAAAGAGCGCACATTTGCATTCTGGCATGTAGGTATCATCACAGGTATATCATATCCTCCTTCCCTTATCCGTAACGAAACAAGAGAGCGAGAAAGAGATTTAGCATGTGCAAAGAGATTATGTACCTATATTAAATCACAATCACATTTGACTAACAACCCGTGATCTCCGCTATATGTCCACATCCTGGCTCTCATCACACACATCACATCGCTTTTCCCCGCTCAACGGAGAGGAGTGAGAGCGAGAGAGAGAGAAAAACAAGAGCGAAATGAGATGGCCTCGACCGGGGGGCAAGGGGTCAGGACAATTTGTCCGTGACGGGTAGTCAAGCACGCCATCTTGATTTTGTGCATTTTGCTCCAAATGTGATGTGTCGTCTTTATAACGTTGTGCAAGTATATCGTGATGCATACTGCCTACTACCTACTAGTAGTAGATACCCGTCGATGATGGTGCTGCTTAGCAGCGCTACTTTCTACGGGAGACAAATATAGTGTTGAAGCTAGCATTTGCTTCATGGGCTATTGTGTTTATGAATAATCATTTTTTCCCCTCCAGCAAAAAGAGAATGCTTACGCGCCCGGGGAATGTAGGTTGAAGGATTCAGCAGTAGCTGCTAGCACTACTATTGGAGAGTGGGTTTGACAAAAGGCCAATAGCGGCGACGAGATGTTGGAGATGTTGCTATAAGCATGTCTGCAGACTGGAGTGGGTATTCTCGGGAGAACGTCAAAGCGTCTAAGAGCAATAAAAGGGTCAAAGGAGGGGATGCCAGACGTTTCTCCTCAGCTGAGCCACTTGACTCGAGATTGGTTGTACGGACGATACGACGGTGATTCGTTGTGTATCGCTCTCTACTAAGAAGAAAACGAAGAGGATTCCTAGCACGCCTGCTACATTCGAGCTCTTATTAGATCATCTGCAGACTAAGGAAGGGTGTTGATCCAATGTTTGAACAATCCAAGCTGATGTCTCGGACGATGCATCCAACAACAAAACAGCAGAGGTCTGCCACAGAATATGCAACAAAGACAAAGAATAGTCTAGTTCGGCATGTAGTCAGATATCAGCCGCTGCGTTAAATCAGAACAGAGGCCAATCACTCAACGGAACGGGCAACACCTTTGAGGTCGCTGCTCAGTTGATGTGTCATATGGATGGACCAACAGGACAAAAGATCCGTTTAAAGACTCTCAAAAGACCAACGCGCTAATCCCGCAGTTTGAACAATAAACGGCTGCCTGTGTCTGCTCCCCCCTCTGCCGTGAATCAAGCGCCCCAACCATCAACCACACCAAGGAGCCAGCTCTAGCGGCAGCGGTCATCGGTCATCGCTTTAGGAGGTGAGACGAAGCAGAAAATTTCGCCTCGGCGAGCCAACATGCTAGGCTTGCTCCCCACGTGTAGACCCGTCGGTAGCATGATTCAGCGCTGAAGGACTGGAGTGGTTGGACGGCCTTCATGACTGATGCTCCTCGGGGCCACCCTCCGTCACGTTACTTGGAGACCTTCAAATCCGGGAACCAATGGCGGCCGCGAGACCCTTGCTGAGCTAAACGAGATGGGGTCCTCACCTGGCGTCTTGCACAAATTTTGATATGGATAGATGGGCAGATGGGGGGTGAAGCTGTGGAAGGATGATGGACGTGGCTTGATTCGCTACTCTTGCCCCGGGATTTTCTTTCTTGGTTTCAATAGCAGCCTGCGGTACTCCATCCATGCTACCTACATGTAGTAGCAGCAGAAGTATAGGTATACCAGTTTGGTCAGTAGCTGTGCTTTTACCTGCCAATATTATGCCTTGCTAAGCCGACTCAAGGAGAGCGTTGTCAAGCCTCGGGCCCGGCCGGGAGTCCAAAGTACCCGGGTCTTGAACTCAAGTGACCAAGTGACTCCGGCACAGAGCAGAATATAGGGGGGAAAGCCTGGCGACGTGTTCAATACATCACCATCCACGTGTGGGCAAAAGAGAAGAATGGCAAAAAAGAAGGCAAAGGTTATACCTGCCACGCCACAAGCCAGCCAAAAGCAGACTGCCACCAGCAAAAAACGGCATCGGCGGCGACCGCAGATCGGGCGATTCGATTTGGCACCCAGCCACAGGCCACCAGCCCCACAAACCGAAGCCACTGCGGGAACGGCCACGGCGGGACGTGCCACGTCAACAAGCCTCACTTTGTTCCAACTGTGGCCATGTGTGGCGAAGCAGCTGCAGCGCTTCAATGCACGTTGACGACAGCGCAGTGTATTCTTAGCACGCAGGTTGCCTCCCATCCGACGTCGTGATATAGCTTGAGCAAGAGTCTTTTGGCCTCTGCAGATGCCCAGCAGGTCGCATAGATGGTCCGGCGTCAGCAAGACAGTCGGCAATTGATAGACTTGGACATGGCCAACACATCCCGTCGCCACTAGCCTCCCATGCCAAGGGACGTGGTGTTCAGCTCCGTTGTGCTCCCCGAGCTGTTGGGTCGACCGAGACGGTCTTGTCCTCCCAATGCGCTGACAATTCCGGTATCTGCCGTGCTGTGTAGCGTCATGCTGGGGCCGGATCGAGGCCTGCTGTTGCTATTATTGTCATTGCATTCGGATGACTCTGATTTTGCTTCCTCATGAGGTAGGGTGTATAGTATGGAACAGGTAGAACTCGTAGTTGCTGTCTGCCTTGCGGGGGCAAACTATCAAGATAACACTCCCTGGATGGGATGCCATGTACCTATTGAGCGGATTAGGTCGACACATTCTGCTATCCGAATTATTATTTAGAACATCTGTCAACATCTTTGCGATAGCGATTGATATCGAGTCAAGGACTGTCCGTATATTCCGCGCAGGCTATCCAGCTGAGCACATAGTGTAATTACCATGCTGGGGTATGTTGTTTGTTTGCTATACAAGTACAAATTAGCGATATGGAACAAGGCGTTCTGGCTATCGGGGTATCCTAGCTCGCAGGGGATAGCATGGAGTCGGAACAGTTGAAGATTGTGATTGGGAGAAAATACCAGAGCAGAGGCCAATCAAAACAGAGAGGCAGCCGCCATTCCATATTTTTGACGAATGGCCGTTCCTGGTTTCTCCAGAGGTATCTTCTCCATAGCGGGGCGTGCGTTCAGGAATAGAAAGTGGGCAAGTGAGTCTCCAGAGCTGGGACTCTGAGAGCCCACTTGAAGCGATAGACCCCTGGCTATTTGGCTTCCGCGGTGTGATAGTGGTGGTGCGACAATTTGCGGCTGGCTTCACCCGGTATTACCTGTAACGCGAGCGCTGTCACTGTGTGATGAAGTCGGAAATAATGAGAGAGAAAAAACTTGCCAGGCCTAGGGCTCTGTGGCTGTCACCAGCCTAATTTCCCCTTCCCCTTCCGCCGAAGGCCTGGTCGGAAGCACAGAGCAATTGCGTGTGGCCAGAATGCATGATGATCTACCAAGGCCCCCTCAGCGGGTTACATGCAGATGAGAGATGCAGCAAAGGGCCATGCGGGAGCACCCTCCAAAGGTGAGTAATGGCCGACATCTGTCCGTCTAGGCGTCCGCTCGGGGACCGTCGTTGGATACGGGCGTAGGATTCAGTGCTACACCGGGCACATGTTAATATCAAGCTGGTGGTGTCTCTGCTCGGGCAGCGGGCTGATTCTTGCCCGTGCCCAGCGACGCTTTGGAAGCGAGAGGACGTGAGAGAGAGATGGGCGTACGCAAGGGCAGAGCACTATTCGCACAAAGTAGCATTTGCTTGTCCGGACGGGGCCCCAGCTGGCCACTGAGAGGCTTCAGCAGATATCCGTCTGCAGCGACTGTTAGATATTGAAGTGGGTAAACAGCACACTAGAGAAGTTGGGTATGGCACATCTACCTGTATTTGCACTAGAGACCAAGGCAGACAAGCGTATCACAGGCCCTGAGCAAGAGTTTGAGCACAGAGATGACAGAATAGACGGCGTGAGATGGAGAGAGATGGATCTATGCGGGGCAGATGATTATGGACAGAAGGAGGTAGACTTGGGGTTTGGCATGTGGAAATCGCTTGCGAGCATCGAGCAAAGGCACAGACGGGAGGACGAGAGAAAAGTTGGAAGCTGCGGTGGTACCTCGACCGTTGTACCGTTACAACACTGTTTGCGCCTCCTAATCTTGCCAGTATACCTGTTTTGAAGGTATCAACTGGTGGTACCTGAGGCAGCACATACGAGGCCCTGCTTTAGTAGCTGCACACCCATCTGTCGCCGGCCCTCACCATCTCTCTCACCATCCATGTCTGCAAAATTTGACGCCCACCACTGACGGCTGCCCGCTACGAGAAAGGGAACGGGCTAACGACGCAGATCGTGCGGAATGCTGAGACATGCAGACACCTCTTTCGCTGGATCGACCTGTCGGAGTCGACGCAAATGAGACATGCAGGCAAGATATGTCTGAGACATGCATATATCATCTTGACCAGCGACAGAGCACAACGCTCGGCTGCGGCTGATGCCTGTTCCCCAAACGGGCGTAAGCGGCCGGTACAGGTCGCCGACCACGCCCATGAGCAGGAAAAGAGAGGAAGGGGATAGGACGTGGAGAGAGAGAGGACGGCCACTGCCCCGGCTGCCAACTCATCCTCAGCTCTCTTCTCCTTGGTGACGATGATGGTGACGATGGCATAGAGTCAACCTTGGGCCTTGATCGGCCAGACCAAGATGGAGAGAGACCATGTGCTAGTCTCTGCTGCTGCTGGGCAATAGCGCTCGTGGTACTTGATGCGATGCAAGCCTCGACCAGGCCAATTGCATCGCGAGGTCGACGCCGCGCGCCAATGAGTCTTTCGTCCTGCGTCGACCTAGTCTTCTCCGCCTGGAGCCATCAGGAACCACCGCAGCCTTTCATCTTCAACGCAGAGGCCTGCCTGGCCCTCAGACCCTCGGTGCCCCACCGCCCCGGGCGCTATGTCGAGGGTTTTGGTGCTTGGACTGCCAGGAACAGACGCCGCTCGCCCATTTGCTGCCAGGCTCTGCGTCCAATCGCCGCTTCGCTCTGCCCGGACGGCCTCTGGCGGCATGCAATAGGACCATGGCATCCCAGGCCGCGTTTTCATGCGCATGCGGCGCAGCTCCGGCAGCAGCGCAGTGCCACTGATCTCCCCAAAGCTTCTGGGGACCCTGGTCTGGACGACTTGCCCGTGCATGGGCATCGCACTGCCTCCGATCGGCCACAATTGACCGCCGCCCAAGCCCGCAGAACATGATTTTCTCTGCTCTGCGCATCTTGCAGTGGGGAGGGCAGAATGGGTCGCCAGACGCCCTAAGGCTCTCCAAGTGCTGCTGGTCGCGGCTGCAGCCGACCACTCACGATGCTCCATCCGGAGGCCTTCATGGCCCAAATAGGCATGCAGCCCACAAGATGCCAAATGCTCGCGTTTACAAAGTCTGCGTCTCTCTCCATCCGCCCCAAGCAGCCTCATCCACCAGCGTCCCCGCTCTCGTCGTCGTCTTGTAACGACTTCTCGTTGGTGTATCGCCCCGTGCAAGCTGGACCTCGTTTCGCCACTCCACACCTCTTTGCCACGCCCTGTATTCGCACAAGTAGCCAATCGATTCCCAGTTGGCGAAATCCTTTCCACGCCAAACGTCCCCCTGTTGATTGCTACAAGCCAAGTGCCCTCTGGCCTGCTATAGTCAATTTTACCTACTCACAAGCGCTTTCAGCAGCACTAAGCTGCTCCGTCCCTAGTCAGCTTATTCCCGTCTCGGGCTGCGTCTCCACTCCTCCGGTCCTCTCTCAGTCTGCCGGTTTCTTTTATACTACCGGCACTCCATCGTTACATTGTTCCCTTTCCGCGCAGAATCATTTCTTTTTTTTCCCTTTCCCTTCACTTGTTCTCGAACAAGCCACACACGCTCGCTTTATCAAAGTCTTGGCAGAAGCTTCTTTTTCGCGCCCTGAAGCTATTCAATAACAGCTCGTCCTAGCCGCCGAGAGAGACGGTGGTCGCTGGGTGCCGTCTGTTACTACTATCAACAAGGAGAAGAAAAACAAAAAGACCAAAAATATCTTTTCAAATAAGAGGCGTTGATCTGAGCTTGTGGCCAGCGGGGTAAGTTTCTTTTCATTAATCTGTTTCTGATGAGCCAACTTTGACCTGGGTTGCTGTTACCAATCTATATTCTAATTTGCACTTTGCAGTTACGTTGCATCTGCTAATTTCACAGCAGAACAAGCTTCAGCTTTTAAAAAACGTGTTTAGGCGAGATATGCGTCTCTATATATCATAAAAGGCATGTTTGGAATAATACAAATATCCCACGCGGTTGGAACAGTATGGCATCCCCCAAGGCGGGATACGGACTACCGACCAAGCCTACCGACGGCTTTCGAAGACGACCCGAAGACTCGAGAATGCTAAGTGGCATCCCAAAATCTACGTCCCGTGGGAACGAAAGAGAAGCCGACACGTCGAGGACAGCAAAGCAGGATCAATCACAATCCCGCGGCGCCAGTCGGGTCCCTCTCCCGTCTGCACCACGCCGTCCCTCTGCTACCCCAAAATTTGTCCCAAAGCTCGCTTCAGACAGGCAATCAAAGTCATGGGGCTCCGCAACTAGCTCTTCTGGCCACTCTCGGTCCCATACACAGACTGGATCAGGCTCGTCCTCGTCCAGTCGGTCATTCGATAGTGGCTCAAGATTGGGACAAAATGCGCCGAGACGGAAGAATCCTTCTCTATCACCCGATGCCGCCAACTTGCTTAGTGATTCTCCCAATCCCGGCTCAAATTCTCCTAAGCGCCAGTCCCAAGTTATAATAGACCCGGCACTTGGAATTCAGCTTGATCCAGATGTCATCATAAGCCCCAGCAGCATTTACAACGAAGAGTCATCGACCCTCTCCAAGCCCGTTGGCCAATCTCCGGTTATATACCCTGAGCTAGATCGATATCGTCATCACGTTCCAGTGCACAATGTCTGGAACAGGCAGATCGCGGACATGCCTTATCGCCTTGCTACGCACGACCTACCCCCGCCAACGCCTGGAAGCTTGCTCTTCTCTGCCAACAGCAGCGCCATCAGCGGCAGTCCTTCGACAGGTTTTTCTGTGTCTCCTGCTCCAGGGCCATATAGCCGAGACACCACGCCAACTTCAATATCTTCGCAATCTCCCGGACTTTTTGTCCCTAGTCGTGGTTTTCCCCTGACTAAAACCCGGCAACACAGTCCTGCTCTTACTCGCCCGCCAGTGACTAGGCGAAGAACTGGGAGTATATCAAATGAAGTTGACCTAATAAGCGTTGACCCTCATGGTCTAGCTGCAGTTAGAGAATCACTGACTTCTTCATCGTCAAGCTCTACAGTCAAAGGGAGCGTGGTTAATAGAAGAAAAGAGAAAAAGGTTGGAAAAGTTCTAGCAGCACCTCCACAAAGCCCACCTCCCCGGAAATCTTCGCAGAAGTTCCGTACGAGCCAAGACGATGAAGAGCTTTCTCCCAGGCAGCGTCTGCAACAGAGAGCTCGGCCCATGGAGATGTCGCCCCCAGCAAAATCCAGTACCTCACCTCGCAGCTATCAGTCACCATCGCCACAAGCTATGCCTCCACGCCGGCCAAGCCGAGATGGAACTGCTGATCTCAAGTCTCAGTTGTTCACGCCAATCCCCGTCATTCAAAGTAGTTTAGCACTCCGGGCAGCCAATATGGAGAGGCGTGATAGTGACTCTTCAACTCCTCACCCATCTCAGCCCTCAGTTTCGCAGGCCAACAAGAGTGCCTCGACATCAAATCTCCTCCCGTCTGAGCAACCTGCCCTATCAAATAGGCTGACGGGTCGGAGAAAGCTTAGCGTGTCTGGTATTGTCAAGCCAACTGAAACATCAACATCGACCTCGACTGCCAAGGCTTCGGGTTCTCGGTTTCCATTCTTTGGGCGTAAAAAGTCTGCTTCTGAGAGCATAGCAAATGATAGAGAGAAAAAGGACAAGCAGAAAGTGCCGAGAAAGGGTCCAGCGGCTGGCACAGGCCACGAGGGGTACGGGCGCATTGGTGCTATTCGACGGCGGAGTGGGATCATTCCCAATCCTCAATCATCAAATGAGAGCCTTGTCAGTGGTGACTCCTTCCTGGCTGATCGCATCAATCCTGTTATTATCTCAGGAGGAGCCATCGTGGAAAATCGAAACGCCAGCGCCGAGCTCCTCAGGTCAGAGAGCAATCTGAGTTTATCAACAAACGAACGCCCAAGCATTGATTCGATAGCAACTTCCACCATGTCTTCTGCTTCGAGGGATGTGTCAAGAACATCTCTCTGGCCTTCGGCCATCCCTCGTGGACCTCACAATACTCGGAGGCCATCTGATAGCACCGATACCAGTAGTGCGACCATGGGATCTACATTGGCATTCCGGCGATCAATTCAACGACTCAAGTCGTTTCCGGACAATCCTCTGCAACTGCCACAGCCGATAAACACTAGCGGGACAATCTCATCGCCAATGACTAGCTTTGATACCAGCATCATGTCTGATGAGTCTTCCCTATTTAATATCCAGCAGCGGCCACCCCAGGAGTTGAGCAATGTCCCGCCAGCACCCAAAAAGCTGCAGAAGAAGCCTCGATCTCCAAGAAAATGGAATCTGTTTGGTAGATCCAACGCTCAGCCCAAACAGAGACAAACAAGTGAGACAGTTGCAGTCACTATTCAGCCTGTGGAGAAGAAGCCTGTGGCTTTTTATACCATGATGGACTCGCCTGAACAAGAGCCTGTAGACCTACGGGAACTTCTACGGGAAGCTGACGCCTACTCGCGCTCGCCTGCCAAGATGGGTACCCCTGAACTGCAGGCAGCTGAAGGGCAGTCTCCCATCTTATCGCAGTTGCAGCCTCCAGCAAACATTACACCGCAGCAATCTTTAACTGGTCGGGAATTTCAAGCCATGATAAAACCCGAATCCACCCTTCCACAAGCTGAAGGAGGAGTCCCTGCCGCTGTGACGCTGAGCTCTGGGAGGCCCAGTCGACTGCCTCAAGTGGGAAGAATCCCCCAAGTGGTGAGCAACCGTCCCGAGGCGGCCTCCCCTCGTAGCTTCTCACGGCCGTTTGGGCCAAATCAACCGCTGGCTTTGCATATACCTCCCACGCGTGGTTTAGGCATGAACACCAGGATGCCTAACTTTTCCAAGCCATCCACACCCATCCCGGATGCAAGCGGCGAAGGCTCAACCACCGACGCAGGGACAGAGTTTTCCTTCTTTAGCGAACCTAGACAGCACAGATCTCCCGGTCCTCCAACTACACAAGAGTTCTTGGCATTCTCTCCTCGAAAAAACTCCGACTGTACTTCTTCGACCGAATCTTGTGTCTACAGCTATGTAGAAGCGACTGCTGTTATCCCAAAGCCTGATGACCCACCTGCAGAAGACGAGGTTTGGGACGAGTATGATGATTTTCTGGGGGAAGAGGCTGTGAAGGATCGACAATCGACTACATCTTCCAAGGGTGTTCCTTTTCATCTCGAAACATATCAGATGAAGCTAATGAAGGGAAAGTCTCTCGAGTCTCCAACAATCGTCACTGATAGCCGCAAACTTTCAACTCTCTCAGATGCCCCAACAGCTTCCACTTCTTTTAGTGCTGATATGACAGAGAGAATTCGCAAAGCCTTCCAGCCTCATCCCAGCCCTACTGTACCCTCGCCGGTGCCAGAGGACGTAGAGCAATATCATGGCGGGCATTCAAGGAAGCCTAGCGCCGCCGAGACTGCTCGTCACAGTACTGTTTCTTCTCACAGGTCTATGCAATCGAGCTCATCCAACTCTTCAGATGAAGGAACACCTCTGGCACAGGTCAATCTTCGTGTAGGATCTATGACCGTTAGTAAATGGCTTACTTTTGGTCAAGTCCTCTTTAGCGATATTCGCTATGGGCTGGTGCGGGGCCAAGAGTCCCTTGAACGCCCTCAAGTCCTCGTTATCGATGGGCTCGGTAACGATGACTGGTCATTTTACGCTGCGGAAACATACTCAGCTGCCAGCTTCTTCAACTTATCCCCACGTGCTCCTTTGCCTGCCGAAGAACAGAGCTCTCCATCTCGCTATCCCTTGAGCCCACCCAACCATCATCAAGTACAATATCTTTCCCATCTTGATGAGTTTCCCTTTGATCCGCAAACTTTCAATTGCGTTGTTTATCGGTTCCCAGCTGCTGCCACAGAAGCGCACTATCAGAACGTCCTTTCTGAAGCCCGTCGTGTGCTCAAGCCGGGCGGATATCTTGAACTATCTATTCTTGACGCCGACCTCAATAACATGGGCAATCGTGGGCGCCGGGCCATTCGCCAGCTTAAGGAACGCATAAACGGAGCGTCTCCAGAAACTAATCTGGCATCTACTGCCGATCTAATTGTTCGTCTTCTGGGAAAGAGTGGCTTTTCAACGATCAAAGCTGCGCGTGTCGGTGTTCCGGTGGCCAGCTCAATCACTTCCTCCGACGATGGCTCGCAAGGCAAAGGCTCAATCAAGGCCAAGAAGAAGAAGCCCAAGGATCAACCCAGCCTTGCAGAAATGATGCGAGACCATAGTTCAAATGCAGATGAGGGCATCACCAATATGGTATCCCGAGTGGGTCGCTGGTGGTACTCTCGATGCTATGAGAACGCAGCCAGTCATGCCTCTGGAAAGAGCATCTGGAACGATAAAGCTTTACTCAGGGAATGTGAGGATCTGGGCACCAGCCTTAAACTGATGGTTTGTTGTGCCCGCGCGCTTTGAGCAAATCTTTGCACATGATAATTTGTGTTTTTTTATTACGACATATACGTATTTGTTTCTTTCTATCTCCTTTCTTTTCCTACCTTTCCACTGGCATGTGGAAAAAGATTGGCATTGGAGAAAACAATATTCCAAGATTGGAAAATAGGGCGCAAGCCTACCCTCAAGACTGGATCTTCAACGAGCATGATGTTACACTCATTCTTTTTCATTTTTTCTCCGACTGTTTCAAAGAACAACTTCTGGAGCTGGAGCCCTTAATAACCCGAATTCGATAATCTCTTCATTCTACCCTTTCAGCGAAAGAGCAACAAACAATATACATGCATGTAGTGGCTACAAAGCCTCTATCTAGCGAGCATTTGACATTCTCGGCTTCATTTATGTTGTTGATTTCCTTCATTCTGTTTCTTTTCATCCATATTTATCTCGCCGCCGGACGGAAGATTAGCTGCCGAGCACACAAGACAGTTTTCTTTCGCTTTTTGCCATTTCTTTTTTCTCTTTCTTGTTTCTTTATATGTGGTATCAGCGGTTAAATCTTAATGGAAAGTGCTTCGTTGAGAAAGACGTTGACACAGATGCAATGGCAGGCCGGCGCACTCTGTCGATGGTCTTTTGAAATGAGTATCAATACTTTAAGAAGTATTGAGAAGAAGCGCGCAAAAGAGGAGGACTATAAAGGAAAAGGAGGGAATGGTGGAGACTGTGTTCTTTTTTATTCACGAAAGCGATTATGACTGTTATGACGACATACCTAAAATTGTTTATTCTTAAAACTGTATATAGAGATACCCACCATCAATTTGGTAGATGTTTGAGAAGCGAGAATGAGACTTGGCTGGGACCTTTTCTTTCTTGAGAAAATTGCAATAGTAGCGGGCGAGACGCATATTTGGCTAGCTATTTAGTTTTTGAACATTGATATTCGTTGTTTGCTGATGTCGATATGAGCATTGTGTCTTTCACTTTTTTTTAATATACGCACAGAGTAGGAGTAGTCTACTAAGAACGTATCATTTGAGATTTAAGCGTTCATTTCTCACTCCACAGCCATCTTGGCAGGAGGAATGCCATGGTTGTTAGGGACATGTAGTTGAGTAAAAGAATTTGCTCTAGATTGACCTTGGATCTTATATGTAGCTGTACGCTCTGTAAGGTGTTTATACATCTATCTAGTATATACGTATAATATTGACATTATATACAAAAAAAAAAGGAGAAGATAGTTGAGCGATTTCGGATCTCACTCCTCAGTCTCTGCTTCCTCAAGGGCATCTTGCGCTGGCTCTTCAGAAACAGGCCATCGGCGTAATACAGCCAAAAATCCTCCACCGGCAACTCGCTCTCCTACCCTTGGCCGCATTACCTGTACCGGCTTCTTATTCCCTTCTTCGCCTTGCTGCGCCCTCGGCACGACTGTTTTCACATCCCAGTGTCGTCCACCGGAGCTGTCGTGCACGCCACCTTCGGAGGCAGTGGTGGCGTACAGTTCAATTACTTTCTCTGTGCGCACTGGTTGCTTTGTCTCTGTGGACCAAGCCTGGAAATCGGCGATTTGGCTGATGGAGGGTTTGAAGAGGATGAGCAGGCCGTTGGGGTGCAGTGCCTTGATTACGAGCTCGGCGTTTTCATGCGCCGATGGGAGATCGAGAATAGCGCGGGAAAGAAAAGGTTGACCTCGTGTCTGTTCAAGTCGACGGCTGAGAAAGTCGTCTATGGATCCGACGTGGAAGTCTACTGCGGGTAAATACTGCGCGCGCCGAAAGTTGCGTACTAGCTTATACGCAGCTCGGGCATGTTTTGTGTTGTGGTCGAGCGTATGCAGAATCGCGCGACGGGAAGATGCATATTCGTCAAAAGCGGATTGGTCTTCGGGAGAGACTTCCAGACAACCTCGTGAATCGGTAAAGTCGTAGTGAGGTTTGTACGGAGCAGAGATGAGGGTTTGTCGTAAAGGAGCTGGGAACAGCGGATTTGCGGCATGCAGGGCGCGAGCAATGTGCAGAGTGAGGCTGCCATGGCCGGTGCCCGCTTCGAAGATTTCGAATGGAGGATCTGAGTCATCTTGTTCGTCTTCCCCGGGGCGGGATGGGTTTAGATCGAGGAGGTTGACGATTGTGCTGGCATCGTTCGGATAGATCTGCCATCATTCAGCTATGGACCATTCCCAGCGCAAAAGGACAAAACCAGCACTTACGGGAGTGGCAAGGCGCTCGCTGTTAATGATGTAGCTCGCAAGAGACGGCTCATGCAAAACCACAGAGTTGCCGGCGCTGTCGCGAACCACATCGAGGATGCGACGGCCGATCAGCTCTGCCGCAGGGACGGTGGCGCCATAAGACAGCTTCACACGAGACGAAGGCCGCAGGGGAGCCGTGAGGTGCCATTTTGCGTGTTTGGTGCCATGCTGACGGAGGAAAAGGACGTCGTGCTCTGTGAAGGACGATATGGAGGGTTTTGTTTGCTGTCTGTTCTGTGTGCCTTTTGGGCCGATTTTTTTTGGTTTTAAGAGCGTAGCGTACCTTGGATTGTGCGGTTTGAGGAGTAGAAGCGGCAGAGGGACTTGCTACGGCTGGCTATTAGGAGCTGAGGATGTTTGGAGCTGAATTGGCTGCAGAACAGCGACATTGTTGTGTTTAGGCAAAACGCGAGATGTTGCGATGCTGTATGAGGGTGATGTTGTCGATGAGGTCACTAGGGACTTTTTTTTTTTCGTTGCAATTGCGCCGGTGATACTTCGGAGAGCCCGAGATTCAACGTACTTCGAAATTCATAGTGCACAGTAAACGATAAAGACTTGATAAAGGCAGCAAAGTACATGTACGATGTCATCATGTCTTTATTCATTACGAAAAGTTTTAATACTAACAGGCAAGTTGATAGAAAAGAAGGTGCAATGAAAATCAGTGGGCTGCCGCTCCTTCCCAGAAGGACGGCCTGGTTCTACCATCTGCATGACAATTGCCTCCTCGTCCGTTCCTGCCATCCAAACTCCAGCCTGCCGTCGCCTTCCCAGATAATGCAGGAAATGCTCGATAAGGTATTTTTCTGCCCAAATCCCATCAACTCCTCCTTCGCCCTTCTTTTTTTTCTTTTGCAAAGCCCAGCCTGGCTTCGTTTCTGCGCCACCACAGCTCCAAACCTCATGTTCGCCTCCCTTTGTGGTCTCAGAAACACACACAACACAAAAAAAAAGCAAAGCACTGCACAAGACCAAAAAAAAAAAAAAAAGCAAAACTAAAGAACCACACACTATTATACACGGATGGACATGCATCCAAGGTCAAGGCCTCCAAAAATAAAACGCCGGCTCGAGGTGCAGCAGCTGCATCAAACAATTCAAAGAAAAGGGCTTGTCAGCGTCAACCAAGATGAGAAAGGAAATTTCACGAGGGTGAAAATATCAGCCGTCCAAAACTCCAGGCTCGACATGAGATGGAAATGAGTCGCTATGCGCGCCATAACCCTCTTGATGCTGGGTATCAATCATTTGCTGAGACATTCGACAACCAATCTCAACAATCCATGCTCGCCAAAACGCGCATCATAGGCTTTTTTCTTTCTTCCCGAACAAGATAGTCGTCATAAGTAAACGAGTGACAGAGGTATTATGATACCTGCTATTTGTGCCATTTGGGACATTTCGCTAAATGAAGCCCCAGGACCTGTTTGTTGTGCCCATCTGGAGAGCCGCCGCCCACGCATTCTGAGGCTCTTGAGCATGCTCCGTTGTGTGAAAGTCTTCTTCAAAATAAGGATGGATTTTCACTCCAACAAGCTCTTCCATAATGGTTACGAGTGGATCGTATCGTCTCCGGCATCTTTTTGTCCACGGATCGACCTTGAGCGGACTGTGGTAGCAGTAGCTATTCGGACGCGGATCTCGCATCGGGAACATTGTGTTCATACTCCGCAATAGGTTCCAATAGTCGTTTGCGGCTTGTTTCGCGACATCGGAACTCGGAGATGCAGCATACAGCAACTGCAATATGGAGTATCGGATAGCCAGCACTTCGACACTGGTTTCACCATGCCGCTGCTCGAGTTGTCTTTGAAGCGCTCGAAGTTCGATGACCAGCTTTTCAATTCTCTCCGGATTCACCTGGTTATAAAACAGCGCAAGATCGGACCATGTTCGGGCCACATACGGATGGCGGCGTCCGTAGATCGCTTCGAGTTCTTCGGCAATTGTGGAGATGCTAATCCACAAGAGTTCGGAGAGGGTCTTGGCGCCATGCTTCTGTTGCACTTCATATAAACAAGTGAAGATCTGTCGAAGTGGATGTGTGCGTTCAAAGTTTGTCGACGAATACGCTGCCAAATATTTGCAGAGGGCCGTCATCATGCCGGGATCACCGTTAATCATACCCAAGATTAGCTCCATGATGCCTTGGGGTGAAAGCTTCATCAAATCCACCTCGAGCTGTTTGAAGGCTCGCATCATATAGTCGCCTCCTTGATCTGCATCGCGGGCTTCGAAATGAAAGTTGGCCTCAAGCAAGAGGTCGCTTGATCCAGCCCCCCAAACCATGATTGATGGCCAACTAATCTGGGTATCAGTCTCCATCTCAAATTGCCGGCAGTGCAAAAATGCCTTTCGCATGTTTCCAACGACAAGCTCTTGGGCGCGAAGGAGGTCAGGGGATCGCAGTGCTGGAGGCGGCGTTGGTGTTCTACATCGAATATGGGCTGGCAGATCGGCGGGCAGCTCGAAATCCACCAAATCATACTCCGTCACGCCCTTTCGCTTCAAATAAGTACCCAAGTTAACCACCCTGCCATTTCGGACAAATTCGGAAACCTTGCCCTCGGCATCTCGCTGAAATTTCATCGACAACAACCGCTTGACTTCTTCTTCTGTGTTATTCTTCACAAAACCCCATTGAGAAAACCTAGTCTTGTACATCTTTGGTCTGGGAGGCGAGCCAGGTCAGCGTCCAAGAAATATTAAGAAGAAGAGAGGACCAAACAACTTACGTAGCTTGAAAACCATATTGTTCAGACATGATGCTCATGACCTCTTTCAACGGTTTTCTTTCCTCAAGATACAGAGTTCGGATGGTGGACTTATATTGCTCCCAGGCCTCTGCAGGAACCTGTTCCCGTGACGGCCTAGTACCTGCCTGGGCACGAAGAGAAATCGAATCCTTCCGTTGTGCCTGATTCTTTGGTTAGTAAAGGCAGGGCTGAGAATTCTTCTGGCTCGTTTTCTATGACTCACAATAGAGGGGGTGGAAGAAGAAGAGGAAGAGGAAGGAAAAGGCGGTTCTGAGGGTCGAGGCGGTTTTGGGGGAGGAGACATTGGCCCTGGAGTCGGAGCAGCGGCTGGTACCGGTCTCGGTGTTGGCGCTTGCGCAGGTGTCAGTTCTCGCGCCGAAGCTTGTGTTTGTGTGACGGCAGTAGGTTTCCGTGGAGGCAATCGCGGCCTTGGTGGTTTTGCTGGAGCCTTCCCTTTGGCTGCCTTGGCAGCGCTGGGGTTGAATTCCAAAATGAACTGATTGCCTGTGTTCACAACCGGCTTTGGCGTCGTTGGTACCGGTGGTCTAAAATATCCTGCAAAGTTGGTCGCGTTGGTGAGACCAGAGGGCTCTGGTTTGGACCCCATCGAAGGGGGAGGACGCCATATTTCGAATCCAGGAGTGCCAGGGACTGTGGGTGTGGCTTGAGTTGGTGTAGATGCTATCGGGCTGGCCACCATAGGCGTCGATACCATTGGACTATTCACACGGGTAGTGTTCATGAACCCATCCATGCTTCCAAACGGCGTCCCAATACCAGGACTGTGCACTTGCTGGGTGTCATGAAAACTACCAAAGTGCACACTGCCGGAGCGACCCATACTGGTGGCAATCGGGCTGGGAGTTGGCGGCGAGTGAATTCCGAGAGAGCCATACTGAGATTCACCTGAGCTATTAACGGGACTCGAGATCCTATGCGATTGGGCTACGGAATTTAGGCTTCCAAAGTGTGACGATATTGAGGGACTGGTACCAAGGTGATGCGTTTGGTGATGCGCGTTATTGATGGGCCTCGGAGGCAGTGGAGGGACATATCCTTTGTTCTCGAATTGCGCGACCAAGCGACTGACTCCTCCCCCTCCTCCTCCTTGAGCCGGATTCATACCGCTCATTTCGACACTCTCTGATGGCGACATGGCAACTCCATCGCCGTTGTGGTGGTGAAAGGGTGTGTCAATCTCGGGCGTCCAGTCCATTACAGATGCTGTGGAATAGGCTCGTCCGGTTCTCTGCATAGGCTGAGGGCCCGGGGGCGGAGGCGATGACATATTGCTGAAGCCATACCGTTCCCAGGCCTGGTTGGCAACAAACCCAAACGGATCATCATCGAAGCCAGAAGCGCGAGGCTTGTCTGGCGGTTGATGGAACATGTCAACGTGCCCACGCCAAGCAGACGGAGCAGTTGGTGCTCAGTCCGCCGGCTATCTGTCTGTCAGTCACTGACGGACCTTGGCAAGTCAAAAGACTCGGCTGGAATAAATCAGTCTCCAGCGCGATGATTCATCACTCTGCTGGAGTGGCGAGCGAAATTGCTCAATCAAATCAAGGTCGTGAAAGGGAGGCGGGCAAAAGGGCCCATAATCGCCCAGCGCAGATGGATGGTAAAGAGAAGAGAAACACAGCGGTAGAAAGGTCTACTGAAACGAGCGCCGAGCCCAGTACAAAGTCCAGCTAGGGGCAGATACCTACTATCAGTATCGTTCCCCAGATATCGGCTGATGTGGGCAATGTTATGATAGGGCAACAATTTAATGATTGTGTAGTGTTATTAGGGACAAGCAAGAGAGCAAACCCGCGTGGGAGGAGGAGACTAGGCCAAGCCACGAAGTTCAGAGAGGGCGAGCAAAAGTTCCCTCGTCTAGGCCGCCAAGAATGGAAATCCCATTTGCCGTCGTTCAGTTTAAAAGGCCCCCGCTAAGATAAGAGGGAGAGAGATCCCCCAATACACGCTGGGAAGCCAGGACGGAGCGGAGAGAGCTGCTACAGTACCTATGCTAGTATGCTTCTACGATTACTAGGTGCTAGCACAATTGGATTAAACAGCGACGGGAGAGCCAAGGCACGAGAGCAGGTGGAGAGGGGCTAGCAGCAAAGACAGGCAGGCCAAAGATTGGATTAGAGGGGATGTAACCTAATGCAGGCTGGTGGCTAACGACTATTGCAACAACGATGGCGAAGCAAATAACCAGGCCGGGGAAACAAGTAGGGCTGCCGACCATTGAGCTGGAGTTACCAGGGGGGTCGGCGTGTGGGAATGCCACCATCGGCCAGAAACAGAAGGTGATATGGATTCAAGCCACCATCCACCAGACAAAACCACCAATCACAACGCTCTGATACCAACCCCTGGTGCCATACACACGAGGACACTGTGCTGAGACCATCGATGATGGCATTCGGCTGCTAACGAGGGCCTCAGTTGCACAGCTCGATGCGTCTGTTGGTAGGCAGTTCCAGAAGGATTCTGCATCTTGCGGTGGCTCTGTAGTGCGGATTATAGCAAGGCGGTTGTGAGAGATATGCGAGCCATTCAAGCGAGGGGGATGGAGGGAAAAAAAGCGCCACAAGTTGAACCACCACCACTACAATTCGCACCGGCATAACCGATCACCTCGGACGCCATTACCAGTTCGAAAGGAGTGACCGAGCCAGCGGGCGGGAAGGCTTAGGGCTCACACTATTCCGCCCAGGTCGCCAAATAGAATGTTCTTTGCGCCTGATAGACGTCTTCGCCCTGGTGTATCGCACTGCTTGCAAGATACAGAGTATGTATGGGATGCTTGGGGGCTGTTACTCCAGCCCCTAGTCTCAGCGCCGTGCGCTAACCAATATAGCACCACTCCGCAAACCCATATATTGGACAGACTTGAACGAGAGCAAGTGCCTCGGAGACCGCCAAGAGGTGGCATGCCGTATACCTGGGGGCTTTCTTGCAGCGTTCGATAGCAGCCATCAACCGACAGGACTTGCCGCGACGATTCTATACGAAGAACGTCGACAAGTATGCGCTCTATTGGCGCTGTTATGGCTGCCTTGCGTTGGAAGGATCGTCAATACGGAGTCGTAAAATCCGTCGGGATGGCACATTTCTGATCCATGCGCAACGGACGGTGGGCGTAAATGACCAGGCGCTGGAGCCGGGCCGACAGCATCTTGTCCATGGCGATTTTTGCTCTTGTTTGATTTGGACAGAGGCGGATGGCAGCCAAAACACCAAGCCTGGAGACAGCCATTGTGGGGCGCAACGCGATTCAGCGGCGTGGCACAGAGTACGGAGTACGGCGCAACATACTGCTGGCGCCTTCGGCCACCGCCGTGGGTCGAAGCAGAAGCCATCGAGGGTCTGGGGCTGACCCGCGCCGAGACCTGGTGTCAGCAGCTTCTGCGGAACTAGCAAGGATGGCTTGGTGTCAGTGGCAGCCCTGAACCCGCTCCCTTGGACACTGTGCTTGCTGTGGGCATCTCACGAGATCTCCCATCACTCGTCTAATACGAAGTACTCTCGTACCTACTGCTGTCCGCTGCGTTGGTGTTGCAAAAGAAGCTTATCATCGATAAGCACGCTCGAAATCCTGCATCATCGAAGACGGCTGCAATGTTCGCCGAGGGCAGCCAACGGCCAGAGCGGCTACACCTTTTGCCCCAAGTGGGCAGAGCCTTCATGACCAAGCAATCCAGACCCGCTATCCACGAGCAGCAAGGCTTGCGGCAAAAAATGCGTGCAATTACGAAGTGCGTGCTACATTCTCTGCTGGCGTTATCTCTATGGCGTCCACCTAGCGCAAGAGCCCCGGCGATATACGCCATCATCAAGTTTTTTTTTCTCCCTCGCGCGCCTGCAGGCTGGCAAACGAGCTTCCGAGAATCACGAAATTCCAAATCAGCCAGGGCAGCGTAACGCTAATATCAAAACGAAAAGAAAGTGCTAACATGTGCAAAGCACTGACTTTTCATGCGCAATATAAGATGGTGGCAGTCGCTGAACGGCATGTGAAGAGTACTTGAAAGCTGGTATCCAGCTACTTTCACATGACGGAGAAATACTTGTACCTAGGTAACTGCGGCACACGGATCCCCTACCGTGCCAAGTGCTTAGTTTCGTTTACCCGCCAGGGCATCAGACGCTGCTCCCCGAGCCTCGTCCGCCAGCGCGGCTGCTGATAAGAACTCACTTGGATATGATTAGCTAATTGGAGCGACAAAGGATTCATCACTCGCATATCATAGCCATGTTGTGCGTGCCGAACGCTTCAGCTCGTGGGAATCTGCAGGTTTTCAGATGCAGTGATACGACGGGCCAGGGTACATGATGTTACCGGTTCCAGTACCTACTGCCGCAGAGAGCGGCGTGGCTGCTTTGGGGGCAATGCGACAAATACTAGTCGCCGTTGGTCTCGTGCCTCCGTGGCTGATTCCCGAGCCTGGAGTGACAACTGGTACGAGTAGTCGTACCGCCAGCCAAAACTCTCTAGGCCAGGGCCTTTCCAGGTCGAGACCAATGACGTTGGGTCGCAGACAAGCGAAGCAGCTGCTTGAGTGGCTTGTCTTAGCAGCATGACGAATCGCAGGGCCTTGAATGGCTGCCAGGATGTTATCCCGATTTGACGGGGGGAGGCGCTCTTAAGTTCGGGAGGAAGCCGCTCGCATCATATTCCCCTGAAAACAAGCCTAGCCCCTACAACGAGAATTTGGCTGCTTGGCAATCATATCCTGAGTTGTAGCAAACGAAGTCTACGCAGAGACCCTTAAAGGACTATCGAGATGGCGATTGGTTGTCGAGATTTGGATCTAGCCGGGGACACTGCCGAATTATGTGAAGCTATTCGTGCCCCGAGGCCTACCAGTACCCATCTATTACTGCGGGGACTGACAAGCGGAGCTCAGAGTTGCCGCCGACAGCTGGATCATGGAACCTTGCCGAAATGGCCTTGAGGCGATCCACCTGCTCACTGCAATTGCCAGCCAGAGTCGGCGGCACGTCCATGCGAGCTGCAATTCCAGGGCCGTCCATCAACCGATGTTGAAACAGCTACCGGCTGTCGGAGTACTTGCAGCTGCAGGCAGGTAGTTAGTAGTTGGCCTTTGCTCCTGACTAAAAACAGCATCCGAGGCACACAGCGAGCAACCTGTTTGAGGCGGAGGCTCAGCTTGTCGCGCAAAATTTTTCGGACGCGGCTCGGGCACTGTCGGGCTTCTGCTGTCTGGCTGCCCCGATTTTGTGCCCTTTTGTGCCCTACTGCAACTCTTTGCGCTCTGCCGGCTGCGTGTTGCTTCCTCACTGCCAACTGCAGCGTTCAATGCCAATACAATCGTGAGATGAACTTGCCTCGCGTGGCCGCATCGCATTCCCCCGCAGCCAAGATGACGGGGTTTTATTTCTATTAGTCGTGAATTTCCAAAAAGGTCCTCCAAAGTGGACATTTCCCCAGGAAATGCCATGCTCTCACACCACCAAACAGTGCACGTTGCTTCCCGACGATAGCCGCCGGTCCGTCGTGGCGGTTTCTGGGGATTTTGACCTCCTTTTCTGGGGTAAGGCTGGCCAGCCTCGTTGGCAATCGAACGAATCGAATGAAATAGGCTGTTCCATCCTTTCTACAGAGTGCTTGAAGCCAAGACATGTCAGCATGGTTCATGGTTGTATTGGAGACTATTGGCCTCCAGTATTGAATCCTACAGTATCTCTGGACCTACCTAGCGTTGAATGTAAGGAAGCCCATTCTAGAATCCATGCACACCATCAAACGAATCTGCGAAGAAAGTTTATTTGAGATCCAACCCCAAAGGAACAAACTGCGGCTTTTACGAGCCGTTTACCTCATTTGGCTTTTTCCAATGGCATCAGAAGACTCAAAAGAATGGGACAAAGTAGAGTATCCCTCTCTCTGAGCCGGTTCCACGTCTAGTTTCTCCGCATATCGTTCACACTGTCGAGTAGCTACCTCCCTTTCTATCGTCCGAGCTCATCGAGGGGCAAACGATGACGGCTACAGTGTGCGGATGTCACACCGTCGAGTCCAAAGTGACATTCCTTGCAAATCCGTATTGAAAGCGGGCGTCATGTGTTACGCTGCGGTGACGAACCAGAACTCTGTGGAAACAGGGAAGGGTTTTAAGCTACAGGAAATACTCTTCTTCCATGGCAAGGAACTTGTTCTAGGGATGGCGCTCTACAATGAAGTTATATGCCTCACACTTCATCTTTCCGAGCGTTGCGTTGTTGGTTGAGCGGTGCTGCTGTTAATCAGCAGATGGTATCTGTAGGCAAAGGCATGAGCTTGGAGAAGCAACTCTCTTACCCGCGAAAATCACCACACGCGAATGCATGTGGTCCTCGGTAGAATGCTGGACTGTTGGCCGTGACTAGGCCTCGTATTCTGTGTCTCGGATGGACTGACAACTTTTCAGCCCTGTGTCTCTGATCGGTGGTCACTTGCCTGCTCTCTACCCACCTGTCAACTGCTTCTCGCCATATGAGTCGATAGTTTCAAGTACGCTACTGTAGTTGTTCGGCAAGTATTGTTGCACAAATGTGGATTCGCCCGAAATCCTCCGAGAAAGTGTATATGCCATGTAGCTCGTTTGTTCCAGCCTATTCAGCCCAGAGGCTCAGCGAAATAATAAAGGGGGCAAGCAGCGCGAGAGAATGGGACCATGCCATGACAAAAACAGACGGCACGGCTTCAGCTGACGAGGATACAGAGGGCTTGTTTTTACATGTGATGTCCAATTTCTTTCCATCTTTCCCTCTATTTTCCTATTTTTCGCTAGTGTTGAAGGAAAACATATGCACGGACTTTTTGGTAGACCGGTGTTGCAGGTGGGAAACCAGGTGCGTGCATTAGTTTAAGTCCTTTAATGGGGAAGCTATCTCGTATACCCTGCTGGCACAGCCTCTTTTTTTTTTTCTCTCTCTCTCTGTCTCTCTCTCTCTCTCGTTCTCTCTATGCTGTTTGTCATGCATGGGATTTCGAGTCAAGTTTCAGGTTCAGTCTATGAATAGTCCTCCATATAGGCGTGCTTGAGCTGTTTGTCGAGGACCTAGGATGAGACAGATACGCAATAGGACAGAACGGCGGCATTCCGCGTTTGAGGGGTGTGTAATTTTGAGTCATTAAGCTTGTTTTAGGGTGGTAGTTTGCCACGAGGGATGGATGAGGTACGTAGTATTGGGAGAGACGGGGATGGGAGGGTTAAGTGTTGCGTGATGGAGAAGTGGTCTTGAATCTTTTATGTATGGGTTATGAAAGCTTTGTGTGGTTATCTATGTTGGATGTGAATGGATTGTACATGTGGAGCAAATGTGCATTTGATGAGGTAAAAATTAGGAGAGAGGAAAAGGGGGGTGTTCTTGTGAGTGTTTGATGAGCTGTATTCAAGGTGAGGGGATTTTCTAATTGTGATGGATAGGACGGTTGAACGTAACCTTGTGGCCAAAATTGCCTCGTGTAACTATTTTTATACTTGTACGTGCCATGGCTCGCCAATCTATGATGAAAGTAGTCGTGATGGATGAACTTGATAGTCTAGAAACATGCCCATCCATGGTCCCTTGCACGGACTCTGCCTCAATGTTGCCGTCTATGAAAACATTTCATATGGAATCCCGATATAGGCATTCAGCACTAAGAAGATGTAGAGCAATAGTATGAGGAAAGCAAGTCATGTAAAATGTGATTTTGTCTGCGTAGACACTGATGAGAAAGAGGTGACGCAAATCGAGTATTCCACAGTCATTTCAAGGTCGAGTGAAGAGCCGATAGAGCAGATGAATCTATTAGAAGAAAACATTTACATAAATAGTTTATTAAAAATTACTTCTCCAAACATATAATCTGAACAACTACTCGCATCTCTTTACACGAGACGTTACATATAGGCCAAATGAAGAAATATAAAGGCCAACTACTAATACAATACTACCAATACACACAATCTATCAGACTCCTCTACTCAAGTCAAATAGATTGCGAATTTAATAAAGATGACAAAGTGACAAGTCACGTTTATTGTCAAAAAAACCGAGAACAGCAAAAAGCAGTCCGAGAAAAATACATGTATAAAAAAGGAAAACCTGAAAATCCGAACCAAAACACCCCAAAGCTCTAAAGAAACGCTCTTCCATTGCAACAAGGCAGCCATACGTGACCAATTACCTTGCATATAACTCCCCCCCTCTCTCTCCAGTTGGAACTCCCTCCACTTTCCTTCCAAAACTGCTCATAGGCCTAGAGCTGTCAAAAAACAAATGTGTTGCATGCGGTAGGATCGTTGTCCATCTACCGCCCTTATAACTCCTGTTCGTATGATGGGTATGACCCGTTTTCGTGGTTGATATAGTAATAGCGCATGAGTCGAATATAAAATGTCAGTTGAGTCCTGACGTAGCGAATAACGAGGAAAAGCAGGATGAATAAATAGTGAGAAAAGGCTCCGAGGTGTTAAAGCATGAGTCGGGCCAGGAGAAAAGATGTATCATGACGGGTTAGTTGTTTTTGGTAGCCCCAGGACAGAGAGCTAAATGTAGCGATGTTCCATCTCAGTACCTCTTCCGAAGAAGGGTCTTTGCCGAGAAGTGTGTCCACGTTGTCGTCGTATTTGAGAGCATAGAGTCAAATGTTGATCTGGTAGAAGTCTGTCATCATACTTCGACTCCTCCAACTTCTTCTCGAAAGCGTATACCGCCTTCCACGGTAATTCCAGCTTGCACCCAAGGCGTGTTAAAAACTTGCTGCAACGTCCAGCGGCTTCGGGCACGCTTGAGAAGGCCCTCTGTGATGTGCATGGCGTCCAAGAGGCCCCTTTCTCTGAAACGAGCTTCGTTGCCTTCATGGTCACCGTCATCGCCCCCGTACTCGATCCAACGCCATTCGCCTCTAGCAATCCGGTGGCTCTTTCGACTCCTCATTTTATGAGAATCGTTCATGCCTGGAGGAGGATCAAATGGAAGTCGAGACTCGAGAAGAGCGTATAGAAGCACACCAAGTGACCACGCATCAGTAGCACGCCCGTCGTAAGGCTGACCCATGATGACTTCAGGAGCGGCGTAATCTTCTGATCCACATCGCGTCTCAAGCTTCTCATCCTCGGCGATTCGTCTTGACAAGCCCAGATCAGCCAAAGCAATCACTGAATGCGGGTATGTGCTCCAGTTGACTGATGGGTCTGCAAGCTCATTGGGTGTAAGATTGACGAGAACGTCTAAAAAAAAACGGGTGGTGTTAGTGACGCTGCCTCTTTTCTTTGGCTCAAAACAAAACTCAGCACAACTTACTTTCTAGCTTGATATCACGATGGACAATCATTTGTTCATGAAGATATTTCACGGCGCCAACCAGCTCAGCGAAAATCCTTCTCAATAGAGGTGGTGTCAAAAGCTTTCGGTGGGCCGTAGCGACATCAAACAGGTCTCCTCCAGGAGAGTAAGTCAAGACGAGAATGGCTCTCGTGGGTTCTATGCTCCATGCCTTGAGGTCAACCAGACTAGGATGATGAATGTACTGCATGATTTCCAATTCTCGCTTGAGGCTCATCTCAACACGTTCCTCGCTGGCCCCTCCTTGAGGACCATGCTCGCACACTTTGATAGCTACCAATGTCTTTCGGTCAAGCGGGGGATCTGTTACGGCAATGTTGGTTCCTGAATCGGCATTGAGGTTTTTGGGCTGATCCATCTGACTGGTAGCCAATACAACTCTGCTAAAGGTACCTTGACCCACAGTTCGTACCGAGCGCCAGCGTCTCCGCTTCCGATCATGTCGGTCATAAGCTTCGAAATACTCGTAGCGTGAGGCTGATGAAGCATCTGCCGTGTCCCTGGATGACTCGCTAGGGGGAGGGGTCGGCGGCTTTGTAACGCTAGGAGATAGACCGCGTGATTCTGCTAGATTCTGCTCTCTTTTCATCTGAGGACCTTGAGGATCAGGTTTCGCGTGAGGACCAGATACCGATACAATCCTCTTAGGAATGGCAGTGGGATCTGGCGCCGTATATTCACTGAGACTTCGATTTCTTGTATGAGGTTGAGACTGAGTTTCATGTTGAAGTTGTTGCGAGAGTTTGGGCAAAGGCTGACTGGCGCCATCATTTTCGGCTAGGCTGGCATATAGTTTGCGTCTCGAAGAAGAAGCCGCTGGATTGGAGCCTCTCATTGGCCCTGCCGGGGCCGCCATCGAGGGCAAATCCTCACCAAGACTGCTCAACAGACTGCGATGTTGAGGAGGGGATACAGAGCCGACAGTCAGCTTCTTCCACGGCCCAGGAGATTCTCCCGACAAAAGAGGGCTCGGCAAAGGCGTCACGTCTCCCATTGCAGTAATCATAGGGCTTGAAATGACACTGCTAGTACCGCTAGCAGATCCAATTGAATGCGCAAGGGCAGCCCTGAGGCTCGGGGTTCGCGTGAGCAGCCGTATACTGCTAGACGATGTTTTGTGGTTCAAAGGCGTGGGGATGCGGATGGGCGATAGGCTTGTGTGGCCAGTAGGAGACTCGCGATGGTATACGGAAGGGGAAGCTGTAGGAGAAGAGGACGATGCAACGTTGGTCGAAATGCGGAGCGACGAAGTGGCATCGTGAGAGGCGGCACCAGGGTCTAGAGCGGCCCTGCTTTGATAACCAGCATCTTCAAACGTAGCACACTGGATTGGAGGCGTTGGAGCAGTAGTTGTGGCCTGGAAGTTGACAAAGTGCATCGGAGGATTACAGCTGGCAGCTGCGGTAGCGCCAGCGCCAGCGGCAGTGGAATCAGCCGCGGTGGCAGGCAAAGCTAATTCGTCATCTGGAACAAAGGCCGATCTCTCGTTTCGCTGATTGGCGCCGGATCGGATCTCGGAAGCACAGCCCGAGCTCGGGGTCATCAGATTCTCAGAGCTTGATGTCGAGGGAGCTTGGGAGCCATCGTCGTGAGGAGTCGAGGTCGAAGTTGGCGGGAAAAAAGAAGCGTTGCTCATGGCTGGACAGTTTGTCAGAAGCCCTGTGTCGAAGATGAGTATCCATCAATCGGACTTTGCAGCGAGAGCCCAGGCATACCCAAGGCTTGTCACGTACGTCAAGTCGAGCGCAGAACAGAGGCTAGAGCGGTCGCCTTGGAGGTTCAATGGCGCTGTGCTGTAGACTGGATGATCGGCAGATGGTCGAGGCTAGAAGTGAAGAGGAATAGAGGAACACCGTCCCGAGCACGCAGAAGGCACGCGGTCCAGCCAAAGCAAGGGCGGCGCGAGGGAGACGGGACGTCGCGGGCGGAATGAGGGGTTTGGCCGAGCGATTCAGGCGCTGCGCTCTCCTATAAGGGCGCCGTGGACATGCAGGGCTGCGGCGGCGAGGCGAGGCGGCGATGCGGCGATGCGACAGCGCTCAATGGGCGCTGAGAAGGCTGAAGAGGAGAGGCAGAGGCTGTGAGTCGAGATCGTGGTCGCGAAGGAGTCAAGAGATTCCCACGACGTTGGCAGTCCGATCCAACGACAAGCGCCAGGCTGGACGTCCCGGGTACAAGCGAAGCGCATGACATGCGGCGGGCCTGCCCCCTGCGCCTGTCCAGCAGCGAGTAGCAGGTACAAGCGCCCCACCGCAGGCCGTAGGGCGAGCACCAGGTGGGAGATACATGGGGCTACAGGGCCTGCGCTAGCCCGAAGCAGCGCGGGCGGTACGTTACATAAAAAGTACTTGGTCGAGGGGCACGGCTTCAGCCAATCAGACAAGTTGGTGCTGCCCCAGCCCGATTTAATGAAATGAAATCGATGGGTGTACAGGCCTCTTCCCGGTTGTGCTGCTGTGTTTTTTTCTTTCTATTCTGAAAAGGTAGCCCGGGAAGAAGCTTGTCTAAGAAAGGGGCAAGAGAGAGAGCTTTGAATGGCAACAACAGGCGATGTGCATACCTCAGTACATGAATAGTAAGCTGCGTGTAAGTACTAATAAGTATCTCCATTGCTGAGCTCACAAACACAGACACCATCTCTCTCACAATAACGTCATACAGCTCACAAAAGCCAGAACGTGCATCGGCTTTGGCGAACAAGTGGACTCGTGGGAGAAGCGGGGTCTGGATGGATGCGAGCCACTATCAAGACTATCAAAAAGCTGCAGGGATTGGTTTCCCTATTCGCTCGTTTCATCTCTTGACTGGCTTTAGCGGCCGGCTCTTCCACGTGACAAGATCCCGGCCGTGTGGCTCAATGGCAGAGCGTCTGACTACGATCAAGTACATCAGGAGGTTGCAGGTTCGACCCCTGTCTCGGTCAACGATATCGTCGATCCGCTTCCATCGGAAGTGGTTTCTCTTTTTGCAGATATTTGACTATTGCTCAGGAAGCTGGAACATTCTTGAGGCACTTGGGCCGGCCCTTGACATAATCCAATGGCCGTGTGGCTCAATGGCAGAGCGTCTGACTACGATCAAGTACATCAGGAGGTTGCAGGTTCGACCCCTGTCTCGGTCACAAGATCGATCCCAATTCTGCGGAAGGGGATGTAATTTCTTTTTTGTTTCGCCTTTTTCGCCTCTGCCGTGGAATGTTCCGTAGTGAGTTACCTGTCTTGGTAAATGAGTTCATGTTCGAGTTGGGCTAAGACTTTGGTCACCAGTTCAAAAGCCCAGCGCTAAATATTTTGATAGGCTCTGAAGATGGTCAAGCGATATTGGCCAATGTCATGTAGAGAGCAGCGTCTTACAAGGCTAATTACCGATTGCCAGCATCCATGTCTTTGAAGCCGTTTGGAGATGCTGCATCTTACAAGTACCATTGGCTTATCGACGGCAAGCCATAATGCTTGCATAGAGCACTAGAATTCTAGAGTTCCTGGCTTGAGAGTTGCGATAAACAAGGGTCTCTTGAAGTGCACGTGAGATCTAACAAGGGCCAGGTATCTCTGGACGGTTCAAGACCAGCCGAGGATGCCACGGAATCGCTCAAGTGAGAATGATTGAAAGTCGATTAGCCAATTCCCTAGGCATCCCGGTATATTGGCTGATGCGAACGTAGGCAGGAGTAATTGGAATATGTCGCTGTACAAGTAAAGCTTACATACTTGTACTAAGTTGTAGCTGTAAGGACCAGGCTATGGTAAGTGACGAGTCGCCTTTTATCCTGAACAATTGGACAATCAATGGTGGATGGCAGGGCCTAGGTTCCCTGTACCTATCGCTGCAGCGTTAGGCTCGGCGCAGCACAAGTACAGGCACTAAATGCGACGAGCTTAATTGATTTTGAGCTGCCCCACGTCTCAACGCGTCAAGTCGCGTCTCTCCACACTCGGTCTGCGATTCACGCCGCAAATCCATCAGCTTCAACACAGCCAGCTGGGCATCCAAAACAGTTTTCCAGCATACCGACAGCAACCATGATGCGATACGACCACAACCGAATCGACCCCAAGAGGCGAAACGTTGTCGACCACCGGAAGAAGCAGTTTGCAACGCCCCAGTTCAAGGACACGCAGTATCCCCATCGCCTGAACTTTTACGCAGATGCGCCCACAGCAGACATCACGCTCGAGCAGTTTGAGCAATGGGCCATTGATCGGCTGAGAGGTGATGAGGAGCTGCTTTCGTTTGAGGTTACCCGCGGCTTCTAACATGGAATAGTTCTGGCCGAACTCGAGGCCTGCTCCTTTCGCAACCGATCGCCAGCCGAGACGGCATCCCACATGAAGCCCATTCTCGATAAATATCTCCCACTCGACTCCAACAGCTCCAGCAACACAAAGATCATCTCACAGCGGCAGAAGGACCATTACAGCCATTTCATCCTGAGACTGGCCTTCTCTTCTACTGAAGACCTTCGGCGGAGATTTTCTCGAGTTGAGACAATGCTTTTCCGGATGCGATTCAATAGCGATGATTTGAACGAACGGTCTGCATTTGTATCTGGCTTGGATCTCGACTGGTGGGAACCGGTGACGGAGGACGAAAAGGTTCGGTATGGTGCCGAACTCGCAGCCATGGTCAGCGGAAAGAAGATGAATAGCGAGGACAACACCTGGTTCAAGGTGGACTGGGAGCGAGTGCCTGACTTGGTGGAGAGCAGACGAGTATTCTTGAAAGCCGGAAAGGCATATGTGCCTGGGCGAGAACAGTCGAGTATGGTGGTGGCAGAATTCACAAGCCGGCTTGACAGGCAACTAGAGGTAAGCATAGATGGGTATTTGCTGGGAGAGCAAGAAATCGAATCGATCATGGCTAACGCTGGGTGGTTCTTGCTATCAGCTTACGGCTCGGGCTCTGCCGCGTCTAGACGAAGACGACAGGTTAACGCCAATTCTTAACCATCTCTCCAAAAACTTCATTACGCCCGACTCGACTTACGTGTCTGGATCAACGGCACCCGCCGGGGCTCAAATCTCGGCTGCCAACATTGACAACCTTTCACAACATTTCCCCGCCTGCATGTCCAACTTGCATCGATCATTGCGTCGCGATGCTCATCTCAAACACTACGGCCGTCTTCAATACACTCTATTCCTCAAGGGCATTGGCCTAAACTTGGAAGAATGTCTCATGTTTTGGCGGAGTGGCTTCCACAAGGTCACAGACGACACGTTCAACAAAGAATACCGATACAACATTCGCCACGCTTACGGCGAAGTGGGCGGAGATTCGAATCGACGAGGTGGTGGCTACAGTCCGTTCAGCTGTCAGAAGATTCTTACTGAGCACCCCCCTGGGCCTGGCGAGGCTCACGGCTGCCCGTACCGGCATTTCAATTTGGAGAATTTGAATGCTCTGGTGCAGGCCATGGGGGTATCAGATCGGTCGGTGCTGCAAGGGATAAAAGAGGATAAAGATAACCAAAAGTTCCACATGGCATGCAATCGGTAAGTTGTTCCAACATCAAAGTCTTGGTTGTTGTCATTGCAGAGAGCTAATTTCGAGTGTCCAGGGTATTTGAACACTTGCACAAGGCCGAGATCAAAAAGGCCAAGGACGAGGGTGTTATGACATCCAACCAGCTCGAAACGATTGTCCACCCCAACGAGTACTTCAAACGAAGTTATCTGCTGAAGAATCTTGGCAAAGAGACTGATGTGAAGATGGAGGGCTAAAATGGAAACTTTTGCGTATTGCATTCTATACACGTGTTGCATTTGGAGGAGAAAAACATGCAAATGATTACATGACTGGTGTGATTGATGTGGGTAATATGAATATAGCATCGTGTTTCCACGAGTTACGTAAATCTCTGGTCAAAGGGGCGAGATGCATTGAGAGGGATGACTTTATTGGCGTTTTTCTCTCAAGCTATATTTGAATAAGGGACGGGAAATAATGCCAAGAGAATAAATACTGTTGGGAAACTGTATGTATGGCGAGATTTGCTGGTTTAATGGCCCTTTGAACAGAATCAATGAATAGGGTAGTACTTTGACTGCCAATACTTTCCCTATTACATGTCATGGCAGCGGTGTTGAAACATGCTTGTTTTTTGGCCACAACAAGTGACAGCAGAGTTATTCCAGCCCATCATGTACGATTCAGGCAACTACTTGCTACATGAGCAAGTTCCAA